GAGACCAACAACACATCGTACAGTGCCGACACCTCCCCTAACCTGCACCAGTCCATTTTCTCCCTCAAGGATGGCTCCGACGTCTCTAACAGCCGTCGAACCAGCAGGAGACGTACCGGCCCCCTATCTCAGCAGTCCAGAGAGCGGGCCGCCCTGATCAGAAAGCTAGGAGCCTGTGTCGACTGTCGCCGCAGGAGGGTTGCCGTAAGTTGTGACTCCCTTCCTCTTCCGCCCCTGCGTGGTGCCTCGTCCCGCGGCCTGCATCGCTCGGCTGACACAATTTGCTCTCCCCCCCTGCGCAGTGCCACCCAAGCCATCACAACATGACTTGGGAAGACGTGGTTAGCAAGTTCCACAGGTCACACAGCCCGGCCGTCCAGGATATTGCTCCCTCCCTCGCTGCTGCTGGCCGGCCTCTCAGTCCCGCAACAACCCTCAATGCTGCGCAGCCCATTTTCACCCATGATCCCCAGGAGATGGAGATTGATGCGAGCAACACTGTTGCTGGCGGTGCCGCGCCCAACCATCATCATCAACCCGGCCGTCCGCCGCTTAGCGAAGCCCGCATTCGCACTCCGCTGCCGACTGGTCCTAGGCTGGAGAAGTCCATGTCTCTGCCGGGTATCGAGAGCCTCAAGAACGACATTCAAACCAACGCTGCCCGCATGCTGTCCGCCACGACTCGCGGCCGGTACAGCTCGGTCCAGGCTCTCTTGCTGTTCTGGCAGGACGACGACGAGGCGATGATGGTCCAGAATGCCGTCAGGGAGCTCGCTGACGTCTTTGACAAGTACTACCACTATACGTTTCATATTCAGACCATTCCCTCCTCTTCGGAAGGCTGTAAAAGCTCGTGGAGGTGGCTGTCGCGCAAGCTCAACGACTTTGCCGAGGAGCGCGATCAGCGTGACGTTTTGAAGATTGTCTACTACATAGGTCATACTTATCTGGATGGGAACCGCGATATGGTGCTGGCAAGGTAAGAGAATTGGTGCGAGCCTAGTAGGCAATGCTGGATCCCTTACTGACATGTCTTTTAGCTCCAAAGACCCCGAACGGGCCTCGACAATCAGGTGGAGTGGCATACAGCAGATCCTCGAAGAAGCATGTTCAGATACCCTCATCATCATGGATGCTGCGTATTACCCCCCGGCCAGGATTGTACGGCAGCAGGGCGTGCTCGAGATTATCGCGGCTTCCCTGTCAGAGGATTACCTGACGGCTCTCGACCGCTGTGCATTTACTCTGGCTCTCGCCGAGCAGCTACGCACGCGCGCCGCACGCCAAACGCCCCTCTCCGTGGTGGAGCTGCACTCGATTCTCATGGCCCTCTACCCCAAGATGGCTCGAGATCCGGCACCCGAGAGAGAGATGGTAGTGAGCTTCCCTGCTCCGCTACACACCATGATGTCCGGAAATTCGAGGCTCCCTTCGATATTCCTCTCGCCTGTTCAGCAAAGCAGCCCGTTGCGGAGCAGCTTCTCCTACGAAAACAGCCCGCAGCTACACCTGGCCATCAAGCTTAACGACGAGAACATTGACATTGACAGCTGGAACGAGTGGCTGCGCATGATGCCTGAAGGAATCAAGGACATTAAGATTGACGGCCCATTTCGGGCAACGTTCAGGTAGTCGAGGAGAGGGGAGGGTGAAGTGCCCATGCACTTTCGCTTCTCCATCCACGACATACAATCACGCAACCCCAAGGGCGGCTCTCATTGTAGCTTCGCGCTCAACTCAGAGTGGCGCTCGTTCACGGGCCTTGTTTCCTTTGTTCATTTCAAATTCCAAGTTGTTCCGTAGTAGGGCGGTCAACGATACTGGGAGGCCTTTTTCCACCAACGATGCTCAAAAAGCGGCGCAAATCCTCACATACAAACACACACACACACACACACTGATGAGTCAATGACAGAAACCTGCACCTCATGACATTGTAAAGCGAAGGCCTCGGGTTTGGCAATGGAGAATTAAAAAAAAAAGAAGAATCTATTCTTAATTGATTTTCTGTCTCAGCTACTGTTTCTCGTAGCAGTGAAGCAGTAGTAATACGAAGTAAGGTCTCGAACTCCCTGGCCATCCTCTGCCAAGTCTACGTCATATTCGCTTGCCGGGCCCGATTAATCGCGTGGAGGATCGCCCGTGATTCGTGTCTCGATTTGTATGGACATGTCGAGAGGAGATCAAGCATGGGTGCGAGAACAAGATGCCGGTTTGACAGCTGCGCTGTAAAGTATCTTCCTGACACTTTCATGCGCAGGGGTACGAAGTATATACATACCTTGTAGTTTATATGGTACTAGTACTCGTATCGTAACTACTAGTACTGCGTGTTTGTGTGCAAGGTCAAGGTAAATCGCGTCGTTGCCCAGCAACCCCAAGCTCGCACCCCCCCAAAACTCCACTCCCGCATAACAAAAAAGACCCCAGCCCAGCCATCCAGCCGCGCTCCCCTGCAGCGTCAACATTTCACCGCCCCCAGGCAGAGGCCACTTGATGTCAACACTAGGACACTTTTGAGCCCGCGTCTTTTTTTATTTTGTGTGTCTTGTGTGTTCGTAGCACTTCTTCAACACCCCTCCCAGCTTCACGAAACATATACAGGAACAAAAGCAAAACAGAGAGGGAGAGACAAATAAGATCGCGGCACAACCCAGACACGATGCGCTCTCCACCGAAGCGCCTGACGAGAGCCAGGGCCGCGACCAAGGAGCCCGAGGCAGCAGCGTCAACATCGGCGTCGAGGCCTGCAAAGGCTGTCACAGCTGCCGCCGCAAAGGCCAGAGCACCCCTTTCCTCATCTCTGACCGCGAGCACGGCGAGCACGGCTGCTAAGAGGAAGACGAGGTCCGACGACGCGGAGGAGGAGCAGCGCCAGGCATCGTCGCAGGTCAAACGCCCACGGGGGCGACCACCGAAGAAGCCCGTCGTCGGTGGGGAGCACAAGGGCGTCGCCATGGCGCCTCCTGTTGCAGCTCCGATTACATCCAAGGCCGCTGAGCCAGCCCGGGGAGGTGCGCGCGCAAAGCCAGCAGCAGCAGCCGCGAAGAAGGAGGAATCCACAGCAGCCCCCAAGCCCGCGCGTGGCCGGCCGAGAAAAGTAGTCGATTCGAAACCTGCGGTTACCGTGAGCCAGCCCGAGCCGGTGAAGAGGGCTCGCGGGCGGCCGCCAACAGTCATGAAGCAAGCGACCTCCACGACGACAGTAGCCAACAAGCCCCCGGTCAAGAAGATGGTCACGTTCCGGGAGCCTGACAAGGAGAACATGGAGCCCGCGGCGGTGCCAAAGGAGCCTCCCCCCGCCGGGATGCGCGGTCGTCCAGCAAGGCGGGGCGGGGCGTCCGCTGGTCGACCTGGGCGACCGGCTACGAAAGCCTCGAAGCCCCAAGCCGGAGACAAGAAGCCACTGGGACCTAAGAAGATTACGCAGCTGATTCTCTCGCGAACCGACTCTGCAGACGACTCCGAGGACGAGCTGGCGTTGGAGAAGCCGTTGGCAAAGAGCGAGAAGGCGCTGGCAAAGAGCCCGATCAAACCCCCCTCGAAGAAGCTGGAACAGATTCCCGCCGAGGTCGAGCACGTGGAGACGAATATTGCCGTCAACGCAATGACGTTTGACATGCCGGATATGAGCACAACGCTTTTCACATCGCCAGCTAGGCGGCCTACGTCGCCACCGCGAGACACGATCAAGTCTCCGGCCAAGAGGATTGCCGTGCCCCTGCCCGGATCCGCGCTCAAGCTGAGTAGCGATGCGGTTGCCCAGACACCTTTCAAGTCATCGGCCCCGGCCCTTCTGCAATCAGCCGCCAAGCGGCCTCAATCTGCCATGAAGCCCTTCATCTTCTCTGCGCAAAAGGAGCGACCAGGCGAATCATCGACAAAGCCTTCCATGCTCCACTCACCGGCGAAGCGGGCAATGCCAGGCTTCAAGCCCGTTTTGAGCGCGCATCGAGGATTCCCGACGCTGGATGAGACTCCTGTTGGAACTCCGACTCGCCCTGCCAGATCATCGAGAAAGCTTATGGTGGAGGAGGAAGCGCTTGAGGAGGGCGAGGAGGAGGAGCCTTTTGCGGGTCCTATCGAGACTCCTCGGTTTTCTAATTCTCCCTCTGCTGAACCATCTTCTAGAGCGGGGTCCGCCGTTGCAGAGGCGGAGGAGGAAGAAGAGGAAGAAGAGGCAGAGATTGCAGGAGAGGAGGAAGCTGAAGAGGCGGAGGAGGTAGAGCCAGAAGAGCCAGAAGAGCCAGAAGAGCCAGAAGAGCCAGAGGCCGAAGAAGAAGAGGCAGAAGAGCCAGAAGCCGAAGAAGAAGAGGTAGAAGAGGCAGTGGCCGAAGATGCAGAGCAGGAAGACGCAGAAATCGAAGCTGAAGAGGTGAACGAAGCCGAGGAGGAGCCAGTGCAAGTCACGGAAACGGAGCCTCTGCCAGCCGACGAGGAGGCCGATGATGTCGTCGAGGATAGCATCGTCGTCGCCACGACAGAAGAGGAAGTCGAAGATGAAGAGGCACCGGCTGAGGACGAAGATGCCGAATCCGAAGACACGATGGTTCTCGATGATGTTGAGGAGGAAGCTGAGGAACCCGCCGAATCTACACCAAAGACAGAGCCTCAGTCGAATCCCCGCTTCTCACAGCTTCGACAGAAGGACTTGGATCCCTGCCATGATATGAGTTCAATGTCCGATTCCGAAGACGACACATTGCCCTTTGCGAGAGTCACTGCCACTCCATCTATTAGCGGAGAGAAGACGCCGAGGGCCCGAGCCAGCCGCAGATCGACTCTGGGGTTCGGAGGTCTATCTGAACAGCTAGGAACCTGGTCAGCTGCAAGCCCCGTCAAGAACGCACGCTCATTCGTGGTGGAAAATGAGCCTGAGGATGCCGAGGACGAAGGCCTTGAACACGAGGCCGATGCATCAAATCAGGACACTCCAATGAAGAATGCATTTTCAGGGAACGAAATGCTGTCGGAAACGGAAGACGTTGCGGAAGACGCCGAGGATCAGCAATTGGACCAGGGAATCACAATCACAGACGAAGACATGGCTCTGGCTCAAGAAGCGAACGAAATGTCTCTGATGGACTCCAAGGAGGACGACGATGCCTCGAACACTCGCCACTCTTTCGACGACGGCTTGTCGGACGCCAGCCAGGAGTACGGGGACGAAAACCAGGTTCCGGTCGAAAGCCCTGCGCCTAGTGCGGCGCCTCAGGCACCACCGCCGGTCACTCCCGTGTCCCGGCCGGTAACGCGATCATTCAACACGACCACCAAGGTGCCCCTGAAGGCGTCCGACAATTCCACCCCCAGCCCGCTGAAGAAGAAGAGCTTGAGCACCCCGCGAGCTGCTCCAAAGCGCTCCAGCCAGCCTAAAAAGGCTGCTCCTGTCTTGGCTTATGCGCCCGAGAAGCCACGGAGGCGAAGCATGCGGAACATCAGCACCATTTCCGAGGAGCCTGAGCAGCAGAGCGCCCAAGAACCGACAACGCCAGAAGCTAAAATGGACCTGTGGGCAAGCATCGGGACGCCGGCGCGCACTCCTCGAAGGGACCTCAACCCCAACCTGCTCCGCGGGGCCATTGTATTTGTCGATGTGCACACGAGCGAGGGCGCGGATGCTAGCGGCATCTTCGTGGAGGTGCTCACGCAGATGGGCGCTCGGTGTCCCCAGAAGTGGAACTGGAATCCCAGCAGCCCAAGCAACGGCGAGTCGACCAAGGTGGGCATCACCCACGTCGTCTTCAAGGACGGCAGCAAGCGCACCCTGGAAAAGGTCCGAGAGGCCAAGGGGGTCGTCCAGTGCGTGGGCGTCAGCTGGGTCCTGGACTGCGAGCGCGACAACAAGTGGCTGGACGAGGCGCCATACAACATTGACACGAGCAACGTTCCTCGCGGAGGGGCCCGTCGCCGGAAGAGCATGGAGCCCAAGTCCATCTCGAACAAGGATGGCAGCGCGGACAGCAGCTCGTCCAAGGGGAGGCGCGAGTCGGCGCCTGGTTCGACGGCTAAGACGCCCAACCGCAGGCAGAGCAGCATCTGGGTCCACACGCCGTCGGACGAAGGCGACAGGCCGGAGGAGGAAGAGGACATTGAGTGGTCCAACCTCATTCTGACGCCCGTGCCCAAGACGCCGGCCCCGGAGACACTTATGAAGTTTGCTACCGAGACGCCGTCCAACCTGGACGATGATGAGGATGACGAGGAAGATGGGTCGCCGACGAGAGAGGAGCTATTGATGCGAACCTGCCCTCCCAAGGCGCAGAAGTACCTCGAGCTCGGCGGCGGCATCCTGTCCAAGTCCAAGGACACGGATGAGAATGTGATGCAGCGGCTGATGGCTGCTCGACGCAAGAGCCTGCAGTTTGCCCCCAAGGTGGGCAGTCCCCTGGCCAAGATGTGGCAATGAAGGGGGAATCACCACATTTGATTTTATGACTTGTCTACGTTTTTCATTGTTTCTTCACTCGAGAGAGATGCTGCATGGGATAAGGGTCACACACATGGAATGCTTGCGTTGGCTAGTCGCTCACTTGGAACAGGGGAAAGGTGTTTTATGCACTTGGTTTTGGGGATCCTTAGGATGGGTTGTTGTACATTGGCACAAAGGACTCGGCGTTTGGGAATTACGAATGAGATGTCGTGGCACGGGCATTGTTTATATAGAATCGTTGGCACGATTTCGCCTGAACATGATGGACATGTGGTTATTATGCCTATACTCTGCTGTTCTATATGTTTTGTGACGTATTTGGCTGTAGTGCTGCGTGTTCGTGTTGTTGGCGGAGAGGTGACGTTGGAGAGTATGTGAGTGTAAGAGTATATGTTGATGTGTGTTTGGTGAGTTGGTGATTGATTAATGATGTAGGATATTTGGAATCTTCTCGTGGAATTGACAAGAGGTCGAGAGACGTTTCATGTCGTTTCCGTTGTTTTTATATCCCATCTATTCCCCCATCCGATGATATTTTTCATCTTTTACTTGCAATTCAACACCTGTGTCTTTCTCAACCCCTCGCGACAGCCCTAAGCGCAGCGACAGCATCCCCATCATGCGCCTTGAGCAGCTCCGTGGCCCTGGCCTTGGTGACCTCGATCTGGTCCACGAGCAGCGCGACGTCAGCGGCATCCACCTTGACGGTCTTCTTGGCCGCAGCGCCGGGAGCTGTGGTGGTGGCAGAGGAAGAAGAGGCTGTTTTGTTGGCGGGGAGGGAGGAGACGGCTTTGGAGACGGCCTCGTGGTCGACGTTGTTTGCGGAGGAGGCGTCGGCGGCGGAGGAGGCAGGGGCGTCGAGGTCGGCGAGGGCGGAGGCGGCTTTGCGGTCTTCGGCGGTGCCGGAGGACTGGGTCGGTGGGGGGTCGGAGGCGTCTGCGGAGGACATTGTTGCTTTGCTGATGCCTTTTTGTCTTTGTCTTTGGGTGGGTAGGTTTGGGGACTTTTGAGGGCGGGGGGTGTTAATAAGGTGATGTGGTAAGTAGGTAAGCAGAAGAGGTATGAGGAGATGGTGATGTTTTGGAGCTTTGGAGCTGGGAGCTGGAGTGTGGGGTGTGGGAGAAGGTACGTTGAGATTGTACCTTTTGGAGGGGCATGGTCGGATTGGGAGGGGCTTGGGCTTGTTTATAAGAGCCCTACCCTAGAGCGTTGATGAATTCCAGCGGTTTCTTAAGATGAGTGCCGACTGGGTGTGGGGTATGATGCCATCTTGTATGATTGAAACTGGCAGAAAAAGCATAGGCATCTGTTACTCAGGCATAAGGCAGTCGAGAACCCCATGTTTATTTTTCATTTTTCGAGATATTGGTCCTACTGATTTGTACTGAGCTCTGTGATACACCTCGAGCTGAAGTAGAAAAGACTCCGTCGTTACACACATTGCACTAAAAGAGTGCAACAGCCTGCTGAAACTCCCCGAGGAGCCCTGCTACCTACCTAGGTACTCGTTTGACACCTCCTCCTGATTACCTAGTACTCAGTAGTGTTTGAACCCATTCAGACTGTTGGTGGCGTTTCCCAGTATAACAGACAAGCAGTTCAACGACCAGCCTTGCCTGTACGTAATCGTCCGCTGCAGGCTGCGGGAGCGCTTCTGATTGGCCAATTGCCGTTCAGCCCAGCACTTGAAACTGGGGGAGTCGGAATTGGAGATCAATGGGTACGTACCCCAACCTGCCAACCAAACCGCACGGGCCTCTTATTTTTTCCCTTGTGTGAATGCCAACAATAAAAGTGGCACTGACTCATATTTCATTCCAACTTCTCGGAGGTCTTTTGACTTGTCTGGCCTCTTTTCCCACTTGCATTTACAGAGGACAGCATTTGAGGGAATCACTTCTGACCTGAGGATTGGGATTTGTGCAGGTACCTGGCGGAAAATTGAGGGAACGTGCGCGAGCGAGGACACTTTGCTCTTCCACACATCTGGTACCATCGTTTGTGCGACTTCGGGATTGTGTTCTCACTTGCAAGGTGAAATCCCTGACTCACCGGGTCCGTGGCTGCTCTCATTCGATCTCGGGCTTCGTTTGCGCCATCGAGGCCATCATACACCTCAGGCCATTGACTCTCTCCTTGACTCGATCGACCTGATTGTCGCTACAACCATCATCCCCGTCGTCTCTTCCAGCCTCCTCCATCCTCAGCCTCAACCACCATGGCTCAACAACCCTCCCTCCCCGAGGCCATCGCCTCCCAGCCCTGGGACCCGTCGACCTGGCGCTCCAAGCCCATCAAGCAGTCCCCCGCCTACCCGGACCCCTCCAAGCTCAAAAAAGCCGCCGCTGAGCTGTCCCGGATGCCGCCCCTGGTGCACCCCCACGAGATCAACGCGCTCAAGGCGCACCTGCGCGAGGTGGCCCAGGGCAACGCCTTCCTGCTGCAGGGCGGCGACTGCGCCGAGCTCTTCGACTACTGCGAGCAGGGCGCCATCGAGTCCAAGATCAAGCTGCTGCTGCAGATGAGCCTCGTGCTCATCTGGGGCACCAACAAGCGCGTCGTGCGCATCGGCCGCATGGCCGGCCAGTATGCGAAGCCGCGGTCCAGCCCGACGGAGATGGTCGACGGCAAGGAGCTGCCGAGCTTCAGGGGGGATATCCTGAATGGCTACCACGTCGATGAGCGAGAGATTGACCCCAACCGTCTCATCAAGTGAGTTTTGTTTTACTTCCACAAACATCCACCCCTTGTGGCCTCACATGAATTGTGCTAACTCAAGATTTCCACGCAAAAAAACAGAGCGTACCACCACTCTGCTGCTACTCTCAACTACATCCGCACCGCCCTCGCCTCGGGCATCGCGGACCTCCACCGGCCCCTGGACTGGGGCCTGGGCCACGTCCGCGATCCCGCCCTCAAGGAAAAGTATTCCAAGATCGCCTCCAGCATCCAGCAGACGCTGCGCTTCCTCCAGGTCATCAACGCCCGCCCCGGCGAGCTCGAGACGGTCGAGCTCTACACCAGCCACGAGGGCCTCCTGCTTGAGTACGAGCAGCCCCTGACGCGCCTCCTCGAGAAGCCCACCCACCCGGGCGTCAGCCGGCCCGGCACACCCCCGAGCCTCTCCCCCACCATCAAGCCCACCACCAGCGACGACCAGGGCAGCCGCAAAGAGTACTACGACACCTCGGCGCACTTTGTCTGGATCGGCGACCGCACCCGCCAGCTCGACCACGCCCACGTCGAGTTCTTCCGCGGCATCGCCAACCCCATCGGCATAAAAGTCGGCCCCTCGACCCCCGCATCAGACCTCCTCGCCCTCCTGCGCACCCTCAACCCGTCCCGCGAACCGGGCAAGATCACGCTCATCACGCGCTACGGCGCCGCCAAGGTCGCCGCCCTCCTGCCCAAGCACATCCGCGCCGTCGAGGACTCCGAGTACCGCCGCTGCGTCGTCTGGCAGTGCGACCCCATGCACGGCAACACCCTCTCCACCCCCGCGGGCATCAAGACGCGCCGCTTCAACGACATCTACAGCGAGCTCGAGCAGTCGCTGCGCATCCACAAGGACGAGGGCAGCTACCTCGGCGGCGTGCACCTCGAGCTCACGGGCGACGCCGTGACGGAGTGCCTCGGCGGCAGCGAGGGGCTCGACGAGGACGACCTGTCGACCAATTACACGAGCTTTTGCGATCCGAGGCTCAATGAGAAGCAGGCGCTCGAGTTGGCGTTTTTGGTGGCGGATCACTATTCGAGGGAGCACAAGAAATGAAGCCACGAAAGTGAAGGTATATATATATATATACGAAGAAGGAGTTTTCATGATTTCGAAAAGGGGGGAAGCGAAAGACGAAAGATGATCAGATATGGCAAGAATGAGATGTGAAAACGAAAAGAAGATGGCGGCTAGGCTTTTGTATACGTGTATATATTCAGCAGCAAAGCTGGCGCCTCACCGGAGATCAAAAGACGGACCAAAAAGAATTGCATGAGATGGATAACCATGAGGGAGGACATTTCCACGGGACAAGTTGATTTTTTTCTATAACAAAACATGGGTTTTCATTTCGACAACGCTCACTCTTGTGCCCAAACATCTAAAGAAGCCGATCCTCTCAAGATCAAACAACTTCATCAGATGCGAAGATATATATATAGGTATATAGCAGATCCACACACACACACACACACATCTCCCCCGACATGTTGCTCACTTCAAGTAAATCGTCTGCGCCCCCTCAAACGCATCCCCCTGCTCCAGCTTCTGCCACGAGCTCACCGCGCCCGCCTCGACGCAGACCATGTTCTTCCAGCCGTCCTTGGGCTCGAAGTCAGCCATGCCGGCGGCCTTGTCGACCCAGGGGTTCCACACCACCACGTCGTCGAGGTTGTCGCGCACGACGCGGAACCTGGCCACGCCGGCCTCGGCGATGACGACGGGGTGGCCGGGGCCCTTGGCGGGGGTGTACACGCGGTCCGTCTCGCCGGAGAAGGCGACGGGGTCGGACGGCTGCGTCTTGTTCTTGACGCCGTCGACCTTGTCGTGGTAGGGGGAGTCTTCGAGGCCGAGGACTTGGACGGATGCAATGTCCTTTTTTTAAACCGCATGCCTGGTTAGCCCTATGTATCTGGAAGGTATGACAAAAAAAGAGGGCGCAAAAAGCTTACCGAGACCCTAAAGTACGTGTGCAGCAGAGTCTGGAACTCAAAGGGCACGTCGCCCTCGTTAGTCACCACCAGCGCGGTGCCCAGGCTCTCGGGCGCCAGCGTGACGCTGTACAGGAGGCCGAACTTGTAGGGCCACAGCTGGCGCGTCGCGTCGTCGAGGTTCTCCGAGGACAGGCCAAAGTCGAGCTTGACGCCGCTGGAGGAGCCCTCGGTGGAGGACTTGCCGAGGAACTCCCAGCGGGAGTTGCGGGCGAAGCCATGCTGGGGCAGCTTGGAGGTGGCCTCGTGGTCGGGGGCGGTGCCGAAGACCTGGGGGGAACGAAGGGTTAGCTATATCTCACACACATGAAGGGGCCTTTCGTTTGCCGATACTAGTTGATTTCGTGTTAATCGAAAGGGGGATTTGCATACCGGAAAGACCAGGGGAATGCCTCCGCGCACGGCCTTTGTCCCGTCCAGCTTCGCGCCCTCGCTCAGCCACAGCTTCTCGTCGCCGGCGGCGTCCTTCCAGCTCAGCACGGTGGCGCCAAACAGCAGGACCTCGACGCTCTCGCCCGTGGGCAGCACCGCCGTGACGCGCGAGCTGCCGTCGGAGATGGTGACCTGGGCCTGGGGCTGCAGGCCGGGCGTCGCGGCGAGGGCCGAGGGCTTGTTGGGGCGCTGCACCATTGTGATATATGGATGTGTGATTGGCGGCTGTGATTGCGGTTGCGGCTGTGCGGGTGAAGGGACCGTCTGGATCGAGAGAGAGCTTGGGGCGGGTTTGTTGGCGGTTTGGTGGAAGCTGGGTGGATGGGATATCTCCTGTTAGCTTTGAGGAGCAGTGACGTGATGAGATGGGAGAAACAGCTGGAGGTGGCGGAACCAAAGGAGAAGCCTAAGCAAAGGAGTACAGAAGCGTCAGGGTATCTTACCTGTTTCACAGGATCAATCAGAGTACTGCTGGGTCTGCGAGAAAAGAGCTTCAAGAAAGAAAGAGGATAAGGTATGGAGATGGAAGAGTGACTGCATCAGCATCAGCACCAGCATCAGCCCCGTTCTGGCGGGGTACCTTGATTAGCAGCTGGTCGTTCTTCTGTCACAGCTGCACCCCTCAATCACCCCTCACCCCTCTTTCGTCACTGGTACTTCCATCAAAGGCTCATACACCGCCAAGAACCGCGCAAACGAGGTGTACAGGGACTTGTCGCCCTGCTGCAAGGCGAAGCGCGTAAGAGCATTGAGCTGCTCCTCTGCATCCCACTTACATGAAACGCGATGCCTGTGACGCCCAGGATGCGCCGTGGACTCCCCCACGAGAACCTCGCCTAGGCAACGCATGATGTCCCTCATTCATAGGTATCATAATCTGTGGTGGTAGAAGGCAGGATTCTGGTTAAAAATGACAGATTCATCCATGAAGAATCAATGCAAAATGTCATAGTTGGGACAGTAGAAGATCGCAAATGGGCACAAGTAGTAATAATATGTGTTGAAGTGGATGCCGCTCTATCAAACATCCCAGCATCATACCATACTCTGCCACTGTTATTCTATTCTACCTGTCGCCTATTCGACCATACAATAGCGTCCAACCGGGGGTATCTGTATCCTCGTCCCTCATGATGAACAGTCCAAGAGGGGAAGGGTGAGAAAGAGATGAAGAGAAAAGAAACGAAAGCAAGAGGCATCATGCCTCATTGCATTTGGGCCGAGTCTGCAAGTCAGACCAAGGAACCTCATGCAACAGCGCTTATATACATCATTCTACTCGATGGTACGAGCTGTCTCCTCGTCAATGCCGGTATACATGGTCTTGTTGGCATCGCCGCTGCTTCCATCGCTGGTGTTACCGTTATGGTGCTCGGCATGGGCCTTCTCATCAACCTCGTCAACGGGAATGAGGAGCTCGCCATTCTTTCCGTATCTCCGGGGCTCGATCTCGGCCTGGCGGATGACGTCAAAGGCTCCGCGGAAGCCCTTGACCTTTTGGAAGATGGAGTCCATTTCTTCCAGAGATCTGTAGGCGGTCTCGGGGAAGAAGAAGTAGACGCATGGGACCATGAAAGCGTTGAGTACGGCGAAGACGACGTACGTCTTCCACTTGATGTTGGTGAAGGATACGGGGGTGATCATGACAACCTGTTGGGTGGCGTTAGTCAGGGACTTGAGAATGTTTCAAAGAGGGCGGGAGGCATACCAAAAAGTTGAAGATCCAGTTCGAAGAGGTCGACAGAGCATTGGCCGGAGCGCGGGTACGTAGAGGGGTAATTTCGGCCGGGTACAGCCAGGTCATGCCCAGCCAACCAATCGCAAAGAAGGTGTTGAACACGAACAAGAAGACAATGCCCGCGATCTGATAAGGCTTCTCATTCGGACGCGAGTTGACGCCAGCGAGGATAGCCATGGTCACCGCCTGACCGACAGCACCGAAAAGCATCAGTTTCCGACGTCCAACTCGCTCGACAAGGAAAACGGCAGGCCAGGAAGCAATGAAATACTCGGTGCCGTTGAGGGCCGCGAGGAGTCGGGACATGAACGGAGACATGCCAAGGTCGGAGTAGATCTTGGCGGCATAGTAGGTAATGAGGTTGATACCGGAAATCTGCTGGAACATCTGGTTGACATAGGCGATAATCGTGCGGTGGAGTGTGCGGTTGTGGTCCCTTGCGAAAAGCTCGCCGTAGGTGCCCTTGCTCATTTCCATGGCCGTCTCCTTGATGGCCTGGAACTCGTTCTCGACGAGCCTATCATTCACATCCACGTCTGAGATGGCTGCAATGACCTCTTTAGCCTCTGCTTCGCGACCTTTGAGAATGAGCCACCGAGGGGACTCCGGTAGGCCAAGCACAAAGGCGAGAATGAAGATGCAGAAGACGATCTGGAAGGCTAGCGGAAATCGCCAGGCAACCGAGCCAGGCGCAAAAGACAGGCCAAGGTCTATCCAGTATGAAATCATGATGCCGCCTGTGATAAGAGCTCCCTCAATCATGACCAGCTTTCCCCTTCTGTGGGCGTGTGAGGTCTCAGACTGCCACATGGGCACCGTAGACGTGTTGCCGCCGTTGCCAAGCCCCGTTATGATACGGCCAATGATGAAATGCTCCAGAGTGAAGGCGGAAGCCTGTAGGATAGCACCAATGATCATGATGGAAGTACCGAGGAATATCATGCGCCGACGACCGAGGGGATTGCCGATGAAGATGGTGATGATGGCGCCGATGAAGCACCCCAGATTGTAAGATGCCACGGCGATGCCCTGGTAGGTAGATCGTTGAGACGCATCGCCAGCATCGATAGCGGCATCTGGGTTGATGTCGGGGAACTGGTTCAGGAAGATGGGGAGAGTCAGGATGCCGCCCATGACACCTTGGTCTGGTGGCGTGTCAGTCTATATCGGAAGAAGATGGCTTATCGAGGAGAGATGCTGGACATACCGTAGCCGAAAAGGAGAAAATCACAGCCAGCAATGGTGCCGATAGCCCAGTTGAGGGCTTTGCCTCTGAGGCCAAAGTATTTCTTCACCATGGCGATTTTGCCTTGGAGGCCCCTATCCGTCCCTGTTCTGTGCTGCTCTTACTGTAGCAGTCTCCCTGTTTCTGTACTCAGGGTCGTTTCCGCGTCTTGCAGGGAGGAGGAACAAGAGGAAGCAGATTAGATGACAGGCTCAGAAGGGCAAGATCAGACCCCCAGAGGTGGGAGATATCACGGCCTTTTAAGTCGCATCGCGCACCACAGAGCTGCAAGCCATGCCACTAACACGACCGACTGGTGTAACAAAACGTCGGGGATGGCTCCGTCAGAAAATTGGGGACGCCGAGCCTTTCGGATCGTCCATGGCCGTTCCCGTCGACCCTTGTACTCGTCCATAATGGCTGGCGAGTGGGAGTACTTTGGTGTTGTTGCAGTCAAGCAAGCCGGATGGATGCATGGAGCCCTCCGTAGGAACCTATACCTTGTTCAAGTCGGCTGCCTTGTCATTTCGTAGTACGAGTACATATACGCGGCAACGTGAGAGCAGGGTCTGTTGCGCCATGTACAGTGTACGATGCCATGGTATGTACAAGATGTGGCATGAGGAATTCGAGGCTGGCGGCGTGGAGAAAGAGGGGAAGCCGATCTCTGTCTAGCAGGTTAGTGGAAGAACAAGTTTGTTTGTCTGGGGTCTGAGTTTTGCATCCATTTTGGAGTTCGCTCTTGCAGAATCTCCACCGCCTTTCACGTGTGGGAGTAGATGCCCGTTTCATGCCTTTGCTCCTGCCTCTCTTATTTCCTTATCTAAGCCGAGATTCTTTATATCGGTCGACGAACTCTGGCTCAGATTGTAACTCAAACTTCACCCTACTCTCTCTCTCTCTCTCTCTCTTCAAGGCACTCGACTTGACGTGAAAACCTCACTCTACAGTATGCACTCACAAAATAACACTACGGATAGCCTCTATTGCCGTCTTCGTCGTCTAGCCCCTGTCCGCTAGCTGCTCTAGCGCCTTGCCGTGCAGCTAAATCCACTCACAGGTTACCCGTTTGCCCGTCTACAATCCTGCCGGCCGAGTCGTATAAGTCGATACCGGATGGTTGCCGCCTCCAGCATTACGGCGTTTAAACGAACTGCCGCGCGAGGTTGTTTAGTGTTGGGGTTGTGTGGCTTCCATGCGCTTTCGCTGAAGGAACAAGCCAATATGAAGCGGAATCAATCGCCACTACTCGGCCATCGACTTGAGTCAATATCAGCAACGACTTGTTGGAAACAAGAACAGAATCTGGTGATATGGCCGACGTAACGTGGGGAAACGACGTCACTCGCCGAATCAGCTTTGATACCCCATGGGAAACGTGGTGGATCTCGGTGGGAAAGGAACTGGCTGCCTTGCGCGCGCCTTTGCTTAGCGAGGAAGCAGAAAGTCACCAGCATGCCGACGAACTCACGAATCGGACCACGTCTTGACGGTGTGCTTGGCGGGAGTGGCTCTCTCGACAAACGCTATGGCAACCAAGGCTCGACCAAAGTCGGCCTCGAAAAGGCATCCCAGCCCGGTGGCGCACACGGCTGGGAACCCCGATTTCCTCTCTTTGGCCTAATCATCTGCTAGTGTCGGTAGGCCAGCAAGCTGACTATGGTGCGCGGGAGCCGGGGCGAATGGTGAGCAAAACTGAGGAGGTGGTCTGCATCGGAGAAAACTTAGGGCACCCGATATCTGTGGTCTTCTCAAACGCTAGCTGATCGAGGCATGCCAGTCCTTGCATCTTTTGATGGTGTGCAGGCTGAGCGGCCTGGAGGAAATCTTCGAGTCCTTCTAGACCATCTTACAACGCGCTCGAAATTCATGGGAAATGTGTCATGCCAATAACGCTCTTTGGCTGCTTCAATCTGCATCGAACTGACAATGTTGCAGAATCTGGGGGAGGGTCCGTCACAGCAGTCTCGACCCTTCTTTTCCCCGCGTCCCCGGAATTTCGCTTTCTCTCATCTCGCGTGCTCCCCCGGATACGCTCCCCAGACTTCCCCAGGCAAGCAAATTTGAAGCTATTCCCGTCTGCCCTCATCAGGGAATGCCTAAAAGAGCGACCCGAGGCACACCGGCAGTGAGAACCCTGGGATAAACTAGGCCTGACTGCTCGCCGGCAGCCCAAGCTGTCAGGGACCAGCGCTGGTCCGGACTGTTCCATTGCATGCCGCTCTATGCTTCAATCGCACGATGGTGTCAGCCTTGAAGGAGCGTTTGGTGGACTCGAAAATCGGGAGCTCCGTGCTGCCAATGCCAACGGTGCATGGACAACGGATTCCAGGCACTCTCCGCTTCTTCACAAATACACGGTCCGAGGAACCACAGACAATTTGACGATGCCATCAATTCTCGCCAACTATTGCCCATTTGACGTCACTTGTGAGGATCTGGATGCCAATCAGCTCATCCTAGCTTTTCCCGCCCTCTTCTCACCCCAGGCTTCTGCACAAGGGACAAGAATCAGCTGCTCGTGAGCCCTTGCGTTATCCGCCATTTAGCTTGAGATTGATATGTCTGTCTTGCGGGTATCTGCATCGACGACGATCCATCTACGCGTGTCATTTGAGACCAGCCATAGCTCCCCTTCTCCTTTCTTTTTCTTCTTTCCCCAATGCTAAACCCCGACACAAGTGAAGATGTCCTCCAAGTCCACGCCAACGTAGTCCCTGTAGCTCAAATGGATCTGCCGACATAATAGCGCCTTCTAGAGCCGTTTTCATGCGGTCTCTGATCCGTATCAACACGCGCGTGCGCCTCAGAACTCAGCTCCCAAGGACCACTACGGCTGTATGCACTATTTCAACAAACGCCCAACATCCCTCTCGCCGGATTACCTCTTTGGGCTATCCGAGGCATGTATCTGGGGAAGCCAGCGCGGCTCTGTCCGCACCCCTTCTCCGCTCCGCACCCCGGATTCAGCTTCGGCTGGCCTTGATTTGTGTTTGATTTCTGGTTCCTGGATTTTTTTTCTCGCGTCGAAGTCGTGGCGCGTCATGGTGAAGTCGGCCGAGTCTCGCAGCTTGCAACATGCTGGACAATTCGGGAGGCTTGTCGCTCCCGCTGAGATGGGTAGCGAGTTCGATAATGAGCATCGTTCGGGATAGTGAAAAGAGGACTTGGAGCAGGAGACATGACTTGATTGCTGTTTTGCAATAACCATGCAATAGACGTATGATATGTAGGTGTGTATGAATCATATGTGCAATGTCTTTGTAACCTTTGCTCCGGCCGACATGAATCCCCTGCGGCTGCCCCCCTTTTGGAATATGAAACTGTATCTACTCTACCTTTACCATGTAAACAGTCCCTGGCGCAGATTAAACAAACAATCATACAATAATTCCCCTTGATTTCCACACAGTCCAACCAGACCAGGCTCCCAAAAAAAAGATGACCACAGAAATCAAACAAGTCGAAAGCAAAAAAACAAACCATAAAAAAAGAGAAACATTCTCGACGCCGTAGACGATGCGTTCGCAAATATGCAAGTTTTCGTAACAAAACATCATCATCATCCCCTTCATGCCCCTCCTCCTCCCCCCTTTCGTCCTAGGAGCTCTGCCTCCCTCGCCTCTCTGCTTCAAACAGCTCGCGCTTCAGATCCATCAACACGTCTTCCATCTTGTACACTTCGTTCCGAGGTAGCGCCACTTGACGCAGCTGCTCCAAGCTGTTCTGTAGCGTCTCCATGATCGTTAGGGCCACGTCGTTCTTCTTCTTCGCCTCCTCCGGCTCTGCAGCTTGCGGCTCGCTTTCCGCTTCGTCTGCCCCTGCTGCTGCATCATCCATCGCCACATCCACATCTGCCACGACATGTTCCAGGGATGGCTGCTGTGGCTCATCATTCGTAGATGGCAGTACCTCGTCTTCCGTAGTCCCACTCGCTTCCTGGCTGTCAGCAGCAGCCGCAACGGTCTCCTTGGCCAGCTGCGACGCCGCTTCGTCGTCCGTGTCTACGCCGCGCCGCTTCTTGTTCCGCTTGCTTGACCGCTTCTTTGAAATTTCCGTCTTCTTCTTACTGTCTTCCAGCTGGCGCTGCTGGCGGTGCCTTCGAGCACTTCCTCTTGTCTCCATACCTGCAGCTTCGGTTACCTCCTGGCTTGCCACCGGCATGTCAACGTCCTTTGCAGGCTTGGGGGTTTCTGAGCGTTGCTTCTTCGAACGGCAATCACTCTGCCGGGACCTTGACCGCTTCCTCTTTTTCTTGCTCCCCGCCCCCTCACTGTCATTAACAGGTCCCGCGGGAGTAGAAGGAATGACCACAGAATTGGCGCGCTTAGCTGCCCTGCGAGTCCTGGGAGGGGATGGTGCCCGAGGCTCTTCGGAGCTGGATTGTTCGTCGGAGCTATCTGCAGCCACCTCAATGGTGTCCTGCAGACCAGCGCCGCCCGACTCGATTTGCTCCGCAAGTTTCACCATTCGACTCTCATCTCCCTCGCTGAGAGCAAAGGATGTGTCTGTAGCCCGCGGAACGAGTGGCTTCTCAGGGCTGCTCCTGGCATCGACGAATTCGTCATCACCTGATTTCGGGCTGTCCTCCATGCGGGCAGCTTCGCGTAACAGCCGTCTCTTGGTCGGTGTCTCGGGAAGCCGTGGTGGTTCCGGCGAGGGCGAGGCGTTCCTGTCCGATAGGTCCGTCAAGTCCGAGGAGTCATCATCCTCTTCAATGAAACTGGAGGGAATGATTCTCTCATAGTTGATACCGACTGATTTTGTTTGAGCTCTATCGCTGGCCTTGCCCGTTGATTTCTCTCCTGGCAGCTGGACCTCTGAGGCTGCCTCTTGAGCATTGTTCCCTGGCGAGCCTGGGGGTGATGAGAATTCCCAGCTATCCAGTGAGTTGTCGATCCTCGAGCGAGACTTGATCTCCGAAAGGAGTGGGTATGGCCGAGGTACTGGCGGCGAGGAGGGTGGATCGTTGTCATCCACCTGCATGAGTTGGCCTCGTCTAGGAGTCGGTGTTGAGCTGATCAGGTTATCAAAGGACGTACGACGAGGTGTTGTCTCCCCCGCCTGGACTTCAGCGGGGCTTGAGGCTTCAGCGGGTTCAGGCGAGTTTTCCTTGGGAGGAGGTGACGAGCTTGTTCGCATATCTGAATAGATCCGCTCGGCTTCACGCTGCCTTTCCCGTACTTCCTTTTGCCTTTCCGTGAGGTGCTGGGAACCGTCTGCTGGGGGCGGAGATGATGATGGAACAAGGGTAAACATGACCTGAGAGTCGTCATGGCGGAGCTTGGGAGTGCCGCTCCGCTTTGTTGACTTTGTGCGGCTTGTCTCGAGAGTCTCCTCCTTGCGGCGCTTCTGGGCGGACATTCGAGTAGTTGCCCTTGAGCTTGAAGCCGCTTGGTTACCCGAACGAGATGAAATTGACGAAAGCACAACAAGCCCGCTTCCATCCGGCGGGGTGTTGAGGGAGGGCTCCTGAGCACCAAATGCACCGCCAGCCTTCTCAGCCTCGGCCAACAGCTGTTGTTTCTTTGACCCAGCGTCGGAAGCGATTGACTTCAAACTGTCCGAGCAAGCCAAGTTCTCTTCGTCTTGAGCAAGGACATTCCACAGGTCTATTGTCCTGTCGACAATGGCAGGGAGCTTGCTCTTGAAAGCAGAGGTCAGGAGTGGCTCCATCTGACTGAACTCGTCCCTTGTTAGCCGCCCTCGGCCCGCAACTTCGGCTGATATCCGATCCCATAGATGAATGAGCTGTTGCGAGTTAGTACATAGCAATAGTGTAGGTCCTCGTATGATTCTTACAGTCTTTGAGAGTGATGATGTCTCGTCATGCTCATAACATGATTTCTCATCCTCGATCCATAAGCATAGGCCGGTTTGGAAATTCGTAAAGGCCTTGACACCTAGCTGAGAGAAACATCTGACAAGAAAGCCTTCGATGCTCTCCATCAAAGGTACTATCTCAGCGTTGGCGTCGAAAACGGACATCCTGTTGTAGAAAGTCTGCAAAACTTGGTTACCGAGTCTGTAAAGATTGTCGAATGGATCCAGTGAACCTGCTCGTGCAGCCGTTAGGGATGTTCCCCACAGCCGTTGCCGTGCAGTATTCAAAGCAGTGTGATCACGCGGGAGCTTGGCAACATCAAAAAGCACTCGAATTGCCTTGAGAGTGGTTGCAGATGGCTTCTGGCTGTCGCTTCTCTCATGACAGACCAGCAGCGCCTTTGCCAGGGGCTCAGCAACAACGAGAGCACGGCCAGCATCGCCAACTTGCTGAGCAACGTGTTCGGAAAGTCGCTCAAACAGCGATAGCCATCGTTCCGACGGAAGCTGGGGATGTACAACGAGACCGCGCTCAAGCAGTGAAGCGATATCTCGATACTTTAGTCCCAGTAGTTTGCCACTGCCTGTCAGATTGTTGGTAGACTCGTTGTCCAAGGACAGAGACAAGTTCTGTGCCGCTAGCAGCCAAGGCCCAGAGGGGGATGGCGAGTCTCGAGGGAGTAGTTGCAAGAGCTCCTGTGTTTGCTCCAGGCGGGTTTTCGTTGGTTTGCCATGGAAGAACGGCTCGAAGACGCAAAGGAAGAATTCGGACAGAGCTTCGTCATCAGCAACACCCGGGGGAATAGAGGACAGCAGTGAGAAAAGGTGATGTAGAGGGGTCCGAACGATTCCCGGAAAGCTTGATCGACCCTGGTTTTGTGAGGGTGTTGCAAACGATTCGTAGGTGTTGACTACTGTCATGGCCAATTTCTTTTCGGTGAAAGGAAGCATCCCCAGCGCCTTGACTAGTATGTCGATGAAATTCCTGATACTTGCTAGAAACGCTGAAACGGGCAAGTTCGAGGGTGAAGGTATTCCGGTCCTCCAGATCTTGGACAGGAGGCCAAATGTGTGAGCAAAGAACTTGACTGTATCTTCTGATACTTTGATATCTTTCGCCGATGCCGCCGCAACAGCCCCGACGAAAGCATTCCACAGTCGATATAATAAAGATTCTTTGTTGGCCAAGTCATGGAATCTCCTTTCCAGAATGGGGCCAGCCGTTCCAAAGACTTTGTCGCAGTTTCGCCTTACCCATTTCGAATCCAAGGGTGGCAGCTCATCTGGGTTTGCAGGGGGGATCTCCATGATACGATCCTGTCTCCACATGCGAGGGGTGATCACGTCCAAGAGACTTGTCAAGATACGACCGGCTTGCATGAGGCAGTCTCCTGGTATCTCGGGCTTACCATCCAGATCAATAAGCTGGGATATAACTGGCTCAACGGCAACGTCCCATGTCGAATCGAGGGAGAGCTTATCATTCCCTGGAGCGAACGCATAGTAGTATAAGTTACACACCCCACCAATGACTGTTCTCTGGAGTCTCACGGCCTCTTCCAACTGTCTTGGGTTTGCCCGTCTTCGTAGCTGGCTCAAGAGAGGCTGGCAGAGGGTTCCTAGGACCTTTGGGCTGGCTTTGCTATCAGCCAAGGTAAGGTAGATGTACCGATTCCAGGCAAAGTTTGCTTCCTGCTTTGTAGTGGCATCTGCTGAGTTGAAGGCAGACTGGACGAGCGTTAGCCAAGGACCGTAGTGTTGCCACCTTTCTAGCGGGCACCGCATGTAAAGAATGATAGCACTCCATATTTGCGGTACAGCTGAGGCGCTTGATTTGTCCTTGAGCATGTCCTGCAGCTTCTTGATGTAATATTGGATGTAGGTTTGATCGTCATCCGCTGTCTGGAAAATCTCGCTGGCTTTACGCATAAGCTGCTTCTCTGACCGCAGAGCGAATCCGGCCTCAGTTGCAAGACTGATTGCCTGGGCTCGGATATCCTTGATAGTGCTCAGCATATCCAGGAGCATATCTTTGAGCCAGTTCGAATGAGTAACCATATGCAAGCGCGCCTGTTTGACAAGCCGCTTATATATGTGTATCCGGCTCATGACGATGCTCTTGCCTTTGAGGTGGTTCTCAATCTGATGCAGCGCCGCAACCAATCGTCCCACTCGATCCGATGTCATAACCTTGGGCGAGAAGTTTTGAAAGGCAATGACCTGCATCAGATGTCGCACAACGTCTTTGGGAGAGTTGGGGTCTTCGAAAGCGCGAATAGAGTGGTCGACAATGAATATTCCAAAGTCGGAGGTGAGGGTCGAGGCAATGGCAGGGAAGTGAAGAAAGGTGGCGAGCAGCGTGAGGGCGTGGTTGACCAGCGAAGAATCGAGAGCTCCGGAATCGTTTTTCGACGTGATGTCACGCTGGATAAAGTGCATAAACAGGCTCATCTTGTCTTGCAAAGCAACTCGGTCAGGGAGGTTGTTGGAAGCCTTCAAGGCCCTAGCGAGCGTCATGTACGCATCGAGCTTCGAGTCGCGATCGGCACCAGCCAGCTGCTTGATTGTCGAGTCCAACATTTCGATGATGTTTGGCTGGCCCAGGACCAGGTCAAATTCGGCACCGGACGAAACGAGCGGGTTCGGGGAGGGAGACGGTTTGAGAATGCCCTTGATCGGCTTGGAGGCAGGCGAAGGGACAGGAGAGGACCTGTGCAGCCTTTCAATGGAGCGATAGTCGATTGGATCCTTGTACTCAGTATGCGCCGACCAGACAACCCTCTTCCTTGTCCGGCTTGACATCAACTTGGAGTCTGGCACATCGGTCGACGTGGGCGTGTTGGCGGTTGGAGGAGTCTGGAGACTGTCCTGGGGATCGGACGAAGAGGCGCGGCTCAGGATCGTCTTGACAATCGGGTCGCCTTCCTTGCCTGCTTCCCGGGGAGGCGTCGGAGGCCGCGGTGGCAGCGATTCGAGGTTCGATGCTGGAGCCGCAGCTGCTGAAGATGCCATGGCTGCCTTGCAGCTTTCGGCGATCTACTAGACAGCAGTGAATCGGCCAGAGAAGAAGCGCGACATTGGATACCGCAGAACCGATTCGAGGAAGAATGGATCGGGTCCAGATTCAGAGAAGCAGGATATAAAAACTTCACCAAACGGGCCTCCTCGCTGCCATCACGGCCAGATGGATTTGCGACGAGCTGGGAGGAGGTACGGAGTGACACGGCCCTATGGATTTTACCGACAATTCAATTAAACCAGACGCGATCACGCCCCAGACACGCTCAGACACGCGTCTTAGCGCTGGACCCCACTGCAGAGTCCCCTATAAGCCAGCGGCTGGAAGCGCTGTGCCGGTTCGGGCCACTCAGGCGGACTTGTGCACAAATTTCTTCGAGGTACAAGCGATCTGGTGCGCTGATGCAGGCTCCTGCAAGTACCTACCTCTCAGCTTGACCAGGGGCTTGCCGACTGGAGCTGCAAGTCGCCTACAGGTATCGCCAATCTCCGCTGCAACAGCGCGTCATTGCCACTGAAGCTGAATGGAGCTGCTGATTCATGGCCGCGGCCAATCGCAGCAGGAGGAGAGCTGTCCACTTTCGAGATCATGGCACGGGATGGAAGACGTACGAAATCCGTATTGATTGATCAACTCTTTATAACCAGCTGAAATCCTTGCTCCCGGAAATGCTTGTAACGAGAAACCAAGCATCATCCCATCTCATTAATCTCATACTCGTAGCCTGACTTTTGCAGGCATCGTCAGACATTTCCTTGCTGTCTTTACCTACTTCATCATAAGCTTCTCCTTCTTTCCTCCACCATCCCCGATACCAGCCGACTCCTCTCGTCCCATGTATCTCAATACGAACCAGCTGTGATTTGGTGGCGACCCATCAGGACTTCTCTAGATAACGGCAACTTAATTGTCTGGCCGTTCTCGTCTGAAGCACTACTCCTCGTTCATTCTTACGCGCAGTTCGGATCTGCCCCTTCATGCTCTCTTCCCGTCTCTAATTTCGCTCGTTTTCGCCATGTCTAACGTCCAACTGGGCACCGCAACTGGCCCCGGTGAGTCCTCCAGCGACCGAAGACGACTCGGGACTGCATGTGGCTGACCAAAGCCTGTCCAGCAAAACTCAAAGCAGTGACTGAGCTGGTCAACAAACTCACTCAGAACCTTGATAATGACTCCCTATCCCCTAAAGGTTTGTCGATGGATGCGTCCTCCTCAAAAAGCCGGGGCATATCTTTCTGACTGCTGTTCAGACCGAGATGAGGCTCTTGAAGAGCTAAAGATTTACGGGCGAGACCCTCGGAATGCAGATCCCATCTTCACCAAAGAGGTTTGCATCTAAGCCCTAAGATGCTTGGGTTGATGATTCCAGACTGACCCTTGCCAGGGCATCTCTATGCTGTTACGGTATGGTTTTGACAGTTCGTCTAGCGACACGGCCCGAGCGGCTCTGAGGGTTGTGGCAAACTCAATGCTGCTAAAGCCTGAAACGAGGCGGATGCTCGTAGACCAGGGGTACGCCGTAAAGGCCTGCGAGGGACTCAAGACTGACAACTGGGATGACGAGTTTCTCAAGTCACGCATTCTACTGCTGTCCACCTACGGCACCAAGGAGCATCTGGCCAATCTCATTGCCGAGCACAATCTTGCTGAGAATATCACAGAGAATCTGAGCCGGCATGCTAAGCTCGTTGAGACCAAGTCCTCGCAGCCGCAGCCCATGGAAGACATGGCGCTTGCTGAGACATTGAAGCTCTTGTTCAACGTCACTCACTTCGCCAAGGATGAAGTTTCTCGGTTCAATGCAGCCGTTCCGCACATTATTACACTGCTATGGAAGCAGGACATTCCAACCTCTAATCCGCTCGATTCTCCTTTTGGACCATTGGTCAACACCTTGATCAACCTCGACATTTCTACCCCTTCCAACCAAGAGGCCATCTATCCTAGCTCTGACCCCAACAAGGTCGCCGCCAGACTGATTTCACTCCTCGATGCGGCCATGGCACATTACGGTGATAGTGATCTCGAGGCTACCGTCACTCCTTTGGTCAGCACGATACTCAAGGTCCACGAGCATGCTCCCGAATCGGTGCGCCAGTTCATCAGCAGCAAACTACTACCGACCGCAGAAGAGAGAAAGGCAGTTCTCGGCAAAGGCACGACACTTTCGGCAAGACTACTAAAGAACTCGACCAATCCGTTGACTCCCTCCCTTCGAGATGTCATCGCACACCTGCTCTTCAATCTATCGGACAAGGATGCGTCAAAGTTTGTCGAGAACGTCGGTTACGGCTTTGCTTCCGGCTTTTTGTTCCAGAATAACGTACCGATTCCCGGAAGTGCGTCAAGAGCCTTCAATGCCGGCGACTCTACAGGTGCCCAGAGGCTTGTGAATCCCATTACAGGACAATTCCTGGACCAGGAGAAGGTTGCAGAGATGCCTCCCATGACTGAAGATGAGAAATTACGCGAGGCGGAGAGACTGTTTGTGCTCTTCGAACGGTAAGCTCTCTAATTCATAGACCAAGACCAGACAACTAACAATACACTTCCAGACTCAAGAAGAACGGCGTGATCGACGTCGAAAATCCCGTTGCACAGGCTTTACGAGAAGGAAAATTCCGAGACCTTGGCGATGACGAGGTCGAGGAGCTTGACTGAGCGTGTCACACATCGTGAGACGGGCATGACACGTGTATCTAATACTCATTCGTAGCACATCATTGCAGGGCATAGCATGAAGTTGTAGGATGTTTTGCAGGCGGCATGGGCTTGGATTAACTATGTAGCTCTGCAGATGGTTTAATGAGATTGAGGCATTGCCTACACTTGTAAGGGAAATCCGCTTCCCCAAAAAAGACAAAGTGAAGTCTATTGAGCAGCTGCCGCAACTGCCATCAAGCAGGATGCAATTAGCCGACGACACATTTGTTTATGCCGCCATCTCCAGCCATAGTTCCACAGGCAAACATTTCGACCATTGTCAGTTTGCATTTCTTGTCATTCATCACACCTCTGGGTACTCAGAACAATTTGGCACGGGTTAATTGCAGATGCAATGCTATTGTAATCAAACACTTATCTACGTATCTGAGGTGGGAAAATAGCCTAATAAGTGCTTTGAATCACCGACGCAAACAGATGAGCTCTAGGTAAGAATAAAGAGCCTCGAAGGTGACCACGTGACCGCATACATACTTCAGATGAACTGACATTCTTTCAAGCTACGAGTGAAAGCATCTGTCAACACAACCTTCTTTACGCGTTTTTTTCACCTCTTTCACATTTCTCGAGCCTTTTGACCATTTTTCGCCCGAAAGATCCATCAACTTTGACGCGTTCCTCTCAGCCCTGCAAGACACAGCCATGCCCCGGTTCTTTGACGATTCCGACATCGACGCAGGCGAGCTCTTTCCCATGTAAGAAGCATCTCGATGCCTCATTTGACAATCTGAAATTTCATATTCCTTAACATCTGGGCTAGGCCTTTTGAAGTTGCCGGGTTAGATGTCTCCAGTCACCACATCTCACCGGCTCACTCTGCGCATTCACCAGCAGAGTCCGAGATATCTTCGGCCAGTCGGTTAGCTTCACTAGTCCGGTCGCCAGCTTCTCCAAAGTTCAGATCAGCCAGATCTTCGACGCGCTCTTCAATCGCCAGACAATTTAATGGCGTGGGAGAAAAGGCGGAAGGTGATACAGCGCCTGCTACAGCGGGGAAAGAGATCACCCCGGTTTCCTCTTCATCGGGAGCAAGACAGTCAACGCGAGTTCGTTCAGCACCTGCGCAGGCAAAGCCTACTGCTGCCGCTACGAAGGCTACTCGGAAAGCTTCAGCCTCTGCTAAGAGGGAGCTGCGGACAAAGGCAAGGACCGATGCTAAGGGCGCGATTCGGAAACCTGGACGACCGGCGAGATCGGCGGCAGTGAAGACGCCGGCGACGAAGAAGACCTCAGCAGTGAAGACGGCGGCAACAACACCGCGCAGGGGAAGGCCCGCAAAGGAAGCAAAGGCGGCAAAGCGTCAGGGCAGGAGTGGGAAGTCGAGCAGATTGTCGACTCCATGATTGACGAGGAGACGATGGAGCATTTCTTCAGGGTCAAGTGGAAGGGCTACAGCAGCAAGGACAACACGTGGGAGCCGAAGAAGAATCTAACCCATTGTAAGGGTTTACTCGAGGCGTTTGAGAAGAAGGCCCAAAAGTGATGATGGGAATGTGCAGGGTGGCATTTATTTTGGGGTTTGAATTGCGAGAGGTGCGAATCAGTGTGGTTGTGAAAGATATGGCAGATTTCCTATGCTCGTCGCCCTTTATCGATTCAGGGTAAGAGGGGGGCATTTGAGTCGGGCTCATCTCTTTCGCCGAAGACAATAGCTAAGAAGTCGCGGTTTTCCAATGCAAGGCATCAGCGCAATGTGGGATGCGTACAAGTGAATTGCTCCTGTGATGCAAAGAACAAAGTCTTGACGGAAGGAACATGACAAGCACCTGGATGATTTGTCTTTGATGCCGTTGCCAGGTGATCCAAAACGCTCACCCTTTGGTTCTCAGTCGATGCATTCTCCTTGTGCACCAACCGCACGACAGAGCCCATTCACAAAGAGAATTAGCAAGCCGTTCATTCAACCAATTAGCTTGCGGCCTTAGCTCAGCTGGGAGAGCGTCAGACTGAAGCCTCAACTTCAATCACCTTGACATCTGAAGGTCGTGTGTTCGATCCACACAGGCCGCATTCTATTTTTGAACTTTTTGTCAAGATTATGTTACTACATTGATTATCTTGCCTGTCTTTCAACTTGCTTTTATTCTGCTTTTTTCTCTCTCTTCTTCATTCGGACCTCCTGAAGAAATCTCCAAGGTTGGTTAATGGGACAAAGTTGGCAAGAGATCTATCTATAAGTGAAACTCCTGTGCTCACAGCCATCGTGCATGCTTCAAGTGACTGACCGACTGATCATCTTCACGGCATCTCAGAGGCGATGGATGGATGGTATCTACTCGTATCGTTGAAGCCTCATATCGAATTTAGATTTTTTTTTTTATAGCCTATCGAGGGGTCCTCACAATCTCATTCTCAAGCGGTCGGCGCCCGGTTCGGGCTCGGCAGGTTGGCCGAGGAGGCCAAGCCGATATGCTGATTCCGCTTGGTCAAGCCGTGAGTTGACCCGCAAGTCAAGCCGAGATGACTCTAACGGAAAGTTCCCTGGCTCGGCAGGCTTTACGGAGTAAGAGTACGAGGTGGAGTGTACATCCTGTTAGTTGACGATGTTCGGCTGGTCGGCCGTCAAGCCGAGATCAGTATCTGGTCATCTTAATATCCAGAACAGATATTGCTTCACTTGCCCCATCCAACCCGTTCGAAAATCTTATACATAGGACAATGTAATTCTGATTTACATCTATTCGTGTAATGTATTCCCTTACACGTCATATCTAAATCGCTAAATGATCAAGTAGACGCTCGGCTTCCAATGTGCAATATGCAAGTTTGTCATCTCTCACCCACTTGTCTCACACCTTCGGTGTCTGCAGAGCATATCCATACAGCAGCTCCATCACGCCAGGATTGTTAGGATCCTCCTCCTCCCACTTCTTCACAAGCTTGAAGCCCAGCTTCCCCAGCACATTCTGACTCGGCCCATTCGAATCCGCCGTCACAGCCGTGATCCGCTCCAGCTGCGGCTCGTCCTCACTACCCTCGATAGTGCTCCTCTCCACCATGATCTCGACCTCCTCACGGGGCAGCGCCCAGTACGCCTCGAGCACCGCCGTCACCAGCTCCGTCGCAAGGCCCTTTCCCCAAAACTCGGAGCGGATCATGTAGCCAATGACCGGCCAGCCGAGCTCGCCCTCGCGCATGTGCGAGCCTCCCGTGCCAATCATCTCGCCCGTCTCGGCCCAGCAGACGGCGAACTCGTACGCCGACTCGCCGGCGTCGCTCCCCGGTACCCTGTTGGCAAAGACCTTTGAGGTGTGCTCCAGGTCGGGGTCGGGCTTGCCTTGCGTTGTCCACTTCATGACTTCGGGCTGTGTGCGGAGGAGGTGGAAGTCGTTGAGGTCTGTGGCGGCGTAGGGCCGGAGGATGAGGCGTTCTGTTCGGATGGGCTCTCGGGTGGACATGGGAGGGTAGGGGGTTTTGGGGAGGGTTGTTTTGACTGTGACCCATTCTAGGGGAGTGGGAGGATGGCTGGGTTGTGCTGCCATTGTGAGTATGTTTTCTCGTGAGGGCGTCGAGTGAAAAGTGGCTTTGTGTAAACGCTGGAAGCTGCGGGCGAAGGCCAACTGTATGACTAGAAGTCCTTGAGATGCACTCGATGGGAAGAGGTGCTGTAATGCAGAAAGGTGCATGAATGAGGGCTGGAGTTCGTTTATATGCCCGAAGCAAGTGGCCCTTTTGCTTTCAATATACTCAGCCTTGCTCATTGCGTGACTCATACCGGCTTGAAGCCGGACTGCTAGCTGAGAACGGCATCATTCTCCATAGGTATCGTGCCGTATGAGTATCTGAATACTCCGACCAGTATTTTGGACCGTGTATAGGCGGGCTTCCGATCATAGATGGGACGTCTCAAACAGGTTGGTCGGCCGAAAACTTCTTCGCCGGCTCCGCGCCAGTCGGCGAGCCCGATTCGGAACGACTGGCGCGCAGTTTTCGATGGTTTACAGGAACGGACTGCTATCATTTGTCAGAGAGAATAAGCATACTTCTTTCAGGGTGGCATGACAATGACTGGCTCAAGCAACGCGATTGGACACAAGGAAATGTGATATGCTTGCTTGTAATATGGAAAGGTCTCCTGGCTTGCTTCGTGAAGCTGTTGAGGCGTTCAACTGGATTTTCTGGTAAGCCATTCGCCTTTCCCTGTAGAACTATCAGATTGACACCGATTCACATCTTTCGTGTAGGCATTGTGTTTCTCTGCCATCGAAAGTGACGCCGAAGAGTAAAGCATTAAAATAATTCACTTTTCTTGCGTCATAAATCTACACCGTGTTCTGAATTTTTGGTTCATTCAATGCTCTTCTTAAACGAGCAAATGCAGTGATATTTCCATGATCCGTTGTAAACACCCGCAGAACCTAGCCCAACCGTCCTCAAAACCAATAACATTCTTAAGCGAAAGTGGATGGTCGCTTCGCGCTGAACAGCTTCTGGGTGCTGGTCTTGGTGATGCGGTGGGGGAGAGGGAACTTGAGGTTCTTGGTAACCAGCTGCTTGATGTAGGGGCGCTTGATGTCGGCAGTCTTCTCGATCTCAACAACACGGAGGATCTGGCAGATTGTCAGCAACAGAGCTCGCGCCTCTTCTATCGACGTCTTGTTCAACATACGTGGATGGACCTGAAACGAGCACGGTGGCGGGCGGCCATGTCGGAGTACAGGGACTCGACAGCATCGGTCCTGGTCAGCTCTCTGTACTCCTTGTACATGTTGTGAGTGCCGGAGCGAGAGTCGTATCGCAGCCAGATGCCGAAGTTCTTGACCTTCTCGGGGTGCTTCTCGTGGATCTAGAATTTTCCTTCCGTCAGTCGCCTTTTTCTTAACGGAAAATTGAAGTCGGAGTCCACGTACCGCCTTGATGCTGACGATCTCACCGGTGGCCTTCTTGACCTTCTTGAGACCACGCAAGAAGTACCAGTAACGGGACTTGGCGACAGTCTCGTTAGGGGCGAAGATGGTCATCCGGTACATGGCCGGGGTAGGGTTGGCCTCGGTGGGCAGGTGGCGCCCGATGACCTCGTACTCTTGAAGGCGACCTGGTGGCATTCTGTTAGTATCCAAGGTGATAGAAAGTTTTGATGGATGAGTTCCGTCGAATGCGCGTTGTCGGTAGTCTCGTGCCAAATTGTTTATTGTCGTCGAAAACTTTTTTTCGTCTCGGCTTCAACAGGTCATCCAGAGTCATGTTCCTTGCTCTTCATGAATGTCGTATGATCGATGTCGAGCCCAGCCCTGCCTCTCCGAAGCAATGTGCTATCGAGATCCAATCGAGTGTCTGATTTCGAGATTTCATCTCCGAAGATGGCGGTCGGTTGTTGATTTTGTAACGAAAGTCGACGGCTCCCAAGTCCTCCCCGACAACGCGCATTCTCGAAATTGTGAACTGGTTATGGAGAAGATTCTTACCCATCTGGAATTATCGTTAGTATGTACAATCTCCTGAGGTGAAATGTCCTGGCGACTCACTGTGACTGTGCTTGTCCTCGACAAATCGCGAAATTTGAAGATTGTCAAGTTAGAGGTGATGCAGCGATAATTTTTGTGTGCGGGTGAGTGGGGAGGGTTGAGCACCAAACTCGGCGCAGGGCTTTAACCTCCACAGCGATTGGTTGCTGGCCAGATCCGCAGCCCCACGAGATTTCCGGACAGAATCACGTGTCAAGTCACAGGCTGCTCCTGCTTACCTCATCCTCAAAAGAGAGCTAAAGGGTACGTACCTTGACGGCATTACTGAGATGCAGTGGGTGACATGGCGTAGGAGCTTCTTCTGTGGTACCTTACGGAAAGAGGCTTGGGTGATATCAACAAACGTCGCCGCATCCTTGTCCCGATTCAACGTGGAATAAACCTCCATTGAAAGCTTCATTCGCTACTCTCACTCGACTTGAGCTGGACGCCGTTCGCATAGGTACTACCGACCAAGCCTGACGTCGAACCAGCATCTCGTCGCTATGAACGAGCTATTCAAGGGCTTTGCGAAAGCCCATGCTGAGCAGAATGGATATCTGCTCGCGGCAACACTCTCACCAGTTTCCCCAGAAGACAACCCCCAGCGGCTCAGGTCAATTTGGAAGAGCAGCAATGCGCACAGCATCAAAGGCGACATCAAGCATTTGATCAAGTCAAATTCTAGGAGTTTGGACCACGAGGAGATCAAAGGCTGGGTGGAGGTGTATGCCGCATATTGGAATGCTGTCGGGGACATTGTTGCGGGAGAGGACGGCAAGGTAAATGCGTGCTCATGATTGATATGCGGCTGATGTGCTAATATTCGGACAGTCAACGTGGACCAAGGTCTATGAATCATGGAAGGAATTGACATCGGTGCTGATCCGAGGTTACAACAACTTTGGCTTTGAAGCATGGACGATCCCCTGCCTATATATGGTTGGCAAATACCTGAGATTATTCGCCATCAAATCCGATACAGAGCGTAGCCGCAACCTTGGCGACAACTCGGGGGGAGCCTCGCTGATGCAGGATGACTTTGACCCAGAGACGGAAAAGCAAGGCCAGTTGAGAGATTGTGAGCAGCACCTGAAGAGGATATTCACCCTATGTCTCAACGACAGGTTTGTTGCCCATCTCGGATTTCTTGGGTAACGCTGACATCAAGTCTAGGGCGCCATTAGAAGAGTCTAGAAAATGGGGCATCTACTTCATCATCAACCTGCTGTTCAAGACATACTTTAAGCTGAACTCGGCCTCTCTCTCACGGACTATCTTGAAGACCTTGAGCGCCTACAGAGGAGATATGCCGCCACTTTCCGCGTTTCCAAAGTCGCAGCGAGTCACCTTCAAGTTTTACGAAGGTGTCCTATTCTTCCTCGAGGAGAACTATGTCGAGGTAAGGAGAATGCTTATTCTTGATGATCCCAGCCTAACCAATGGTACCCATAGGCCGAGAAGCATCTTGTCGAAGCCTGGGAACTTTGCCAGAAAGATGCCAAGCCAAACCTGGAGTGCGTTTGACCCTTTTATCCCTCCATCTCATTGCAATGCTAATTCCATGTAGACGGATCCTTACCTACCTCATCCCCTGCCGTCTTCTCACAACCCACGTATTGCCCACAAAGGCACTCTTGGAGCCGTTCCCACGCCTACAAAAACTCTTCCTCCCTCTAGCCCAATGCATTAAAAAGGGCGACCTTCACGCCTTTGACCTTGCATTGCAGGAGAATGAAGATGAATTCGTGAAGAGACGCATTTACTTGACGCTCGAGCGTGGTCGCGACATTGCCTTGCGGAATCTGCTGCGCAAGGTCTTCATCGCCGGAGGGTTCGACGAGCTCAAAGAGGGCGAAACTACGCCAGTGCGCCGTACGCGAGTGCCCGTCACAGAATTTCACGCGGCCATCTCTATGAGCAGCGGGGGAGAGATGGTTGACCCGGATGAAGTTGAATGCTTGCTGGCGAACATGATATACAAGGTATGTTCATGGGTCTCATCTTATTCACTTCAAGAGGCTATTCTTCCATCACCTGACTGTGCATTCATCAACGCTCGAGTACTAATATTGACATAGGATTTGATGAAAGGCTACATTGCCCGCGAACGAGGCATCGTGGTGTTATCCAAGAAAGGCGCATTCCCGGGTACTGGCGTCTGAAAGAGGACCCTCTGACGAACCACTTAATTCTCCATGTTCCCCATACGAGCACCAGGGTGCCTTGTTCAAAAGACCGTTTGGAAGGCACAGGCCAAGGTTGCATGACTGGCATGACTTGTTAGGACTGTTGAACCCCTGATCACTGTGGCGTACATCGAATATTAGCTAGCGAAGATGTCCTGGCATAAGACGCAGAATGCCTCTGGCCAAATTTGCCATTGCATTCCAGCACTTCAGAAAATGGGTGGCCGCGTACAGCCCATCCATATGCATGCCTCCACTGCTACTACGCTTACTTTTCGGCTTGAAAGAATGAGTCATTTGCCCAAAAGTCCAAGGATCCGTTTCCGAGTACACCCATCTCAGGGCGGTTGTATTGTGCCCTATGCGTCCTCCATGAGTGAGTCGCGGATAAAGGGCCTTATCACAACACCTTGCAGTGGTTCGCAAACTCCGGGTAAATCCAGACAAATGCTACGAATTCGGGAACCTTCGAGTCATACAGTGATACGAGCCAGCCTTGCGACTTCATCTTCGGTTCAATCTGGAGTAAAAACTATATAATCCCTCCTTCATAAAGACCAAATCATCGTAAATTCGGATAGCACCATAATTCTCCAAGGACCGACAAAAGAGATGCAACAAACAAGCCGCAACACTTGCTGGCCAAGGAAGGGGGGGGGGGATTGAGAGATATTGATACAAGACATAATATTGGGAATAGCCATGGGAGAGGTAAAGAATCACATAACCCATCAGTCCTTTTGGGTTGCTTATTTTTTTCCATGATCTGAGTTGGTATCGTCTTTGGTGGGTGACATAAGAAACAAAGAGATTGCATGTGGCGAGTAGATGGTGAGATGATTCTTCTCAATCGTAAATCCCACAGCAATCAGCAGGAAAAGGGGGGAATACAATCAAAGAAACAATAAGGAAAAACCTACTGCGCAGACGAAATATCATCGACGTGATTGCACAGCGCCACAAAAAGGTCAAAGAAGAGAGGGGTGCCTCCATTGAACATCTCGAGCTGCATGGTGCCGCTTCGCTTGAAGGTGCTACGGGACCGAATAATAAGGGCCAGGTAGTGCGCTCGCAGCTTGGAGTCGTTTTCGGGGGTGTTGGCGTACGCATATCTGGCTGAGGCCAAGATGGTGCTGCACTGGATGCCTGATTCTGCAAATGTGTCAGATGGGGGACGAAAGTAGGGACTAGGAGTGGTCAAAGGGAAACTTACGGAGACCTTGTTTTCGTAGAGCCAGCTTCTTCAATTCGCCTAGACCATATCGCTCGGCAGCACAGTAGATGACGGTGTCCTTGAGGAGGTCCCCGTCAACACCATGGTGGTACACTGTGCTCTCCGCGGCCCTCTTGTCATGGTCACTGACAGTGGGTTCTAATTCCCACGAGTCCCGCCGTTTGTTGTGCACTAGGCGAGGATAGTAGTCCCCCTTGTACATGAACTCCAGCACCGAGCTGAAAATCTCGGGTTCCTCATCTGGAAGCGAAATCCTCTTCGCAGCGGGATCGGTGTAGAGGTTTCGCATGGCGTTGTCGAAGAAGGGGCTCGCGGAGAGGACGTTCTCATGGGCGGCGAAAAGACGCTGTTCGGCACCGATAACGAGGGTCACGATGGAAGATCCCAGGCTGCTAAAGGCCATGTTAGTCTATAATCCGGCGGTGGCAAGGCAAGAGGGCGAGCGGGTTACCTGGTCATCATGATGTCCTCGCCGAGGGCAGCAGAGGAAGACGTGGCTGCTCTTCGATGACGAGACTCATGACGTTTCTTCGAGATGCCGCTATCCTTGCTGAAGGAAGAGCTGGACTTGGAGACTTTGTGACCCTTGGAGAAGCTGCCCTTGGAAAAGCTCCGGCTGGAGGACTCATACCGCTGAGAGAACATGGTGGACCCGTCAAAGAAAAGGATTGAAGAGGAATGAATCAGATAAAAACACAGTCGCCATCAATAAAGATGCAATGAGCTGCGTAGAATGCTCATAGCCCGAAGACATGAAGCATCCAAGAAAGAAAGGCGAGTCGATCGCTGCGAGGAACCGGTTCCAAGGCACCAAGCGAGACGATGCTGATTTTCTGCGCATAAAGCGAGGTGGATGCCATGCTTTTATACGAGATGGGGCCCGAGCCCAAAAGACTGGCGCTGGCTGCCTATGGACACCCCCCGAATCCCTTAGTGAGGCGGTCTAGGCAGGGTTGGTGATAATGGGATGACACAACGCGTCCACTCGCCAAATCTCGCGTCAGATGTGGCACAGTAAACCCACGGTGCGATACTGTGAGACGCCAAAAGTCTGCGAAAGCACGTGATGCTAGGCGGCACTTGTATGACCATCGACCATCTCTGGGCGGCCAAGGCGGATTCACAGCGCGATGACCAAGGATCCTTGTTGAACCTGTCGAGTCAGAGCGAACAAGGACGGGATTAAGGGGGGCCTGGCCGGCAGGGAGTGTGGCGAGCAGCAGACAGCCTGTTTCAGCAGCTCGATAGCCGTGCGGTGCCTGGAGCTGTGCAAGGTTTCCCGACTCCAGCCTGCAGGATTGCATGATAGTGCAGCACAGCTATGGAGTCTGTAGGATCGAAAAATCTTTGGGCTCGCGAATAGTGAAAACTTCAGATATTTGGACCTTGGGATACCCGGATCCAATTGCGACCAATTCCACGAACAATTTGATGCCGGCCATGACAGAAGCTGTTCTGACATTTGGAACTCCCTATCTGATCCTCACGGAGGCCAGAGACTCACAACCCAACGGCTTCTTCCAAGCCTCACGCTTGGGCCATGCGTCGGTGCCAGTGGATCATGGCTTGATTGTGTCTGCAAGGTTACAGGCTTCGTTGCATCTGGGTCTCTGGTGAGCTAGTTGGGGCCAGACTTTGCCATGACGAGAAGTCATGGCCGTAGTGCGACGTATCGGCCCAAGTCTCGAAGTATAAGATTCGGTGTCTGGTGTTCACGCTCAAGTTTTGCCTTTTGCCAGCCCCGACGGGCGTTGCACCTGTTCCCGCGCCCGCGAAACAGCCGAGACGATAGATTGTGCAATGGCCTGTTTGCCTTGTCTCCTCACCATCACATCGTTATGGAGAGCTCCGCTGACTGTGTGTAGCTCTGCAAACAGCTGGACTTCCTTGCAGCGCTGATAGAGAAGGCGGCCGTGGTCAGAGGGGACGAGCTCGTCTTTGCCCGCCTCGACTATGTACACCTCCGGCTTGTGGGCTTTGGTGGCTATCACGCCTAAATTTGCCCAGCTGTCAAGGTGGTTGCGCAGAAACGGCCAGAGGTGACGATACGGCAGCCACTTCTGCGGATAGAGTGCTTCGAGCATTGCACGGGTATTCGTGAACGGCGTTTCCAACACCAAGGCACTGATTGGTAGATTGTCGCCATCTTGCGTCTTGGCTGCTAGGTTTGTTGCAAAGCCACATCCGATGCTCTGCCCCCAGAGAATGGTGATAGGCGCTGCCTCCGCTTCCTTGTGCCTCTCACGATGGAGCCTTGTAATCCATCGAAGTGCCGCCTCGGAGTCCAAGTCGATGCCCTTTTCAGAAGGACGATCGTGGGATGTCCAATACCCTCTGTAGCTGAGACATACCGTGGTGTAGTGAACCTGTCCCTCGGTCGCTGCCTTGAGCTGGCGCAGGACACCAGAAATGTCTGGCAGTCGAGGGGGAAGAGACGAAGCATTTCCTGGACCACGACTCAGCCGGCTGATGATTTGCAATGGCAGAGGGCGGCAAACCTTGAAAGTACAAAATGTAGACTGGCGTCTTTGGTGGTTTTGAGGAGCCAGCACTCTCTTTTCCACACGACATCTCACTTATACACAGCGCAATTTCTGTGCCATCCAAGGACTTGATCCTCTCCTCGCGCCATTCGACGCCACCACACTGGCGAGCAAACTCGGATATCTGCATGCTCCGAGCATTTGGCGGGAGGAAGGGGTTGTAAATGATGGCGTTCTGGAACAAGACGAGCATGATGCACTTGTAGCACCAGAGGGCGAGGAAGAGACCGGTGAAGATGGCGGGCGGCATCAACACTTTGCCAACATGGAATTGCCTCTTCGCGATGCCTCGCCCGCGTCTGGACCCATGCTGGACGACGCAGTTCCGCCATTGGTATGCCCATGGCGTAGCTGTTCGGTATTGCCTTGCTGTGACATGTATAACCCGCCGTCTGAGGTGCGCAGGCAATGAGGGTGAGAGGCGCATTACTGCAGAACCCAGGACTGTGGGAGAAACGCCTTGGCTGGCCATTCACAACATGCTCGACCACGGCTTTCCAAAGAGGCTGAGCTGTGGAAGAATTGTAGCCTTTGCAGCCAAAACCAACAACAACGTGCCCAGCCGTCAATCTGGCTGACTGGTACGAGATAGGTTGTGGTGCTGTGACCTTGTTCCGTAAGGACGGGAATAATGATGCGGTTCCAAGGTTCAGGTTCCCGTCCCTCGTCAGGCTAAAGCCGCCAATGCATTTGCTGGGTTTGGTGGATGCTTTTAGTGGGCTTAGGCTGTATCTCGTCACTGGAAAAAACTGCCACTACCTGATCCATCAGGCTCGCAGGCCTTGAAGCTTAAATGCCCGTTGACGTATTTAAGGTTAGGTACATGGACATACATCGATTCTTCGCAGGCAGCCATTCCACACCACTCGTCTCTCCGTCTACACACTACACACCTGGTATACGGTGATACAGCGTTCCACAAGCACACAACTGCGACGACATAACCTGCTCGACCCTCAGAAGCTAGACAGCTACCGATCCTGCCGCGAACATCTTGCCCCCCCGAGCTTCCTTCTGCTGTAATTGGCAGTCCGACCATGGAGGTGCAGCCCGAGAAAGATAAGGAGGGCGAGAGCACTGCTCACATCGACATCGTTGATGACCGGCCGTCGCCTCGCATTGATGGCGAGCCGAGCCCGTCGCTGAGAGACAGCAAGGGCTGGGATGGCAAGCTGCGCATGCCCAAGTCCGCGCTCATGAGCAACCCCGAGGCCTTGTCAGATCCGGAGTACTCAGATGACAGCAATGTGCTGCAAGGCGAGGAGATTCGAGCAGACGAGAGTAAGACAATGACAAAGCCGACGGCTCCGATGCCTTGAGAGGGAGCAGAAGAGAGCTGACGTACGAACTTCATACAGATCTGCTCGATAGCGAGGATTCCGAAGCGGAAGAAATCATGTGCTCCCACTCGCGCGTCTCGTCACTTTCCGCCCTGCGGCTGGAGCGGTTCAAGAACGTGGCTCGCATCTGTCTCCGGCAGAACCTCATCCAAGATATCGAAAGCCTCGATAGCCTCGCCGGCACGCTGGAGGAGCTCGATCTATACGACAACCTCATTTCACATATCCGAGGCCTAGACAACCTGACGAAGCTCACAAGCCTCGACCTCAGCTTCAACAAGATCAAGCACATCAAGCACATTAACCATCTGAAGAACCTGAAGGAGATATTCTTGGTCGCTAATAAGATCAGCAAGATCGAGGGACTGGAAGGCCTTGACAAGCTCAAGTCACTGGAGCTCGGCTCAAACCGCATCCGAGAGATTCAGAACCTTGACAGCCTCAAGAACCTGGAGGAGCTGTGGTTGGCGAAGAACAAGATTACGGAGCTGACGGGGCTCGGCGGGCTGCCCAAGTTGCGCCTTCTGAGTATCCAATCCAACCGTATCCGAGACTTGTCCCCTCTCAAGGAGGTTCCTCAACTGGAAGAACTCTACATTGCTCACAACGCCCTCGAGTCTTTGGAAGGCATTGAGAACAATACCAGCCTCAAGATTCTGGAGATATCCAACAATCAGATCAGCAGCCTCAAGGGTGTCGGTCCCCTCAAGGACCTCGAGGAGTTGTGGGCCAGTTACAACCAACTTAGTGACTTTGCCGAGGTGGAGAAGGAGCTCAAGGACAAAGAAGAGTTGACAACGGTGTATTTCGAGGGAAACCCTCTTCAGCTTCGCGGCCCTGCTTTGTACAGGAACAAGGTTCGGCTGGCACTGCCACAGGTCAAGCAGATTGATGCTAGTGAGTTTTCCATTCCGATATAACGCAGGCGGGAACTTTAGACTAACCATCTTCAGCATTTGTGAGAGTATAGAGAGATTATGGTTGGCAGGTAATACTGTGGTGTTCAATTTGGGGCATACGATGGCGGGACGGCCTCTCTCTGGAGGAAATATTACGGCGTCAATTGACTTACATGCGATGCGCATCGTTCACTTTGAACAATGCAAGCGCTTGCGCTATGATTTATCTTTGTTCAAAATCTGCTATCTTCCCGCCGGAAAGGAAGCGTGTAAAGGGGGAAACAAGGGTTGTGTCTGTTTCCGTAGTCTGGAATATTCGCTATCTGTATTCTATAACAGAGAGACTGACCGCTCAATTTCTATTCCGTGGACAAAGAACAATGACATCGCGATGGGAGGTTGACAAGCACAGAGATGTTGGAATTTCTTTTTTCATTCTATTTCTTTTCTTGTTTATTGGAACATTTCCTGATTTAGCCAAAGAGGTAGAGCTTGTTGGCAGAGAAGTACTGCGAACAAAAGACTGTCAGCAAGGCAACGAACAAATGCAACAAGGAACGACAGAGTTGAACAGCCGAACAAGGAGGCAAAAGAAGAAAAGAACTCACGTTGGTGGGCTTGTTGAACCGAATGTTCAAGTCCATGTCGGCAATCTTGGCCAGGTCCTCGCTGTCGAGGTCGAAGCTGGTCGAGTCGAGGTTCTGGGCCATGACCTCGGGGCGAGACGTCTTGGGGATGACGGCGATGCCGCGCTGCGTGGCCCACCGCAGCAGGACCTGGGCGGGCGTGCGCTTGTGCTTGTCGGCGACGGCCTTGATGACGGGGCTGTCCATGAGGGGCGCGACGCTCTTGGCGCGCGGCATGTCGAGCTCCATGAAGCCCGTAGGGCCAAAGGAGGAGTAGGCGGTGACGACGATGCCCTCGGTCTGGGCGAGGCTGACGAGGTCGGGCTGCTGGAGGTACGGGTGGTGCTCGATCTGGAGCGTGGCGGGCTTGATGCGGGCGTAGATGAGCGCGTCGTAGACGGACTGGGCCTGGTAGTTGGACACGCCGATGCTGCGGGCGAGCCCCTTGTCGACGAGCTTCTCCATGGCGCCCCAGGTCTGCTGCAGCGTCGTCTTGCTCCAGCGGACCTCGCTCTTGCCGTCGTAGAACCAGCCGGGCGGGTAGCGCACGCTGGGGTCGACGTACTCGAGGGCGGCGGGGAAGTGGATGAGGAAGAGGTCGAAGTAGTCGATCTGCCAGTCGGCCAGCTGGCGGCGCGTGATGGGCTCGACCTTGTCCTCGTCGTGGAACGTCTGCCACAGCTTGGACACGATGAAGAGGTCCTCGCGCTTCACGAGGCCGTCCTTGATGGCGCGGGCGACGCCCTCGCCGCACTCCTTTTCGTTGCCATAGTCTGGGTTGTGACAAGGCGAAGCGTTAGCGATGGTACTTGATACTGTGTTGTGTTGTTTTTTGGTGTTGAATGGACACACACCCCTCCCCCCCTTTCTGATGGAACAGGGGGAGGGGTGAGAGCGGGGGAGGGGCAGAAGAGACAAAGGCCCCTGTGAGAAGAGAGCTTCGACGAGGGGCAGACAAGAGAAGAGCAGAAGAACGCTTTCTGCCTTTTTTTTTTCTCTCTTCTTATTCCGGAAACGGTGCTGAAAGAGTGCAAATATACTCACCACAAGCACCGTCAAACAGACGGTATCCGGCCTTGATGGCGTTGTACACGGTATCCGCGCACACGGCGTTGTCGACCTTCCAGAGGCCAAAGCCCACCTGGGGCATGTCATATCCGCTGTTGAGCTTGATCGTGGGAGACGCCATCGTGCCTGTCTGTTGTGTTGTCGACGACGAGAAGCAGCGTGGGCGAGGGTGAGATGATGGGACGGACAGGAAGGAGTAGAAGAAGGGAGAGGAGGAGGAGGAGGAGGAAGAGGAAGAGCAGCGGAAGGAGGAGGAAGGCGTCCGGGCCTTATTTATGCACAGCGCTCGAACTCCACACGAGAGGAGGCTTGCTCGGGGCCTCATGGCCGGGAAATGGGATGCCGCACGCCTCTTGGTATTCTCGGCAGCCTTGCCTTTGCTGTAGGGGGGATTTCCGTATCTTTCTCCTTCGCGACTAAATGTACTAAGCGGAGTCTTTCTTGTTTGGTTACGGAGTGATTATTTGGCTTAGCCTGCCAGGTTTGAGGGTCAGCTGGGACCCCGTGGGATGGATGGATGGATGGACGAGTCTAGATATCAAAGTTCCCAGCCAGAAGCCAACGTAATGTAGAGTCCAGTACAGAGAAGAGGCTCCTCCAGCCCATAATGATCCGTCGGTACCCACGACAAGGACCAGCCTTGGTTCTTCCTTTTTGCCGCCGATATGCAGGAGGGCGGGTAGCCAAGCTAGCAGATCTAATAACCGGCCCGTATAGTAGAACTATGGCTTGGGGTTCGCGTCTCAAGGCGTTCACATGAGGTGGGGGGGCAGCATCGGATGCCAATGTTCCTACAGTAGAGCGAGTTGCAAAGAACTGGAGACTTACATGAACTAGCAGAGCTGTGCTGTCAAGGCCCAGGGAAGGGCTTCTTCGCTCTGACCTCCTATTAGTGCGTTTAAGCGTGACGGCGGCTCTATGCACCTCTGAGGGCCCGGATGACGATGACGATGACGAAGTGGCAGACTGGGAAGTCTTGCGCAGGTTGTGAAGCCACGGGCAACGTCTCGAATACCGCGCTTATCTCTTATGGAACCCGTCTTACTGTCCGGTGATGGCTTCATACATATTACACGGGTTACCAACAAAGGCCTCATCTGTTTCCCATATCACCAACACGAAGAGAGAAGGACACCAGAAAACATGTCATTGTGGATCTTGAACGGAAATGGGGGCAAAAAGGGACATGATCTGAGCCGTGATATCGCTCTCGGCAACCAGATTCCCTCACCTTGGCTCTTCTCGAAAAGAAAACCCGTCTTCGATAATCCCTCCGGTTGATCAGGCTTGTGGGGGGGCTGCCTTCTATTTAGCCTGAATTGCCGGCCGTCGCTGGAAGAGACTCCGCAAGGGGACCCAGAGTGCGGCTAATTTGTCCGGTTGGCTGCCGCTCTTGTTGTGGTTCTGCTGCTCCTCCACCGAGACTTTGCGACGACAAACTCGAATGCAGGGAGACTTTGTCCGAATTGCTTCGTACGAGTACCTTTTGTGAATTGTATGTCATGAGATTCCGTTTAGTATCGGTACCTCTCCGGACAAATCGCGGAGTTTTGACGTGAGATGTTTGTTTGCTCTTGATGACTTGACTCAGAAATTGATTGACAAGGACTTTGTGGCGAGCGATAAGCGGTGCTGACATTGTCGTTGGTTCTGGGCTGTGGTGTTGATACGGCGGGTATTTGCAACGATCCTCTCCGTTCACGCCTCTTTTTTTTGTGCCCTCTTTCTCTTCTCCCTAAAGTCCTCGTCCTTTTTTTTTTTTTTTCTTTTTTTCTCCCTGCTTATGGTGACGACGCTTTCTTCATCAGAACCCCGTTGGTGGAGACTGCCGGGAATCTATTTGCGGTGGCTTGTACATAGGATTACTATCCAATTTTCCTCTTTGAGGGGTTGTTCAATGGCGGGGTTTCGCTCTTCTCTTTGAGCCGGAAACAAGGAGAGGGGAGGCGAGAGAAGAAGAGGAGCTCCTTGTTTGAGGGACGCGCGGAATGTCAATGGAACAACAACAAAAGATTCATCGTGGCCGAGTTGACGACAATTCTAATTCGGGGTTTGAGATGCGAATGTTCAGGTTTCGACAAGACATGTTCAGGATGAACACGAGCACGCTTCTCTGTTGAGCCTCCCTTTGAGAGTATCGTCTTGGTTTACCATCTTCAGTCTCGATCCAACTCACATAAATATCATAGACACCAACGTAGATACAGCTCAGAGTAGAGAGAAATGAAATCACAATCGCAACAACACAACGCTTCCCATCACAGCCATCATGACGCGCCCCCTACCCAACCTCGTCGTGCACCGCAAGGACGTCGAGCAGACCCCGGCAACAGAAATCCGCAACCTCTTGACCATCCAGGCCGCCCTCGTCCGCGGCGACAAGCACGTCACCCTCCACAACACCAGCCGCGTCACGGAGCTGGACGTGCAGCGCATCCGAGTCCCCTACCACCCGCGGAACAGGCCCCAGCATGAGATGTACGAATGCCTCTTCGGCCTCCCCCCGTCCTCGAGCTCCGGCAACGGCGACGACGCGGCGTGGACGCAGCCGGAGCACGTCGGCCACTTCATCGAGATGCTCGACTGGGACGGCTTCCGGCTCGAGTGGGTCAAGGTCCTGGGCGAGGGCGGCTTCGGCATGGCCACGCTCTGGAACGCAATCTTCGAGGACGGCAGCAGCGTCAAGGCCGTCATCAAGATCCCCGTGCGGTCCAACTCGGACTTTTACAGCGAGCTGCAGTGGCATCTGCGCTACGCGGGCGCTTCGCATGTTACTCAGGCGCTGGACTTGCAGGCCATGGCTGACGGTGTTCGACAGAGGATGAACAGGGGACACATGGTCGGCCGTGGAGCGAGATTCCTCCCTTCCGAGTTGGAGGTTCTTGTGCTGGAGTATGCTGATCGCGGGAGCATGTATGACTTGCTGAGCAGGGCGTCGCACTTTAACATTGTGTTCTCGAACAAGATTCTCTGGGAGATTTGGGAGTGCCGTGGGTTTTTGCCATATAGGTCCTTCTTTGTCTATGAAGCCATGAGCTGACTTGTTTTCTATATACAGTGGTAAAGGGAGCTGTATCTGTGGCGCTGCAGCCAGACGCGGTTCGGCGATGGGGCCACGATGGCCTCGACAAGATTCTCGAGTCGTTGGATGACCCTGACAATATTGCTGAGCTTCACAGGATTAGTACTCTGATCGATAGCCACGATGTTCACTTTGACATTGAAGAGCAAAACGGTATGTAAAAGACTCGACATTCTTGAACAGCTCCGATATGGGTTGAATTGCTCGGCTAACATACGACTGATAGTTCTCATTGCTGAGGATGAGCAGCACGGACATCATCCCATCTTCAAGGTACGTACGAAACATCCCGGATCCGTGAACACCGTCGACTAATACACAAGCGGCGATTAGCTTCACGATTTCGGTGAGTTCAGCCACAAGATGAGGGAAAACTGGGCATTTTGGCCAGAGTCGGAATACTGGAGGTTGAGACGAGTTCCGAAGAGCAATCGCATTCCCCCGGTAAGCCTTCTGCTTCTTTACATGACCGCAATGCTTGAGAAATGACTCGCTCATTCGGGTCGCAGGAAACCATTGCTAGGGAATGGGACACATTCGATCCCGCCCACCCCGGGCCATGGACGAGATTTGTCGGCGACACGTTTGGCCCTGATAAGAATGTAATTGCCGGACGATATGGCACTTGGACGAACCTCTTTATGATCGGCAAGATTGTAAGTTACCCTCTTCCTCTTTCTCATCTCTCCTTGTGTTCTTTCAGCTAGCTAATCAGTCTTCATTTCGTCCAGATGGAAGCAGTCATCACCAAGCTCTGGGTAGCCCACCCCATGACCACCATGCGCTTCAGGCCCGACGACTGGAGAGCCGACGGCGAAACGTACGGCTGGCGCATGTGCCGGGCTGGCCACGCATGGATCGAGTTCGAGCTCCGCTCCCTGATCCTCCAGTGCCAGTACGAGAAGCCAGAGGACCGCCCGCCGCTCACCTATCTCCTCCAAAAGATCGCCGAGCGCAAGCAGCGCGGCTTTCCCGAGGAGCCCGATGAGACGACACGCCAGTTCTGGGATCTGTTCTGGACGATGCAGAGGCCGAGCCGGTATCCTGACCAGCAGGACGACACACAGAATGTGGCTCCGTATGAAGACGATGACGGCTTCGCAGCGGCTGCTGCTCAGGGCCTTGGGCCACAGGCACCTCCTCCCCCTGTGCCCCCTCCTCCTCCTCCTCCTCCTCCTCAGGGGTCCGCGACAAACCCCAATACAGCGACGGGTTACGAAGAGACTGGCAATCCCCTCATCACGCATGTAGCCGCTCTGCGCCTCAAAAGCCGGCGATCACCACTCATGTCCTCTTCTGGGGACGCAGGCCCGCCCGAAAGTCTCGCACGAGGAGCTCCCTATCCTTTCAGTGGAGGAGAGCTCTCAACAGCCGTTCCAGCGGACATGAGAATGTCGGATCTTGCTTCCACCGCACCACTGCTAGGACGACCTGCCGCCGCCGAAGGTTCTTCAAGTGAAGAGTTTCCGATGCGGCCGGGCGCAGCGACGGCTGTACAGCTGAGAATCCCTTTTGCCCAAGGCGCGTCGGAGCACCCGATGCGCCCGTCTGCGCCCATGTTTGGGCGTCCTGCTGCGGAGGACTCGTCAGGCGAGGAGTTTCCCATGAGGCCGGGGGCGACGACGGCGCAGTTGGGACGGCCGCCCGCCGCTGAGAATTCTTCTTCGATGCCGGATTTCTTCATGCGACCGACGGCGGCAACGCTACCGCTGAGGCGGCCGCCCCCTGATGTAGGTCCATCAGGAGAAGAGTTTCCCATCCTGCCGGGCGCGATGCTGGTACAGCAGCTGGGGCGACCACAGCAGCCAAGGAGACCACAGCAGCTAAGGCGACCACAGCAGCTAAGGCGACCACAGCAGCTAAGGCGACCACCTGCTGCTAAAGGCCCCTCAAGCGAGGACTTTCCCATGAGGCCGGGGGCAGCAATTGCACAGGCGCCACCGCACGCCGTCGCCGAAGGCTCTTCCGGCGAGGAGTTCCCGATGAGAGCGAATGCGGCGGTGGCTCAAGCGAGGCCGCCTGCTGGCGAAGGTTCGTCGGCAGAAGAATTTCCCATGCGGGCGACAGCAGTACAACTGGGGCGGCCACCTGTTGCCCAACAAGGCTCATCAAGCGAGGAGTTTCCCATGCGGGCGACGGCGACGGTGGCCCAGGAGATACCATCAGGCGAAGGGTCTTCAGGCGAGGAGTTTCCAATGAGGCCCGGGGCGACGATGGTGCAGCCGGGCCCACCACCACCCGTTGCCCAAGGACAAGGCTCCTCAAGTAAGGAGTTCCCCATGAGGCCCGGAGCCACAACGGTGGCGACGTCGACAAAGAAGCGCAGCGCAGAGGATGCTGCCGCCGAAGAAGAAGACTCGGAGAGCACAACCAGCACCCAGCGGCGCAAGAAGCAGCGACGAGTCCGCTTCGACGCGGCGTCGGCCTCGTCGACCGCGACCATGGGGATGCTGCCCGTCCAGCTCGTGGAGACGGCAACGGACCAGAGCCCCGACGGCACCCTGACCAGGACCTTTGCCAACACGCCCACTAACCCGACAATCGCCGTGACCGACGCTCCTCCATCTCGTGCCGGGACGTATCTCGAGCACATACAGCACCATCCCGGCTCCACCGTCTCTCTGGCCGTGCCGGAGACGGACAGCAGAGGCCGGGCGGCGACGAAGAAGTCGAGGAGCACGCGCAAGAGGCTGGCCACGTTCTTCCGCCTGGACCGGCTGCGGAACAAGTTCAGGAGGACGCCCTCGCCTCGTGGCGGCGCGGGGAGTAGTGCCGTTGCTGCGGTTCAGGTGGAGAGCACGCCTGAGCTTGGGGGGACGGGTAGTAGCGTGATGGACGTGGACGAGGGAGAGCAGCGTGGCGGGGATGAGGACGAGGTTATGGATGAGGGTGAGGCGAGTGCTGCTGCGCCCAGGGAGAGAGGCGATGCGGCGAGGAGCGAGAGGGTTTGGTGGGGGGACGATCAGGCCCAGGGGGGAGGAGGGAATGCAGGAGAAGTAGGTATGGGGGAAAGGGTTTGGTGGTGAGTATCGCCAGGTAAGTCTTGATATATGTCGTGAATTTGCAGTTATATAGAGGGCATATCAGGATAGAGTGATGGCAGACCACGCCGTACTTATAGACATTCTTCCATTTCATATAAATGTTGTCAACCTATAGAACCCCTATACTCCCTTATTTTGCTACGAATTGCTCATGACTTGCATCCCTTTGTCACATACACACTCGCAAGTCATCAAGCTACGCTAGTTTTTGCATGCTTTCATCCTTGGCTCCAACGAGTAAAATGATAAACAAGTTGTATAGATTCAGGAGACCAAGGTATAATAACAACGGTAAAGTGACCAAGCAAAACATCGTCACATCGATCATCCATGCAAATATCCTCACAGACACCTAAACTTACAACCCTTCCCACCCCACCCCTTCCCTCCGATCTCAATTGCAGCAAACGGAAACGCTTGTAATGATCTGTGTCCTTCTATCTCACGCCTCGGCCGTCTCCACAGCCTCATCCTGATCCTGAACGCCATCGACATCGACATCGACGCCGCTGCTGCTCGTGTACGAAAAAGACGGCGCCTCCAGCATCTCGCCCTTGTCCGTCCACACCGCCGCCAGCTCCCTCTCAATCTCGTCCCGCCTCCTCTTCAGCTCGTCCACCTGCGACAGCCGCTCGCGCAGCTCCTGCACCTCCTTCTCCACCTGCATCTTCTCGCGCTCCGTCCCGATGCGCTCAAATTCCCAGCCGTCGCCCTGGTCGCCGACGCCTAGCTGGAGGTTGAAGGTGTGGTATTTCTTGAGGGAAGCTCGCGTCGAAATGGTAATCAGTGCTATGGAGGGCATCGTTAGATCCGAGTCTCAACTTTATTTATAAAAGCTCACACATGCAGGGGGGATACTCACTGATGCCCCTTTCCTTGCAGGTTTCGTACAACAAACCCTCCACGTCACTCGAGACAGCACTCGTGCCCTCGTCGATGATCGCATACTGCGGCTCATGGTACAAGAGACGTGCAAACTGCATCCTCTGCTTCTCACCTCCACTGAGCACGTCCTTCCACTCCTTGCGCGTGTCCCAGCCCCCTTCGCGATCAGGCAGGTAGCCAAGGCGAGCCGCCTCAAGTATCTTCTGCAGGTCGTGCTCAGACTTGCGCTTTTCCCGCATATCCAGGTGGCCATCCGGATAAATGACCTGATCTCGAAGGGTGCCGGGGCTCAGGTACGGCCGCTGAGGCAGAAACATGATGCCGTCTTCGCCAATGTTCTTCGGTCGACTGACCAGGCCTCGGTAGACGGGCCAAAGGCCAGCCAGTATCCTGGAAATGGCACTCTTGCCAACGCCGTTGGGCCCAGAGATCTAAGAACAAGTTGTTAGCTATGGTCCAGTCATCTGAAAGCCAGGTTGTACATACCAAGAGATGCTCGCCCCTCCGGACAATCATGTCCAAAGACTCTATCAGCTCTTCTCCACCCTGGGGCCAGAGACCAGGGGCAACGACCGGCACCTGCTCAAAGCGAACACCGTCGAAGCCCTTCTGAATCGTTCCCTGAACATCAGACAAGGAGTAGAGCTCGCTCTGCCCGCTTCGAAGATAGTAGGCGTTGGCATGAACCCGGTGAAGAGTCGAGATGAGCGTATAGACGCGACTGGTGTAGCCAGCCAACTCAGCCAGGTCCTTGATAGAGTACATCATGCGTCCACCAGCGTCGGCCAGCGAAAGCATCAGCCGCTTGTTCGTGATGAAGCTCTTCATGCGGTTGCGCTCTCTGCTGCCCTTCTCGCTGCCCTCGCTCATCTCAGCCGCACCGCCAACACCACCCCAGGCCGGCAGGAAGACAGGCAAGGAGGCAAGCAGATAACCGTAAGCACTCCAGCTATACTTGAGGATAAAGTCTTCCAGGATATTGTAGCGGATCTTTAGCATGTAGATGCCCTCCATCCAGCTCTTGAGCGACTTGTACTCCTTGTTGAGGAACGTCTTCTCCATCTCCGCACCGCCATAGAAGGCTACTTCTTCGGCATTGGCAATCAAGCGGGCATGCAGACTACGGAAGTCTCCTTCTTTCCGGCCCTCAACCGCCTTCAGCTTGCCGAACGGCGGGGACAGCTTCCGCAGGATGCTCGCCGTCAGGAAGTAGTTGCTCATCAGACCAACCCAGGCTATTGGGCCCAGAGACCGGTAAAGCTGGAAGCTGAAGACGCAAATGTCGACAAATGGCTTGCCAAGAGAGGAATAGAGATTGGCGGCCGAGGCGCAAAACAGCGTTAGATCTTGGGTGATGAACTGATCAGCTCCTTGGCCCACGCCTCCGTCTAAATTAGACAGCTTGTAGTAGTTGAGATTCTCGTTCAAGTAGATGTCGTGGATATATCGAGTCAGCCGTGTTCGGAAGGCAATCGATACCTTGGACTCGAGAAACTTGATCATGGCATTCGTATAAGAGGCAAATGTGCCCAGCCCACACCACTAAGAAACATATCAGTAAGGAAGAAGTCGCTGTCCAACAGAGGGAGTAAAAACGTACCTTTACTATGCCCCAGAGGAAGGCCTTTCCATGGCCGGCAACAAGGTCTCGGACAAGCTCACCGTCAAGACGAGCCACCACCAGAGACAAGTATGTCCGCAACATCAGAAAGACGCTATGGCTGATGAGCAAACCAGCCTCCTTGCTCGACCACCGCGGAATCATGATGCTCATAAGACTAAGGAACTGATGCAGAAACGCCAAGTTCAAGCCAGGCTTCGTCTGCGCGGACGGGACAGTGCCATCGCCAAGCCCAGACACCCTCGGCGGGTTCAGAAACAGCCGCCTATGCGCCTCAAAGGTCAGCGGCTTCGTGGTGTTGATGACGACCTTGGAAGTGCCATCCTTGTAGGGCACATAGATTGTTCGCGAGCCGTCCTTGTTGTGCAGCCACGAATTGGTGCGCACCAGCTTGCGCCCCTGCTCGTGCTCATGCCGCCTCTTCTTCCACCACCGCCTGCCTCCCTCGGCGCCCAGGATGATGGACATGGCGAGCGAGAGGGTGGCGAGGGTGCGGGTGGTTCGCGACGTGGAGCGCAGCCGCCTGCCCAGGATGCTCGTCCATTTCTCCAGGAACTCGGCCAGCGCATCCTCGGCTGCCGTTCTGCGCAGGTTTGACTGCGCTGCCATTGTTTATGTATGAGCCGGTGCGGACGCGGGACGCACTTCTCGCACACCCCAGGCGTCGCAAGTCCCGTCTAGATCGAGTCGAGGGTCATGAAGCCGAGCGCCTGCGCGTGTAGTGGTATGGATCGTGCGATGGTTGTAAGGTAACGTAAGGTGGTGTCAAGGAGCAGGATGCGTCAAATCAATCGCGGGTTCGGCCAAGTGACCGCGGAAGAAACGGCCATCAGCAGGCGCAACAAATCTGTGATACTGATGCCTTTGTATTATTGCGGAATGATGTGGAAGAGGGCAAGTTGCGTGGCTGTGGATGACATCGGACATGTGAAGGTGAAGCCGCAGCTGTCCCGAGGCCCAGAAATCCAGCAAGTCCCGAAACGGAGCAATGACGGCACCGCCCCAGAGCAGAGCAGCCACACGTGACTCCACACTGTGGGGAGCGGCCGAGAAGTCTGGGGAAATGCCGATTTCTATTGATGGCTGCATGTGGTCGATGGAACATTGAGGCGCTGTTCTCTGAGATGTTACTACCATCACGATACTCGAGAATCATCATCATACCGAAGGGCCCAGTGAGGGAAAGCAAATCTGTTAAGCACTCTATCAAGCACTCTATCGTGCAATCAGCATGCATATCTGTGTTCAAGTCAACACTTCAACCACTCCAATACGAGTACGCCATCACAACATAACCCAAACTGCCCAAACACCGCCAAACAAAATCATGGAAAGCACAGGCCTCCCTCCTTGGCTTCAAATTGCAGCTCCTCCAGACTCTGCGGACGGATTACCCGCTCCTTCGTCTTGAGCAACTTGATGGCGTCTCCATGACGCCGGATATCGTGAGGGTTCTGGATCAAATGTTTCTCCAAACCGAGCATCTGCCACCCATGGCTCTTGAGGGCCACCGTCTCCCAGGCCTCAACGACTCCTGAGTCGATGAAGAGGTCCCAAGTGCCGATCCACTCCAAGGTGGCTCCGCCCTTCCCCCCGCTGTACCGAAAGACGGCCGCGTGCCCCGGGCCCCCGTTCCAGATCTCCAAGGTCTCAAGCACGGGCATGGCAAGCGCTGCTTCGGCAGCTCCCTTGAGCATGCCGTTGATCTCGTAAGAGCCTCGCGTAATCTCCAGGTACTGTGACGTCAGCGTCAGGGACCGCAAGTTTGCCCAAGTCCACTCTCGCCTATACGCCCGGAAGAAATCTCTCGCGTCGACAAGAAATGAAGCCGAGAAAGTCTCGAGCCCGAGGCTTTTTTGCGCCAAAGCGGCACTGACATGTGGGTTTGGAACTCGAGCCGGGACTCCCTGTGCCAGACTCGATTTCGTCCTCTTCTCGTCATGATCCTCGAAAAAAGTGAAATGTTTTAGTCCTTTTGGCAGCGAGCCCTTCACGAGCCTGACATATCCTGGAAAGTATTAGAGCTACGTTAGTACATCAAGACATTGGAATTCACGAGGCCGAAATGCCACGTACCTGCATCCACGCGGTCCTGCGACGTGTCCAGATACTGCTGCCATGGCTCAAAAACCAGATCCTCCAAGTTAGGGAACCGGGAAAGCAATTGATGCATCGTAAATGAAGTGGGCTGTCGGCGTGTGTGTCTCTGCATGATGAACCGTTCTACCATATGGAGACGAGGGAGCTGCTGGTGGAATTGGATGTGTACATAACCACCAAATATCCTATCACCAGCTCCGGCACGGCTGATGCCAGTCATCGAGGGCAATCCCCTGTCGAGCTCTTTTGCATGGATGCCTCTGCCAACGTATTTGGAGTCACTGGGCGAATGGAAACTCATCTCCAGCGTGATACGATGATCCGGCTTGGCCCATCTCTCCCAAGTCTTGAGCGCACTGAAAAGCTTCCCGACAGCCAATTCAATGATTTCGTTATTTGCCGCTATGTCCTCCATTCTTTCGGGCCTGACAATGGCGGGTCTGATCGTTGCGAACTGCTCACCCGCCCAGGGCACGTACTCGCTAAGCTCGATGCGAAGGCAGACGTGGGCGACGTAGGGCCTGCACCGCTTGGGAAGCCTTGCAACGCCATCCAGGTCATTTTGATGGAGGACCAGGCGCTGGAAGTTGGTCTCTTCAAAGATTCTCTGCCACGACTTGCAGACAAGGGCGTAGTTGGTCAGGCTCCCGTGCCTGCTGCCGCTGTAGGGATCCTGAGCGAGAAAGTCCAGCACTTGGAGCTTCAGCTCCTCCGGGAGGCGGTTCCACCTCGGCATGTTGATTTAAGGTAAAGTGACAGCGTTTGTTGAAGGTCTTGATTGCCACTAAAGGTGTCTGTGTTGAAGCGGGGAATTTCTGGCGTCGTGGTGATGGTTACATGGTAATGTGGGTGAGGCCTAGGGCGGGATATATCTGAGAACCTGACATGAGCAAGGCTTCAGCCCATCGTCTTTTATCGGCTGTTCAGTCAACTCCAGCGGTGCTTGTTATTCTTTGATAATATGTATTTCTGTGTTCGCTGGGTGTTTAGGTCGAAGTTGAGGTCGAGGCTGAGGCCGTTCATTCTGCTTTTGTGCAAAAAGTCAAAAGCGTTTAGAGAAGCTCCAGATCGCGTTTAGGCGGCCCCGCAATTCCTCTGAATCTTCAGCCAGATCCAGTCTAAGGAGGGCTGCATTAGGTACTACGGAGTAAGTACCAGTACCAAATCGATACAAAACGCCAGAAGAGTTCTATTGCTACTAGTAGTAGTATTCGTTCTCTGCGCTTTGAGGCGAGAGGTGCATTCAAAGTTTTGTACTTTGCTGTTCAAGTCCGCTGTGTGTTTGAATCCGGTGTTCTTCAAGGCCCAGCTCGTGATTGGTTCATCACTCGGTATTTCACTTGACAGGGTTCGGATCAAGGACCGTGGTTGAGATTGCCCAATCTATGATTTCATCTCACTCCGAGGCAAACTCGCTAGAGCCTCAGATTAATTGCGAGATTTATGGCAAGAGAAACCTGGCAACACGAGGGAAACAAAAATGACACAACAGTTCTTTGTTCACACAGGCAAGGTAGAGAAATGGCCTCTGCAGGCATCACGCGCGGATTGATCTTCTTTGGCTGCTCATCCCATCTCATCAATCTCATCTACCCGTTCAACCTACCCTGCATGTTCAGGTTGTTTGACCGAGTCCAGACCCGGGCGCCTAAAATTAGCACAAAGCTTGTCCAGGAGGCTCAGGCACCTAATCTGCGAGAGCCATCGATAGCCAAATTTGCGTGGCCTGGCAACAGCTCCATCGCGCTCCTCAACTGGAGACCGCTGCGACCTAGCAGATGTGACGGACGTGATCCATAGGGCACTAGCTGGGTATCTGGTTCCGTTAGCAGCTGCCAGGGAGCACCAAGGGCGGAGCACAAGCAGGAGCTTCTCCGTCGTAGATGAGCGCAGGACCAACAGCAAAGGGCCATTCGCTCCTCCGTGCGACGGGCAATCTGCAGCCACATACTCGTACATACAGCAGCTGATGGGTGGATGCCCTGTGGTGGTACAACTACTTGTACTTGGTCCTTGAGCTCCGGTCTTGGTGCGAGCCTGGGCCCGGCAACCTCTGCGTCCGGGAATATCAGTACGATAGTAGGTAGTAGTAGTATACTACTACATACCTACAGCAGGGCGGGCCAGGCATCTTGCGCGAACAGCTGGCCACATGCACGGCCGCAGCCTGTACGCATGTGCAAAAGGACGGGAGCTTGGGGAGCTGCTGGCCCGCCATGTGCGACGAGGGGTCGGGCATGCCAATCAAACAGACTCCATCCGATGCCGTACATTGTATTCGTACATGGCCCAGCCGGTCAGCCAGTCTCCATACGAGCACAGCAAAAGGGATCCATAGCAGGCTCCATGGGCCAGAGAGGCGTCTCCATCCAGTCCAGCTCTTCTCCGTTTTATTATGCGTGGCTGCTCCGTAATCAGAGGCCCGCGCCCACGTCCGGGGGACCAGGAGTGATGCTTCCTGGCAGCCTGCATGCCGCCAATACGAAGCGAAACACGCTCATTCACCGAGGGCCTCGACGCCGATTTTCCTCCAACGACGACGACTCGCTCGGCGGATGTGCTCGTGCCGCGACTGGGCAGGATTGTGAACAGGTCGAAGCCTGGGCGCCAATACGGCCAATCACGACGCCCGGGTCAGGGCTGTTGACTCGGCACGCAGGGCGAGAGGGGGTGGGATGGCGCCCGGGATTCTGGGGGAGGACGGACTGGAGGACTCGTCTCTGGTCCCTTTTCCTGTGATTTCCCTTTGTTTCCTCTTTCCCAGCCGGTTCCCTTTGTCTGCTCGTGATTTGCTTGACGGCGGCGGCCAGTAGGAGCTCGGATGCCCAGGAAGCAGCAGAGATCTCGACCCACCATCCAACCGCGGCAGGCCATGGACGGATTTTTTTTTGGCGCAAACGCAGTTGAGTGCAGCAGTAAAGACGCATCGATGCTATGCTTTGCTCTGCTCTGCTGCGTCGACGGAGCCAGGCGGCGTCCAAGCTGTTGCGAAGTTGTGAGCCCTTCCGCTGCTGCGTATTCGGTACCGCGCCGTAGGTGACAGACTGCACTCCGTGCCTCGTACCAGGTCGACGGCGCCCGTCTGCTCCAGCTGCAAGGTATGGATGGATGCTGCTGCATTGGCAGTTGAGGCTTGCATCGTACGGCCTTGTAGTAGTATAGCCAGCCAGCGACGAGACAAGACAATCCAGCCTGCCCTGTCGCAGGCGTGTGAGCGGGCCGCCGTGCAGAGCGCCGGCCGTGACCACGCTTCTCCTAAACAGGAAGACTGAGCAGCGCCTGGGAGCCCACAGGTGCAGCGTTGGACGGTAAGATGAGAACTTGGCGGCCGCCATTAGCGGAGATTGGGACAGGGCGCCATGCGGTCGCGATTTACTGGCCTAACAGCGCCCACGGTGCGCCGAGACCGCAATGCACAGTAAGCCGGTGCTGCGAGGGCGAGCGCGGCTCTGCAGCTCCGTCACGCGGTGCCGCGGCGATGGTGCCATCTGGGGCACAGCTGCTGCCCGCCAGCACCCGCAGCGCCTGCAGCACCGTGCCAGCCCGCCGCCCGCGCACCGTCGCTGGCTGTTCCCCCACTAACGCCCCAGCGTCGCTAGAGCCGTTGGCTAATCTCGACAAGCACTCCACCCACACCTTTGAACCACCCCCAAAAACCTCCCCCAGCCCGTCCCTGCACGCCGGACCATCCCCGACCTGGCCCAGCCAAAACCCATCACGTTTAAAGGCAATCATCTCGCTTGAGCCCTCGCAGTCCCTCGGCCGGTACTTGTACTTCGTCCATGTACGCCGTGGCCGCCGTCGCCTCGCCTCTTCCGTCGTCCATCCAGTTGGCCATCTGTCCATCGTCCCTCCTCATCGCGACTTTGGCCTGACCAGTCCTGACTTCGCCCTCACGAACCGCCGCGGCGCTCATCGTCAACGGTCGCCCATCGCTCCCCCCAACTGGCGCCCACCCGCTGCCTCAGCTGCTCGCCCTCGTCTTTGCCCCCCGACTCCCCGTCTCTCTGCGACCAGAAAGCACGGGCGCCCATCGTCTCGACTCCCTAAATCTTCCCTCTCTGTCGGGCGCGTCTCAGCTCCTCGCCAACACCCCGGTAATTTTTGGCTGCAAGAAAAGGGCATTTCGGAGCAACGAACGGCACGTCGCCGCCCAAAAAACGCCCCTTGTGGGCTGACGTTCTTTTCTCTCTCTTTACATCTTCAACTCTTCTTCTTTTCCTTTTTCTTCTCTTTTTTTTCCCTCCTTCCCTTTTTTGTCTGCGTTGGAAGCTTGGAAAATTCAAGCCAGCTTGCTTAGCTGTCTGAGTGTTTTTGAGGTACGTGCAAAGATGCATTAGCAGGTGCGCTAAAGCTCGCGCAATTTTACTCGTCTTGGCCGCAAGGGCCGGTATGGCGACTCTCCGCTGTCGAGTCGGACGGCGTCCATGATCATATCGGCTCGATGCTTTGGTGTTTCGTCCATCTGCGATGGCTTCCCGTTCATCATCGCTTCGTCATACCGTCGTGCGTCGCATTTCACGGCCCAACTTGAAGCTGGGAGCTCTGCCACCCCGAGCTTCCATTTTCAGGTTGCACCGTGGCGTTGGCTTATTATCGCTTCAGTGTTGGATGGGGAAGGCTAACAAGCTCTACACAGCGACTTCACAATGGCCGATACAGCCGTGGCAACTCCCGCGGTCGTCGACTTCAAGCAGGACAGAGCTCCTCTTGGTTCTGGGCTGGGCAAGGAAAAGGACATGCTGATGCCGGAGGATGGGGAGAGCTCCAGTAAGGGCCGGGGACTCCTTAAAGTGCCGTCGCGATCGTCATCCCAGCAGAGGAACCAGTCTTCGCCGACCACGACCGGCTTGAGCGGCGCTACCATTACCGATCCGCGGAGCAGCATCGGCAGCAGGTCCAGAGAGTCCAAGGGAAGCTTTTTGGATAGACAGCGAAACGGCAGCTCCAGTGGCGATGCCGAGCCAGCTCGCGCAACCGAGGTTTCGCAGCCCAGCTCTCCATCAGCAAGCGAGCAGAAACGGAAGAGGAAGAAGAGCAGTGGGTTCCTGGCTCTCCTGGGATGCTGCGGCGTGCCCGACTCGGCGAACGCCGTCGACTCTCCTCAGGGAATTCATAAACTGGATAAACTACCCCCGAGGCCGATAACAGCCAAGTCAAGGACGCAGACGCCCCAAGACCAGACCCCGACGAAGCAGAGCAGCGAAAAGCCCCCCGTTCCAGCAACCACCGCTCCCCCGGCCAAGGATCATGGCGTCCCGTCGAGCAGCGCTCAGGGCCAGACCAAAGTGGAGGAGGAGCCGACGACTCAAGAATCAAAAGACGTCGCCCCGGCCGTTACCGTCGACCCTCCGAGCCCTGTAGAGCCGAACGAAGAAGTTCGAGAAATAGAAGAGGTGGTCGACGACGTGGAGATGCGAGACGTGCCAGCAGTCGAGGAAGCCCGGGACGTGCAGCCCGAGGTCGTACAACAGGAGGCCCACGAAGCTGCGCTCCCCCCTCCGCCGCCTGGCCCGGCCCCCGGCCCTCTGGTGACCACAGCGCTCCCCCTCACGGATGAGGGCCCTTCGGCACCAGAGCCTCAGAAGTGGCTATTGCCACCCATCACCCCGGAGCTCAAAGGAAGGAAATGTCTAGTTTTGGACCTTGACGAAACCTTGGTTCACAGCTCATTCAAGGTTTGTTTTTCTCTCTCTTGAAGTAGAGGACGAAATGAGTGGGCTAACCAAATGCTCCAGATTCTTCATCAAGCCGACTTCACAATACCGGTTGAAATAGAAGGCAATTATCATAACGTGTATGTCATTAAGCGACCTGGTGTAGACGAGTTTATGAAGAGAGTCGGAGAGCTTTACGAAGTAGTCGTCTTTACCGCATCAGTCTCCAAGGTACGTGCAGCGTTTCCCCACCCGTTGTGATGGGATTTGCCTGGACTAACGTTTTCGACTCGTGAAACAGTACGGCGATCCTCTGCTAGACCAATTAGATATACACAACGTTGTTCATCACCGTCTATTCCGAGAGAGCTGCTACAACCACCAAGGAAACTATGTCAAGGACCTTTCGCAAGTTGGACGAGATTTGAAAGACACCATCATCATCGACAACTCGCCTACCTCCTACATATTCCACCCCCAGCACGCTGTTCCGATCAGCAGCTGGTTTTCTGACGCGCACGACAACGAGCTGCTGGACCTTATACCCGTTCTCGAAGACCTCGCCAGCCCCAACGTTGCCGATGTCAGCCTGGTCCTTGACGTCACTCTCTGAGATACCATACACAACCGTTTCCTTCCATTTTTGTTTCCTTCTCTTCAGCACAAAAACTCAACAGCCCGAACTGCAGCATTGCCGTCATAGCGGGAGGCGTTTGGTTGAAATCTCTTCGTTTCCGGGGGTAGATGTACTGTCTAATCTTATATAATCGGCCTTGATCTATGGAACGCAGCTCTCTGGTCTGCGGCAATTCCCTTTTTTTCTCATTCTTCCATTCTCAGTCAACGATGACCGAGCAGAGGGTTGAAGCCGGCCGGGAATTTCGAGTTGATCAAAGACCTCCAACGGACACCGCAAACGCACCTGAACGACTCGAAAGGAAAGAATGACGGAAACGCTCCAGGGCACACGCACCAAAAGAAGGGGGTCCGAGATCGCATCTTGGGATGAGAATGTGTCATTCTTTTGAAGACTATGAATACTTCCCGGAACTTCACTGCGTGGGCAACAAACATGGGCCCGCAGTGGGCTTCTGCAGAAAGAGCCTCCTATTTCCAGCGTGTTACCAAAGACTGCTGGCAATGCCCGGGCTGTTTATGCTGTTACCTTCTTCTGGCAAGCTGGCGCCTTTCCCCCCCTTTCTCTCTATCTCTCTCACACTCTCACTCTTGTCCTTTTGCTTCTTTCTTCTCTTCTCTCTTCTTTTCTTTTCTTCTCCCTCTTTCTGTGATTCCCTTTGTGTTCTTTTTTCTTCTTTTTCTTCTTTCTCTTCTTCTTTTCACACTTGTCTTTTGCCCGTCTTGCATCGTTTTTGAACTATACACATACCACGCAGCGAGCCTGCGAGCAGGATTTGAAGGAGGACAGCGAGTTTGATGCGGAGTCCGTTGAAGCGGAGGCGAACATGATTAGCGAAGGTTGGAGGTTTTGGCCAGGGCCTCCGTTATACATAGTCTCCCCCAAATTGTAAAAATACCCCGAGCCTCTATGGCCTTTAGTAATGAATCAATGTGAGATACTCAGAATATATGTTAATAGGGGAGTCTTTCTTTGTTGCGGGTTCTTGGGCTACAGGCGGTGAAATATCCAGCTTTGACTTGTCTTTCTTTCTGTCTGTTTCTTGCTTGTTATTATTGATTCATTGATTCTCATAGCCTAAGAGGTATTATGCTGTATGCAGCAACTGGTAATTGTGTTTTTGTCAAGCATTCAGCTGGTCTTTAAGCTATTGCACCATGATTATCTGTATATATTTAATGGCCTTACTTTGCCTTGGCCTTATCGAATTGTAATGCAAAATGGGACAACTCTTGGAATGAATTCGATAACTCGAAGCAGGTTGCTTGAGCTCGACTAAGATAAGCCGCGTTGCGCTAAAAGCTGCATGTTCTGGTGGGTTCAGCTTCTCCAATGTCTCTCCTCTGGGGTAGCGGAGAAATGTTCGGCCGCCGCTTTTGGCATTTGTGTGAATGTGGCCTTAACTTGGGATCTGGCCGTTTGGGGCCACAATTTCACCCGCCCGGGAGCCTTTGCGCCAGAACTTCCAGTCCTTCTATTAAAGCCCATACACCTGATTCTCTGGCCAATTCGACCTCAAGAGTCCTGCAGTGATTCTCGGTCGTGTCCTCTGTTCTTCATATACCCCAACACACTCCTTCACAATGGTATGCGCGTTTCCCGCTCCTTGCTTCTTTCCGTCACTCTGGGCTGTTTCAATGATGCTGCGGTTTTGCGGCGCTGGGAATCGCGTCACAAGAACTGATGTGTTGTCATGCGCATTGCTTGCATCCCAATACACGCGCACTGCGGCAGCCTGAATGGCGAATATGCGAACAAATGTCCCTGCGAGGTGTGTCCAATGCTAACCTGCCTCGCCTCGTGGTTGCAGTCTTCTCGTCCCTCTTCACCCGCCAATGGCCCTGCCGCGGCCAGCGGTTCCAGCATCAGCCGACCTTCCTCTCCCACGCCTCCCGGCGGCCCTCGAACTGCGATCCGTCGACGTGCCGCTGCTGATCAGAAGGAGAAGCTTGCCAATGCTCGGCCGAGCAGCACACGGGCTGCTGGCGCTGGCGGCTCCAGCAGCACTATGCTGAGTACGTTACGCTCTGTGCTTGTTACCAGGCATATATGGCCCTATTGTGGCATAGCTCGGGTTGAGTTGTGAGAATGTGGCTAACGAGAAGGACGCTTATAGGACTCTACACGGACGAGTCTCCCGGACTGAAGGTTGACCCCGTTGTTGTTCTTGTTCTGTCCCTGGTTTTCATCTTCAGCGTTGTTGCTCTGCACAGTGAGTCCCATCTTTCTTCAACTGCTAATGATACTATGTTTCCTAACGTTTCGATAAAGTCATTGCCAAGATCAGCCGCAAATTCTCGAGCTAAACACGTTATATGGTGGCCGAAATGATACGAGGAGTGAGAGGGGGAGCACGACAATGGTCTAAGGGGGAAGGGAGAAACGGGTTCCGCGGCGGCTCGGGTTGAACAGGCCGAGTTCAAGCTGATGCGAAGGGTCAAGGCGCAAGAGAAGCAAAAAGGACAAAAACCAACAAAACAATTGACTTACACAGAAGCAGGATGTATGGAATTTTGGTGGGATACACTCGACCTGGCCCTTAATCACCATGGAGTCTGAGAGCGACTAATGATATTTTGTACTATATGAGCAAAACGGCTATTCTAATTTCGTTTGCATTCTTTCCTTTTTTTCTCCCTCTTGAAGGCGCCTTGTCAATTGGGAGATTTCTGCATTTACCCATGGAGACCATGTAGGTATGAATGAGACTCGCTTGCTTTGACTGTTCGAATCGAGTCCAGCCCCGGCTCGCATATCGATCGCTACGGAGCCATGAAGGTTTCCGAAGACGAATCAATCGAACGCAGAAGCCACTTCAGGAGTTGGTGGCAACTGTCGAGCTACCTATAATCCTGTGGCGACTCTTGCTCGGGATTCACTACGTGCTTCTACTTTGTGGCTGTGGTCGTTTCCGTTTCATCGACATATACATGTATTTAGAAGTTGCCTTAAAACTGAGTTCCCTACAAACCGCCCTTGTGCCTTCCTGAGGTACACGGCTCCATATGGGTGTACCTACAGTGCCGAGGCAGGTACGGATCAGCCGCTGCTTTCAAGGTGCTTTTAGGTTCTTTCAGCAGGAGCGAATAGATGATTCTCTTAGATGAGGTAATCAACTGCTGTACATAATTGAAGCATCACGAATCTCGAATATTCCTGTGGTTCACATCATTTTGCCAAATGCAGATAGCTCAGGGTACTAATGATTCCATGCCACTCGTTGTATGTGTTTCTCTCAGGACTGTTTGCCCCCCATCACCTACCTAGTGGGCTGTTGTAATGACTGGCCTGGCCCTGTAGTATGTTGCTAATCACAGCCCGCTAGGTCTGCCTGTACGGCTCGCCCACAGCCACACAGAGACGGACGACCTGAAGCGCTCAACCGCTGCAGCATCTTGTTATAGTGGACATTCGACACTAGCGGTTCCGCTAGGCATACATGGCAGTGACGCTGGGACGAGTAGCGGAGCAAAGGGTCCAACGTCAAGTCGTACGTCTGCTGGTAGGCAGGAATGATATCCAAAAGGCACAAGCAGGGTCCCAACACAGAGAGGCCTCTCACAAAGGCCACACGTCATCGCCTTGCCCTTGGAATCAAGTTTCAGCCATCTCGATTTCATTCTACCCCTTGTGCTACCATTTGCGATTTCTGTGATCTGGATTGCTTGCACAATGCGCTGCCAAGCTTAAAGACCGCTCACCAGTTCCAGGGCAACGATGCCTCTGAATCTCTGCAGGTGATATTATCTACCTCAGCTTGGCATTTTTCAGGCTCTCTCTTCGATCCTTCACTGCTGCAGCCATATCTGGACGAGAATACCGTATCCCTGATTCTTCTTCGACAATTCTTTCACAATGGCGACAACTGAGAACCAATGGAACAAGTCCAGGCGGGAGCCCTCATCGAGACCCCCGCCCGCCTCAGAAGCTGTGGTGACGGATGGCTTCGTCCTCCCAACCCTCGAGGTGCCTGCCGATGCGCCTCCGGCATATGGAAGCCATCACGATCAGCTGCAGTTCTCGCGATCAGGATTTGAGGCTGGAGCCATCTTGACAGGTGTGTAATGACTACGATTCTTTGGCTCTTTGGGCGCACTGGGATGGCGAGGGGTTATTGGCGTTTCTGAGATGGGACAGAGTGTGTGTTCTGACACCTGAGTTTCTAGCCGATGGAAGAGTCAACATCAATATCCACACCAAGAATAAGAGACTTGCGGAGCTTCTTGCGCCGAGTATCGCCAGTCAGATTGCCGCCCAGCCATCATTACCACCCGCGTATACGTTGCCGAGTCTCGCTGGTGAGCCTGGCAAGGAACACCCTCCACGCCTCAACATCGTCATTCAGATTGTTGGATCGCGCGGCGACGTCCAGCCATTCGTTGCTCTTGGAAAAGTCCTGAAAGACACGTACGGCCACCGGATCCGTATCGCAACGCATGCGACGTTCAAGACGTTTGTCGAAGAGAATGGCCTCGAGTTCTTCAGCATAGGAGGAGACCCCGCTGAACTGATGGCTTTCATGGTAAAGCACCCAGGTCTCATGCCGGGTATAGACGCTCTGAAGAGCGGAGAAATCAGAAGGCGCCGAAAGGGCGTCCAGGAGATGATGATGGGGTGCTGGAGATCTTGCATTGAGGCAGGAGATGGACTCGGACCGCCGCCGGAACCGCATAGGAGACTGGAGCAATGGGATCCATCAGCCGGCATGCCTGGAGACCCCAATCACGAGCCATTCGTCGCCGACGCCATCATCGCGAATCCGCCTAGTTTCGCTCATATTCACATTGCAGAAAAGCTTGGAATTCCGTTGCACATGATGTTTACGTGAGTATCGCCGCAAGTCCCGAACATACTCACGGCTAACAAGTCTGCCAGAATGCCTTGGACTCCTACGCGAGCGTTCCCTCACCCCCTTGCTAATATCCAATCTTCAAATGCCGACGATGTCCTCACCAACTACTTGACTTACACGCTCGTGGAAATGATGACATGGCAGGGACTGGGAGATATCATTAATCGATTCCGCGAAAATGCCCTGGATCTTGCTCCCCTCTCCCTCATCTGGGCCCCAGGGCTTCTCAACAGACTCAAGATTTCTTATACTTACTGCTGGTATGTTCTGATCTACAGACCATCTATGATCCCTCTTCTAATCGCATATCCATAGGTCGCCTGCGTTGATTCCGAAGCCAAATGATTGGGGCCCAAACATTGACGTTGCGGGCTTTTTCTTCTTGAATCTTGCATCCTCCTACACGCCAGAGCCCGATCTTGCTGCCTTTTTAGAGGCTGGTCCTCCGCCGGTGTACATCGGCTTTGGCTCCATTGTGGTGGACGATCCCAATGCCATGACTAGGCTTATACTGGACGCTATCCACCTGGCCGGCGTACGAGCTCTAGTCTCGAAAGGTTGGGGAGGTCTGGGAATCGATGCGGTAGGGGTGCCTGATGGTGTATTCATGCTCGGTAACGTTCCCCACGACTGGCTGTTTGAGAGAGTCTCTTGCGTTGTCCACCACGGCGGCGCTGGAACGACCGCAGCTGGCATCAAAGCAGGCAAACCCACTGTCGTCGTTCCATTCTTCGGTGACCAGCCCTTTTGGGGAGCCATGGTCGCGAGAGCCAAGGCTGGGCCTGACCCAATTCCCCATAAGGCCTTGACAGCCGAGAAACTTGCCGAGGCGATCAAGTTCTGTCTCCAACCAGAGACTCAGGCTCAGGCCCAGGCACTTGGCCACAGGATACGAGAGGAAAAGGGTGCGGAGGCTGGAAGCCGAAGCTTTCATAATCATCTCGATGTGGATTCTCTTCGCTGCTCCGTGGCTCCCAGTCGAGCTGCGGCCTGGCGTCTGAAAAGGACAAAAGTGCGACTCAGCCCCTTGGCTGCCGCTGTTCTCGTCAAACGAGGTCTCTTACAATATTCCGACTTGAAACTGTAAGACAAACCTACAATACATGGTCTCCTATCCGATACTTACTGGCTGTTTAGATACCGTCCATACGAGTATAACACAGAGGACCAGCCTCCTGACCCAATCACCGCGGGCGCTACCTCGTTGGTGACCGATATAAGCGACATAGGGATGGCTATAGTAGACATGCCTCTGGACATACTCAAGAGTCCCAGGAAAGCTAGAGAGAAGGAGGATGCCGCCAGTCAAGCCAGCGGCGATGACAGCGACGCAGGATCGAAACCCAACTCGATCAAAGGGCGCTCTGGAACAAGGACTCCGACAGCAGCCAGCGCTGCAGAGACCGCGGGTGATGCCAGCTCTGTGACGCCACTCACCCATTTTCCCTCATTACCAGCTGAAATAGGGAGGACGCGATCTCCTACCGTTGATAGTCGTGGAGGAAGCCGATCATCGTCCCGTCGAAGGGCGCTTTCTGCCACTACCATGGAGGCTGCAGTTGGCACGACCAGGAATGTTGGACGTATTGTGACTACGGGAGTCAAATCTCCTATGAACTTCTGCCTCGGTCTCGCCAAAGGATTCAGGAATGTTCCGCGGCTGTACAATGATGATACAGTCCGAACGATTGAAAAGGTGACGGACTTCAACAGCGGCGTACGGGTTGCGGGCAAAGAGCTTGGCTTCGGTCTTTTTGATGGGATCTCAGGTCTTGTTACGCAGCCGATGAGAGGGGCGCAGAAAGAAGGTGCTGCCGGGCTGATCAAGGGCTTTGGAAAAGGCATTGGAGGACTTATCGCTAAACCCGCGGCAGGTGAGTGACATCCGTATACCTGCTATCTGAGAGATGTGCTAACCTTGCGTGCCAGGCTTCTGGGGCCTTCCAGCATACATGATGCAAGGTGCGTATGCTGAGCTCAACAAGTTCCTGTCCAGGAGCGTGCAGAACTATATCATCACCTCAAGGGTCGTTCAGGGCGAACGGGAACTGCAAATGGCATCGGAAGGAGAGAAGGCGGATATTGTTACACGCTGGAAACACGATGCTGAGCTAGGGGCTCTTCAACAACGAACCGCCAAAGGCCAGGAACGAGGGCACTCCCGAGTCAGTTCCGGAGACGGATCGAGCCTTTGGCGCTCACCTCTCCTAGAAGGACGGCGTCAACTCGGCGCCGCGCTGGGAAATCCAAAGCAGCAGCAACCAGGCCGAACCACCGGGCGCTCTAGTTCCCCCCTTGGGAGAGCTCCGGATACATCGTCTGCTGTTGACACGGAATTCGAGGCGGCCATCAGAGCCTCAGTCATGGAGACCTCTCGTGGCGATGCAGAGGAAGACGCCATGATTGAGGCGGCTATTCGCGAGAGTGTCAAGGCAATGCGGCAGCAGGGTTCTCTTCCCGACCCCGTCGTTCTGAAATCGAACGTCAAGCACCACGACGTCTTTGAGGATGAGGATTATAAAGTTACGGATGAGGAATACCAGGACTTGATTGAGCAGGCTCTTCGCGAAAGCCTGGTCGGACATGGGGAAGATTTGTCCGTGCCCCAAGCCTCTGGCATCACCCAGGGGCTCGACGCCGTTGGTACCGCGGCACCACCAGCTTACGAGGACCAGGCGCGCAGCAGCGGCTCGGCGTTTACGCCGATGAGTGACAACGATGACGACCTGCAGCGGGCTATTGAAGCATCACGCAAGCCGCCCCCCTCCCTTCCGCCTCGTACTTCTTCTGCTTCTCAACAGCCGGAAGATGACGAGGAAGAGGAACACTTGCGGAGAGCTATCGAGGCATCCAAGAACGAGATGCAGCGAGCACAGCACGAGAAGACGGAGGAAGACATTGTGATGGAATATGTCAAGAAGCAGAGCCTCGCGGAGGAGGAATATAGGAAACAGCATCTGGGCAAGGGGAAGGGGAAAGAAGTGGCGGATGCCGACGACGATGACGAGGAGTTGAGAAGAGCCATTGAGGAGAGCTTGAAGCTGAGCGGAGAGGGTGGTGCCGCGCCACCTGAAGCTTGAGGTTGAATCAGCATTGGTTGAAGTCGAAAAGCTGCCTTGAACGATGTGTGAAAGAATGTACATCGAATCATTGATTCTGACGCGTTCGTCCACGAAGTGAAGAAATACCCCATCAGGTCATTCTATTTTTGACGAATAATTGAAATTGAACTGAAATGGAAGAATATCTCTGAACCAGTGATTAATGAGCTATCTTGCAAAGAAGAAGAAAGCAATATTTTTGAACAGCTATCAATACGAATCCACCGGGTATCTTATGCTCAAAATTGCAATGCGCCAACGCCGCGAGGCCATTTCAAAACCTTTCCATACATCTGCTCAGCAGAACTCTGATGCGTAGTCGAGATTGGATTCCCCATCTTCGCCATTGTTCCACGCGTGTACCTGCGGTTACTGAAGGACCTGGTATCGAGGGGTGAGACCTTTCTAGGGAATCGTGCGCTGGCATTGGAGTCGAATATATGCGCCCTCATTTGTCGTTGACAAGATGAAAGGTTTCATCAAGCGCCCGAGGAGAAACCTCCCCTCACCGTCGCAATGGTTACACCTGAACCTGCATACAGAAGCGCATGCATGCTCCTCTCATGCCGTGAAGCCAGACCTTTTTTTCTGCACAGGCCGCGCCCCCTCGCGAACGACTTATCGACCACATCTTTTGCAACAGTTCGAAGTTTGTCGTTTTCAAAAGTTAGCCATATCTCGCGGGAGGCTGGCCCTGGTCCTGCCGCTGCCCCCATCCAGGATTCGCGGGCGGCGGGTACGGCCCAGCGGCGGCGGCGGCGGGAGCCCCTCCGTTGGCCATGGACACGACGTCGGGCCTGTTCTTGAGGGGCTGCTTGAAGTTGCATATGTGGCAGACTACTTCGACGAAGCCTGATATGGTGAAGGGTATAATGGGCTGAAACACATTGATAACAAATCAAACATGATTACAGTTTTAGCCAAAACGACATTTTTTTCTCTGAGGAAAAAAAGGCAAAGGTAAAGGGAAATTTAGTAGTAACTCACCACGAAGCAAAAGGTGAAAAAGGGCCGGCTTTTGATGACGCGGGCGGACATGTTGCCGCAGTTGTGGCACTGGCAGATGATGCCCTCGTAGCCCTTGACCTCTGAGCGGAAGGTGTATTCGCCGCAGACGAAGAAGAAGAAGACCATGGCTGCGGATTTAGGTTTGCAACTCCCTTTTTACGTAGATATCTCAGAAACAATTGGGAATGAAGACTGGTTAAAGATGAAGGTGAGGAAAGAAACGAGAAAAGATGAAAAAGTGAGGCTGTGTAGCCCGTCGAAAAGAAGCGGAGAGCAGAAAAGAGGCAAGGGGAGTACGTATGCGCCAAGCTACTACTATATTCGGCCGGTCTGCTGATTTGATGGCTGATGATGATGCTTCTGTTCCCCTCCGCGAGAGGGCGTCTGCTTTTCAAGGGTAAGGGTTCAAAGTCCGATGTACCTTGCATTATACAGCTTCTACGAGTACCTATTCACTGCTTCTACATTACATCTCATTCATTACCTAAAGTATTGAGATATCCAAAGTTGATCAGTTGATATAGGTAAAGACAAAACTACTGCATTGGAGACCTGTTTGAAGATTGATTAAGTCATCTTGGCGTCAACTCAAGCTTTTCTTCATCCCTTCAGTCGTCTCTGCTTGCTGTCTCGATATGGCCTAGCGTTTCATCAGGCTTCGCTGCAGCTTCTGGTATCAAGGTAGCGGTACCTGCGAGAGACCCCACACCAATCCCATCGCCGACAACGCGCCAACAAATCCGATAAGCTAGAATTTCCTGCAGCCTTCAACACCAAAGAAAAAGCTATCGCAAACTTTCACGTCTCTTTGCGCTCTACCTCATCTCAGCCGGAAAACAACGCCGCACTCGCTCAAATCACCTCCAACAAAAACCATTTTGACGACCAGACGCATTTTGACCATCCTCACGAGACAGCTCACAACCCCTCCGGAATGCCCAGCTAGGGCACACAAAACAACCCCAAAACCTCCCAACCATGGCCCTCTACGACCTCAACATCGCCTGGTCCCCCGCCACGCCCACCGACCGCCTCCTCCAGACCCTCGCGACCGCGCGCTCCCTCGGCTTCACCACCGTCGCCCTCAACCACACCCTCGAGCTCCCCTTTCCCGCAAACCCCACAGCGCCCTTTCCACCTCTACCCTCCTCAACAACATCCTCCTCCTCCTCCTCCTCATCATCGTCCTCATCAGCAGCAAGCGCAACAACAAAGCTCCCCCACGTCCTCCACCGCGCAACCCTCCCCCTCGCCGACCCCTCCGCCTCAAACTACCGCCTCCCCTCGCTGACCTCCGTCTACGACATCCTCGCCATCCGGCCCCTCACCGAAAAGGCCTTCCAGAACGCCTGCCTCACCCTCGACATCCCCCTCATCTCCCTCGACATGTCCCAGCACTTCCCCTTCTACTTCCGCCCGAAACCCTGCATGGCCGCCGTCTCCCGCGGCGTCCGCTTCGAGCTGTGCTACGCCCAGGCCCTCGCCGCCCCCGACCCCCGCGCCCGCGCAAACTTCATCTCCAACGCCACCAGCCTCATCCGCGCCACCCGCGGCCGCGGCATCGTCATCAGCTCCGAGGCCAGGTCCGCCTTCGGCCTGCGCGCCCCCGCCGACGTCGTCAACCTCTTCAGCGTCTGGGGGCTCCAGAGCGAAAAGGCCATGGAGGGCCTGCGCACCATACCCCGGGGCGTCGTCGTCAACGAGGGCTTGAAGAGGGACGGCTTCAGGGGCGTCATCAACATCGTCCAGGTTGTCAAGAAACCTGCGGCCGTCGAGGGTGAGCAGACGGACGACCAGTCTTCGGCGGCGGAACAGGGCGGTAAGAGGAAGAACCAGAAGCGCAAGAACGGCGGGGACGATATTCAGCCTACGAGCAAGCGGGGGGCCAAGAAGATGAAACTGGCGGCAAGGGGAGCGGCATCTGAAAAGAAGGCGTCATGACGCACCATTGGTGCTTATATACGCTGAGCTTGAGACGTTGTGGACGTTTGCATTTACCCGAAACGCAGCATTGGAGGCGCTACAAGGCATGATACCCCAGAGGAGAGGAAAGACGAGAACAATGCCGGTTCCCGTCGGTTTACAGGCTCTCGCCGGAAAGATTTTGAAACCAATATATTACCTATGTGCAAGTATTCGTGTCTTTTCATTCTTAAGCAAACTGTGATGGCTACAAATGGTATCTCAAATTCTTTCTAAGTTGTCCAAACTCCATTAACCCTGCACATCTACACCCATTACGCCTCCTCTCTTTCGCCCCCTTACATCCTACACCAGCTTTCTTCATTTTCTAGGCAGCCAGTTACCCAATGACCAGGGTAGGTGCCGCTGCCGCAGACACTTTTGTCGGCTTAGCCGCTGGAACGCCGACCAAGGCGCCCAAGTTGAGCGCGCTGCTCAGCTCATATCCTTGGAGATCGGGCGGCGGCGCGGAGAAAGCCACGGGTACGGTGGGTGCTGCGGGAGGGATGAAGAAACCTGGCTGTTCATCTGCCGAGGGAGCGCTGGGAGCAAGGTTACCCAGTACGAGGCTGCTGGCTGGCCCAGTTGGGGCAGCGGGTTCAGGTGCAGCAGTAGCGATCGCTGGCGTCTCGGGAGGAGCCGTAGTGGTGGGAGCCGCAGCAGATGTCGATGCCCCTGATGCGACGGTCGAGTTTGACGAAGCTGCTGCTGAAGTGTTTACGGCAGAGGTGGTTGACGCAGGCTGCGTACTGGACTTAGGTGAAGCTGTCACTGTCGCGGAACCGGTGGTCGCAGAGGAGGCAGATGTAGACGCAACTGTTGTAGAGCTCTGGGCTGTTGTCGAGCTTTCAGAAGTCGTAGAAGTAGCGGCAGCTGTGGAAGTCTCGGTAGCTGCAGAAGTCTCGGTCGTTGCAGACGCCTCGGTCGTTGCAGACGTCTTGGTGGCTGTAGAAATCTGAGCTGTTGTAGAGCTTTCTGGAGGCGCAGGTGGCGGGGATGAAGCACTCGTAGCAGGGGCAGCCGTAGAGCTGGTCGCGGGGGGTTCGGTCGCAGACGAAATTGTCGATACCGGAGGCGGCGGGGGCGGGGCCGAAGTCACAGTTCCAACCGGAGGAACGGTCTCGGTGCTTGCTGGAGGAGGAGGGACAGTCTCGGCCGGAGGAGGAGGTACTTCGGTAGTCGCTGGCGGAGGGGGAGGGGCGGCAGGAGGAGCTCCTGGAATGAGTGTGACGAAGCCGGGAAACGTCTGGACCGGGGGAGTTTGCACAACAGTCGTTGCCGGCGGAGGAGCACCAGCGGGAGGGGCTCCAGGGATGAGGGTAATGAACCCAGTGAAGACAGAAGGAAGGACCACGGGGTTTGCCGGTGGAGGAGGAGGAGGTGCACTAGCAGGAGGTGCAACAGCAGAAGGAGCACCAGCAGGAGGAGCACCAGCAGGATCGGCTCCGGGAATCAGGGTGACAAACTGAGGGAACGTCTGGACCGGAGAGGCCTCGGGAACCGTGATCGCCGGAGGAGAAGAGACTGCCGGAGGGACGGTGGGTACGGCAAGGACAGTCGTTGAAGTAGCCAATGAATCCGAAGAAGCAGTTGTGTCCAGAGCAGAAGTCGTCTTTTGAGCGGCAGACGTTTCCACGGGTGCAGCCGTTTCGATTGGTACAGAGGTTTCCGCGGGGGCAGTTGACTGCAGGGGAAGAGTGACAATCACCGGCGAAGGGGTTGTCTGTGCAGTAGCGGATGTTTCTTGGGCTGCAATCGTCTCCGAAGGGACGGTTGTTGCCGCCGAGGACGTCGATTGTGAAATAATCGGTGCCGATGAAGAGGCTGTAGAGATCGTCGCTTCCGAAGTGACCTCGGAAGCAGAACTTGCCGTGGTAAGTGGCTCTATCATCCATGTTAGTCTCATGGTTCACTATCCGTCGGCTTCTGAATGAGCGTGCGCGCCCTACCTTGGGCGAGAGTTGTCGTCGGTAGCAAAGGCGAGGCGACTGAAGTAGTTCCAGTGACGGCGGTGATAATGGTATTGAAGGCACCCCCATTCTCGTGCCGATGTCTGCCTTTGCCCAAAGCATGTCCTAAACGATCCAAGAAACTGTCGGGCCTCGCCAGATTGCCATTGGCATCCCGGTTGAGGACGGCGCCCTGCGAGTAATGAGTTACTGAACTCTTGAGTTTCTGATTTGCGGAGAGGCTCATACCTGAACTGCAGAAGTAGCAAGCACGGCGTAAAAGATTGTAGGCCTCATCGCGAGTACTGAAACAGGACCTATAGATAAAGAAAAGGAAAAAAAGACGAAAAGAATGACTGCGACTGCGAGGCTGTTTCCGCAACTCAGACAGTAGGCAGAGAATAAATGAAGAAGAAGATGAATGTCAGCCAGCTGGATATCGGAATGAAACAGTAACTGATGCCGAATCAATTCTCGGTCGAGCAGAGAAAGCAAAATTAACGAGTGAACGGCAACGGTTGAGTAAAAGGCGGCGCCAGGCCTGTAATCCCAAATTGAGGGTAAAGAAGATCACCACCGATCAAATGGACGATGGGTGAAAAAGAAGAACAGAAATCACACTGGAGAAAAGTGAAGACGAAGCGGTCCAAGAAAAGAAGCATCGTGAAAGGGAAAAGGAAGGGGCCGCGTCCGCCCAAGCACCTGGCTCCGGCAAGCAACAAGCGCCAGGCTGACGAGGCCCTTCATTTCTTCGACTATGCTCGAAACCCGACTCTGTCTGGAGCATTGCCAAGACGCCGCCGCCTCCAGGCCAATTCGCGGCTCAAACGGCGGCGCGAGGCGGTTGAGGTCTAGACTGCGATACTTGGGCTGTCGGCGGACGACCCCGTGAAGCGAGGCTCCAGGCATCGTGCCGGGGCTAGACCTGGATCTGAGACATGGTTCAGACGCCTCCTGTATGAGGCCTGGTTCGCGATGGTGGGGCGAGAGAAGGACTATGGCAGAAGCCGCTGAGCTAAATCGACATCGGGCATTTCTTGAGCTCGTCAATGGATGAGCTGCATGTGATTGACGATTGCCGTGTGCAGAAAATTGGTGATTCCGATGTCATGTAGATTGGGCGCGAAGATGTGTTGTGTTTTGGCAGTGAATTTGCCCAAGGATGTATGTATGTGATGTGATTTTAGCGTAGGCATAGCAGAAGGCTGTTCTCGTGGCACCGGGGGTTGGGGATTGCCGACGCCGCCCAGACTTATCAGATCTCGGCTTGAACTCCACGATTGTAGTAGAAACTATTCATTCTTCGCATCGTCAGTACCCAAGGTTTGGTCAACAGGGCGGCAGTTGCATTGGGCAGGGGCAGTTGAGCGACAACGGACATGGTGTGGGACGACTTTTTTCGACCTGGACCGGGTTCATCGAGACGGCGTCGCCATGCATGAAGAAACAATCTTGAAACGAGATTGTCAAGGCGGAGGACGTGAGATTGAGATCGCAGGAAGCCTCTTTGAGAGCGGCAAATCCTGTCGGGATGAAGATGAAGAATCTCGGTGCCGAAGAAGTTTTTGTCTTCATGTTCCTTCCTTCAGAACTTTGGGCTCAGGTTGTTGGGGCAAGTGCCAACTTGTGCCATGGACAGCGACAGGAGCAAAGGACTCTGCACCTGCCAACCAGCAACAGCAGGCATTGTAACTCGTGTCTGTCTAACCGGATCAGGCAGACAGAGTGCCTCAATATCGTCTTTCACTTACACATCTAGTACCTTAGGTGCCCAAAGATTCATGGCTGATGACTGTAGTGAACCCAGCAGACAAGATAGTATTAGGTTTTGCCAGTGATTGATCGAAGACGCCTCTAGCTCTCTCGCTGCTTCGTCACACCGGGGTTTCTCTATACAATAGAGAGGCGAGGCTAACTAATACAGTAGCGAACCTTGTACAATGACTGATGTTGCCATATCAGAAATGCCCTTGGTATATAAAGCGTATGTGTGCCAATCTCTATACTATGCTCACCCAGCTCACAACAGACTCTGCCCTCCATTCGAGAATTGTAAAACAACGATGCCTAGAAAGGTAAGTCGCAAAAATCCACGGTACATCACCGTCGTCCGCATCAATGCACGCCGCATCGTTCCCGTCCTACCAATTGACGAGGAAAACAAACCATCCATATCCTCTCCTCACCAACAAAAGTAAACAGCCAAAGAAAAAAAAAAAAAAAAAAAAAAGGTAAATAAGAAACGCCCAAGCCAGAACCAAATCATTCTCCCTTCTTTCAATCCAAGAGCTCCTGAGTCGCACTATACTCGACACTGCTCGACCTCTCGGAATGTGACTCGGAGCCCTCCGGGATGGGCACCATGGCGCTCTTTGTCCATATGTGGATCGCCTTTGTCCAGTCCAGACCTTCTATGCAGCCGCCCTTGACGGAGAGCACGTTTTTCGACTTTTGTTGCCCGTCAGCTTTGCGTGGAACTATGGGAGGAGTAGAACGATGATTGTGAGATGGTCGAGGGGGGACGTACTGGCGTCATGTGGATGAGTCGTGTTCCGCAGTTGCGGCAGAAGTAGCTGCAGAAAGACAACGCTATTAGTCGAAAACTTCCTGTGTGTCTGATCTCGGAGGTTCGTGTTCATACCAATAGAGTGTCTCCCCTGACGCCGTCGGCCGCCTGTTATATCATATCCGATACATATCAGCATCAAGTTCATTCATACGTTGACCTCCTCCTCCTCCACTCCCCCCCGCCCCGGATCCTTCACCAACATCTCATGAGCAAAAAAAGATAAAGAACATACGCATAGCAATTCAGGTAATCCGTCTCCGGGAGCTTGAAATGCGGGAAAATGGCCGACGCGCCAAACGCCGAGCCCGTCTGTTTCCTGCACTCGGAGCAGTGGCATATATACAGCGCCAGGGGCTCGGGCAGCGGCGTCTTGAACGAGACGGAGCCGCACTGGCATCTGGCGTTCATGGCGGGAAAGGAGTATTATGAGGAAGAACAGGAGAGAGAGAGGGGCAAGAAAGAATCGATGAAAGAAGAAAAGAAAAATCGTGCGTTGTGCGTTGTGGTGAGTGGATGATGATGGTTGGTTGATTCGAGTCGTGGAACGATGGGACTTGTGTTTGAGGTCCGGTTCGGCGACCTATAAATGCAGAAACCGAATGACTCTCAGGTTGTTACAATCGGTTCCGTGTCCAGACTCATATACGAGTCAAATGGCGAAAACGACGGCATCAAACAACCATGGTGTTAAACTCAGTCCTCGAGATGTAGATGTGAAAAAAGTCACAAAAGCCGTCAGCGAGTTCGGATCTCCAAAACACACCGGTTTGCATGTGCCTAGGCACAAAAAAGAACGTCACGGTTCAGTTCAAACTTGCTAGGCTACCGGATGCATCACCCGTACTAATCCCTACCTACCTATGCAACGTGGTAACTCAACTATCCTCCTCGATCGACGTCAGTCAATGTCCCCCATTCCCTTCAGCTCCTCCAACATTAGGAGAAAAAAAGATCAACTCCGTTCACTGCACCGAAGAGTCACTCGACGAACGAAACAAGCCAGCCGCATATCCCCGCCGGTCTTCGCAACAACAGCTATACCAACCAGAAAAGGCAGCAATTGAGCAGCGGAACGTCGAATCAGTTTTATATAGTAAGCTGAATCCTCGCAATCTGGTTCGCCCATCGCCTTTTGCTTCCCTATCCGGCCGAGACTAAAAACATGTCCGACCAGGGGCCCGCAACTGCATCTCGGCAAATGCGATAGTATACGCTTAAAATCGCCCACCCCATCTGCCTTATACGAGTGTATCTTTTACTTTTATTAATGTCTGCTCTCTTTGTTTTTTTCGTTATTGCTGAATCTCGTTACTTGCCTCTTATCCAATAACTTAAGCCGAGGCGCGTGAGTCATCCCGTTCAACCCCCGGGTCCATGAAGCAAACCTCCACCAAGCTAACATGGGGTGTAGTATCGCACTCAATAAACCGCATCTTCAGCTCTCTCTCGTCTTGGCTTGCTCGTTTCCCATTCCCCCATTCCCACATGCTTCGTATTAGTAGTACTCCGCATATAGTAGAATCACAATCATTGGTCCTGGTTATTATTAAATGATTCCAGATAAGGCTGATCAGTAATCAACTAACTCTGCAAACCTACAACCACACGTATCTTGTCAGTTGAAGCAACAGCTCTTCCAGCTTACAATGTTGTAAGCGGCTACCCACGGCAAGCAATGGCATCAATGACAATAGATTCGGCCAATACAAAAGACATGCTCCCTTTCAAGCAACAATGTGGCATGAGAAAAGCTCATCATTATCAACTCCGATGACCGGTCCGCTCGTCTTCCCGCCCCCCAAGATCTATCGACAACTCGTCACAGGCAACAAATACACGAGTTACCTTTTGCAACTTAGCCATATTGTAGATGTAATGTGTCAATGTGTCAACCCAAAAGCACGTCCAGACTTGCATCCACGGAACAAAATTCCGCTCAGCACCCTCGGCGGTCCGAATCAAGGTCCCAATTGTCCGATACCCACTCCAGCCCTGAAGCTTCACCGGTCAATCCTCTGGAGCACGTCTTGGGTCCCGTGGATCAACGGCATTGGCCTATCTATTATTAGCCCAAAACACCTGTCCAGTTTAATAGCGTATCTACGAATTAGCTGCCGAGGCCGGCTTCGCAAGCTTCACTTCACTCCTCGAAGCCGAAGCCGAGGCCGACCTCAAGCACGTCTTCCCACGGAGTAGGTACACCGTAGGAACAAGATGGACATCTTGAAGATGAAAAAAAAGCTATCAGCGAAAGTGCCCAGCTGAACCTCCCCATTCATACCACGACACATTCGTCCAAGGATACAAAGACCCAAAACATCAAGAAACATGACCCAGACCCCAAAACGCCCCGACACCCACTACAGAACAAAACAAAATGGAGTCGAAGCTTACAAGATCCTGCCCATGCACGCAACCACCGCGTTGGACCCCTTCTCCCTCAAGGCGTCCTGCACAGCCGCGCACCACGCAATCTTGTCCTCCGTGCTCCACGAGTTCTTGATAATCTCAATCTCCAGCCTCTCCAGGTTCTCCATCTCCGCCAGCCGCCCGCCCTCCACCCACCGCCTGGCACCGCCGGCCTCCTCCAGCCCGTCGACGAACTCGTCGTCATCCTTTACGTCGTCGGTGCTCCTCCGGCCGATCTGGCCCACGATTTTCAGCCGAAGACCCCGGAGCCCGCGAGTCCACGACGCCGCTCGTCCCGGGCTGCACAGGTCCGCCCACTTGCTCAGCGCCGCCTTGCGTGCCAGATCCTCGGCCATAATCTCCACTCTCGCGTACCGCATCGCCAGGCGCTGCCACGGCCGCTGCGACTTGGTCACGGCTGACGCTGCGTTGAGGCCCGATGAGAACCAGTTGAGAAAGACAAACTCGTTGTTCGCAAACGGCACCTCGCGGGCCTCAAAGTAGATCTGCCGACAGGTGCGAAGCAGATTGGTGGGAATGCCCGCCAGCGGTCGCTCTGAGCTGAGCAGGCCCGGGGTGTTTCTGTTGAGCTCACGCATCCGCTCCTTTGTCCGCTCCTTGACCAGCTTTTTCCTCTCCTGCTCCGTCTTCATCTTGTCCCATTTGCTCTGGCCGCCCTGGTTCCCCTCCGAGCCCTCCATGACCGGGCCGCTGTCGTCTGGCTTTGCGAGCTCGATGATGGTCTCCTCGGCCTCAATCTCCTCTTCAATCTTCTTCTCAAGATCAGGATCAAGCGGGTGCAGCACGTAGCGGCACAGCATGGGAATGGGATATCCCGCTGCGAGCTCCTTGGGCTGGATGGGACTCATTCTGTAAGCCCAATAGTAGATCCTCAGTCGTATCTCTACCGGGAGAGACAGCAGCCGCGAGTTTTGTGGCTGAGTCGCGGCATTCGAGTGGTCCTTTTCCTCAATGTCGCCATGCGGCTTGATGTCTCTCCCGTCTGTCGCTACACCATCATTCTCCTCGTCTTCGTCGGCTCCAGGGCCAAATCGCTTGTAGTAGCACACAGCAGGCGGGTACCAGAACATGAATGGGCAGTATTCGTACTCGGCCCCTGCCATAACTAGATGAATCGCGTGAGTATCCTGTACATTGATATCCATGGTTACAAGTATTTCGTGCAATGCCTTGAAGAGAGAATGACAGTAGAGAGGGTAGAGGAAGCATGTCGCTGGGGTTTAAGTATTTTCTCTCCATTCTTTTTGACTTTTCATCTTGACTCTTTTTTAAGGAATATCTTTCCCTTCTCATCCTCCATTCCCCTCATCGGCAAGCGACAGATAGCCTCGGGCTCACTGAAAGCCTATTCTCACGCCGTGGCTATCGCGGAACAAAAGCAACGTGAGAGGGGGGAAACCCCTCCAAAAAAGAAAGCACATACCAATATGTGTTATGCAACACGGCAGCATTGTGAGCACTAGAGGGATGATGGTCAGCGTGCTGGTTCTTATATCGTCTCACCAGTTGGAGTAGTGGCGGCTTACTGCTGGGCCGGTTGGCAACGATGTGCGAGGTAACCGGCTTGGAAACGTTAAAGAGGTCGGACTCTGCCGCCGCTCTGAGTAATGAGCTCATGGTCAAATTGAAGGTGCAGAAAATGAGGAGGTGAGGAGAGCACTAGATGATCGGTTTGCCATCCGGTCGGATCTGGGAAGAGGGGAGCCTATAAAGAGGGAGCGTGCTTTGCGGGGAAACGTCACGATTACATATCCGAGGCACATGAACCCTTTGCTGGCAGCGTTGCATCCGAGGCCATTTCCGATCCCAAGCCCTCATTTGAAGTTTGATGCATCAAATCTACATGCCATAGCCGCGAGCCGATGGAGCTGGTCAGAGCCCTACCGGTCTGTCGGGTGAGGAAATAAGAAGCCAAAAAGCCACAGGGGACCGCTGGCTGAACATGAGCATACAGAGATCCAATCAGATCGGGGTCCGAGAGATTTTAGCGCCGAATGTGTGTGCATATTGCACATCCCCGTGTGCTCGTCATCTCCCGACCCCGGTAGTTTTGCCTTGCCGGCCAGCTGCTTGCTTATCGCTCCAGGTCGAACGACGCATTGAGGACCCTGCAACGTCATTGGAGACGACCCTATGGTTTCTGGCTTGAATCGGCGACGGAAATGCTTCGCACATTGATCCGTCTTCATAGGGTGGCTATCATCACTTCCGTCTCATGGATTCGTTCGTGACTCGTAGTTGCATGCTGCATGCTCCTGGAAGAGCCTGTCCCTCCGAGGCCGAAGTAGTTCAGGGGTTTGCCGCTAGTTCACAACGTGGTGTTTTCGGGCATCGCTATCGTCGTGGTAGTAAAAGGAGTCGCCTCGAACAGGCATAATACCCGATATGAAGCATAAAAGGGATAAGGAGAAGATGGGGAGAAAATGATGGACGCTGACAAATGTACTCGGAGTTCCTCGTCGGCGCCCTTTCCACCGACCTCCGCGAAGCTCTCTGCAACCTCCCATCTCGACGACAGAAGGTTCAGTCCTTGTTCGGCCACGCGCAGCGCGCTATGAAAACTCGCGGAGGAAGTCGCTGAACTCGTCATCCTAGGACGATCCAGAGCCCGGTGGTATATTGACGCCGTCAAATCCCCTTTTTACCCCGTACTTGTTTTCGTATTCAATGTTTCGCGGAAGTTCGAAGTCCCCCCTCGCCGCAAACCACAGCAGCGTCTCTGGCTCGGGACCCCTACCCACCAGCGTCGATCTTGACGGGTCACCATCATTGGCCTCGTCCATGTCTTCATTCTCGTCGTCGCCATCTTCGTCCTCGTCTTCGTCGTCTTCGTCGTCGCTTTCTTCGTCCAGACCCTTTCTCAGGCCTGTGCGCACTTTGTCGATGCCCATCTCCCTCTCGGCCTTCGTGTAGACGTCTTCGGCCTCCTCTTTGACATAGGTGGCAATCCTAGATTGTGTCCATGCCCTCAATTCGTCCCATATTGCCTGCAGCTCAGCAATGCCCTCGGGCGTAACGAGGCGCGCCGTCTCGCGACCCTGCGCCACAAGCTCCTCCACATCTGGCTCCAGCTTCTTGCGCAGGAGTTGCGTCAGAACGTTCTCTTGTGTTCGTCCAGGGAAGTTCGTCGAGGGATGAACGGCAATCCGCGAAAAGAGCTCCGAGTTCTCGCTCAGGTTGTCCAGCACCGTCTGCAGGTTGCGCTGGAGGATCTGGGCCGAAGCTTGTAACGAGGAGCTGCAGAAGGGGTTAAGCGCGTTAGCATCGCCAGAGACTGCCACGGCTGGGGAGCGAAGCATACGGATGAGGCAGCGGGTTGCTCTTGAGAATGTCCATCTTGAGGCTCTGTATGCTGCTCGAGAGCTGCGCCAGCCGCGCCAGCGTCTGCTCCACCGACTTGAGCTCGTCGTCGTCCAAGCCCAGCGCCGCCATGGTGGTGCTCGTCGCTGTTGCAGCTGATTGAAGTGAAGTCGAGGTTGAGTTTGTTTGAAGCGACTCTGATTACTTTAGCTGGTACGTAAACTCGCCGACGCGCTGCTTTGAGTCGTGGGGCAGGCGCTAGCGAGTGCTTCTTTCCGTGGCTGGTCGTTCCTGCCGATGAAGCGTGGTGGGGCACTCACACTAAGGTACCAAGGTACCTTCATCGAGCTGAAGCCCAAACTGCTTGAAAAGCTGCACTTATATCCATAATAAACATGACTTGGCTTCCAATTGTTATGAAAGCCTCCGTTAAGACTCTTACTATTACACCTTGTTCTGATCACATTACTTTGAACTTTTTTTTTTTACCCATCAGTCTATAACGTTTTGGTACTATGTACAAGGTAAAATACATGTGCCAAACAGCCAAGATGCTACACCAAATCACGCCTTTCAAGATAAACCAAATGCCGCTATGGATATACCCCGTGAATGAAACCCCTTCGATGCTGAGAATGAGAATAAGAAGAGAGCGGGGAAAAGGACAAAGACTCCAAAAAACATCCCAAGTAACCAAAACTACCCCCGGGTCGCGTTGATCGTCTTGGAAATCTCGTACCCCTGCGAATCGACAAAGGGATATCTGGCACGCCTCTCCAAGTCGTCCAGCGGAATGTTTGACCGGATATACCTAACAAGACCACAAGCGTCAGCAAATAGACCCTTCATTGAGAGAGAGAGAGAGAGAGAGAGAGAGAGAGAGAGAGATGAAGAGGGAAAGAAGACTCACTTTAGCCGGCCATCATCCTCCGGGTTGTGGTCCCAGCTGGTAAACTTGCCCTTGCTCAAGGCATCCCACACCAAGCGCCTGCTCCGCTGCGACTGCAGCACCTTTTCCGTAATGGCATCAAAGTCCCACTTGGCCTTGGCCTCGGCTTCGAAGCCCTCGAACGCAGCCTTGGCCTCCCTCTCGTCCTCCGTCCGAGGCTCAATCTTGGCGAAGCGTGCCAGGTTATCCAGCTCCAGGGGGTCCTTGTCGAGGTTGAAGAGCTGCGGCTCGTCGGCCGGGCAGGTAATGTACTTCCAGGCTCCTCTCCGAATCATCATCATCGGCCGCACGGTGCCCTCTCCCGTGTACTCGGCGAACACCGTATCGCCGCCCTCCCGGCCCAGCAGGTGAGGCATCATGCTGACGCCATCCATGGGCAGATAGGGCGCGGGCTTGGTGCCGATGAGGTCGCAGATTGTGGGCAGCAGATCCAGCGTCGAGACGTTTTGCTTGACGCGGCGCGGCGCGAACCACTTGGGGTAGTGGACCAGCATGGGGACGCGCACGGAGGACTCAAAGTAGCTCATCTTGTACCAGAGCCCACGCTCGCCCAGCATGTCGCCGTGGTCGCCGCTGAAGATGACGATGGTGTTGTCCATCAGCCCGGCGTCTTCCAGCGTCTCGAGAAGCTTGCCGATGCAGTCGTCAACGTAGCTCACGGAGCCATAGTACGCCCTCTTGGCCCTCTTGATCTGCTCGTCCGTGAAGTCGAGGTCCCACAGATCACACACCTTCAGCAGCCGCTTACTGTGGCTGTCCTGCTTCTCCTTGGCGATGCGGACCTTGGGCAGCTCAATGTCGACGTCCTCGTACAGGTTCCAGTACTTCTTGGTGATGGTATACGGGTCATGGGGGTGTGTGAGAGAGACGGTCAGCGCAAACGGGCGCTTGTCCGGGCCCTCGCGAACGTGGTCCCAGAGATACTGAGTGCTCTTGTACATGACCTCCTCGTCGTAATCCAGCTGGTTGCTTCGCCCACAGGGGCCGGCCTGGAGGATGGAGCTGGCGTTGTGGTACCACTCGAGACGGGTGTCGGGCTCATCCCAGTTGACGACCCAGCCAAAGTCGCCCGGGTAGATGTCGCTGGTGAGGCGCTGCTCATAGCCGTGCAGCTGGTCGCCCACAAAGTGCATCTTGCCCGCCAGGGCGGTGTGGTAGCCCTTGGAGCGCAGGTAGTGGGCATACGTCGGGACCTCGGAGTTGATCTGGGAGGCGTTGTCGTAGGAGCCAATTTTCATGGGCAGGAGGCCGGAGATCATGCTCATTCTCGAGGGCGCGCAGAGCGGTGAAGGGCAGTAGGCCGAGTCGAACTGGACCGACGAGGCCGCCAGACGATCCAGGTTGGGCGTCTTGATCTGAGAGTCGGGGTTGTACATTTTGAGCTGGGGGGCCGCCAGCTGGTCGGCCATGATGTAGAGGATGTTTGGCTTCTGCTCCGGGTTGAAGCCCGAGGAGGGCGCCGCCTCTGAGCGAGGGAGGGTGTTGAGGTCCGGAGCCATGGCGGTTGATGGTGAACTGGCAATCTGAGCGTGTCTTTTGGTTGAAGGTGTTCTCGGAAGATGAGATGACACGTCTTTTTGTCTGAGCCTTATCGCGTTTTCCTCAATGACCCGGATCTCGGGGATGGGAAGAGACGGAACAAGACACGATCGTGACTCAGCTATAGTGCCTTGTAGGTGCCGCGCTCCTCGTCCTCTTATCAACAGTCAAAGCTCACAAAGTATGATGAAGACAATATTACTTTAAACTCAGACACGCCACGAAATTATCATGAAAAAAAGAAGTTGAGGGCTAAGAAAAAAAGAGAAAAGAGGTCTGTCTGTTTCGTTCAAGCCAACAACCCGGTGCGTGCGTCCTGAGACGCCCATCCAGCCATTCTTATAATCTCAGCTCCCCTCCACCCCCCAACCAATTTCCATGTGGAGCAAAACAAAAACCCCCGAGTGCCGAGGACGGAACTGCGAATTGTAGTTGCTCATCACGCGAGCACGCAAGAAGGAGCAGCATAATGCGATGGCCCGGTAGTAGTACGAGTAATAGCACCTACATTAGTTTCTGTCCTGTTGTTGTCGACACTGTATGGCGTTTCCTTTTGCTTCACTTTGGTGCATAAATCGGGCTCTCTTGGTTCTCGATTGTCTCGTCTGTCTTAGTCGGTGTCAGCACATTGGGGGACGGGATCTGAATAGCCGCTAGACAAATCAATCAGGCAGCAGACTTTCCAATTGCTGCCCGTCTCTGTTATTTACAGTTTGTGGGCGGCAATTTGGCTTTTGTGGTTTTCTGACAAGGACAAAACAAGTGCGTGAAAGGAAGCATGCATACCCATCGTGTGTTGCACCTCTTCCATCATCATCATCATCGAACTTGGTTATTGCCCGTCAGAGCAGTTTTGTGTATGTAGTCTCACAAGAGATGATAAGCGACGACCCGAGAGGACGCCAGCCCATCACCCCAGCATAGATCCGATACCATCATATCAATTCTCTCCCCTTTCACCGGAGCGGATTGTTCTGATCACATGCGCACCCAAGCTTTTAACCCAATCGCATATTTTCTCCCCCCTGCGCAAGCGCCAGAAAACGCTTCCAATCTCTTCCTCTGTCTACTACCACTAGTACTGCTATGTATTCCTACCAGTAGCGTCACTTCTACCTAGGGGACCCTTTTAAACTACTCGATTCGGCATCGGCCAATTCCCCCCCAAGTTTCCCCACGCTTTTTCTCGTCTCCCACTATTTAGAACTCACACAAATCCTCCCCCCGATTGCGTGATCCCGACCTCCGTAGGCGTGCGAAGCTGCGTTACCATTAGATTCCATACATACCGAAGAAACAACAACAATTCCCCATATATACGACGAAACAGCACTGTATATGGAAAACTGTATAGACTTTTTTTGCTTTGTTGCATGTGGGGAAAAAGTCATTGAGATCGTGATCATGCTGCTCGCTGCTGGGCAAGGAGGGAGGGCCAATCAAAGCTGACAAACATCCCTTACCTTTTGCCTATCCCCCTATATTCCTCCACATCAACGTCCCCGATCGAAGGAAAAGACGCCTCATCGAACACGTACTTGCACGTCCATCGAAATATAACTGCTACCGGGTTCTTAGTGCTAGTAGCATGAACTGATAATCATCACTCCTTGCCGTGTCGATCTCAAGGATGACGGCTGAGAGGCGTTTCTCCCGTCCAGTGTAAAACGGTCAGCTAGTGACGAGGAACCTACATACTTTATGCTTCATGTAGACCGCCTCTCGAAGGGTCAGTACAGTAGAGAGTAGCTTACCTCTGGTTCAACGGTATAATAGTATACTAGTAGACGGATAGATCTGCAAAACAATCATGATTCACTACTTCCAATGTTCTCTATCCGAATGCCACGGATACATTCGCCAAGTCCAGCATCTGCCACATCTCATCTCATGATACACCTCACATTGATTCCAAACATCACCACAACCAGCCTGAACCTCCAAAGTCACCTCATACACCTAGAGAATGTGCTTCTATCCATAAGGAGCCTACTCACATGCATATACCATCAACAGTAGCCCAAGTACATGACTCAATTACTCATCTCTTATATTCAAATCCCGAGCTCACTCCCCCCCCCCCTCCTTTCTCCATCCCTATCCTTATGAACCGCCACCATCAGAAACGAAAAGGCAAATACGTACAGAAAAGTAGTATCCTGCAGCAGAAGAAAAATCTACCATATGTAACCGATGACGATGACGATGACGACGATTATAATACCAACTCACCCTTGTCAGCCCGCCCGCCAATTTTCACAATTTGGACCCCTTTTCTCTCTCTCCCCCCCTCTTCGTCATCAGTTCCCTCCATGTTCCTTAATCTGCGTGCAGCATATGCAGTCATGTATAGTAAGTATTCTTCGAAAAAATCTGAAAATCCCAATCCGCCCGGCCGAGCCCCCCCCTTCGAAAATTGAAAAGTAATGCCACAAACTCCATCAAACACCGTGCATTCTTCAGTTCGCCTCGCTCCATGGTCCTTGAAACGAAAATTGGCATCATCAACGACGTCAACGGCTCCTGTCCGCTTACTCTCGCTCACACCCAACTCAGGTTGCTGTTCCCATCACTGCGTCCGGTAAAACTTCCTGTAGATGAGATGCAGCAACAGGTTCACGTTGAGCTTGAGATTGCCCTCAAACAGCGTCATGAACTGGTGCGCCTCAAACTGGGCCTGGAGCATGTCCTCGATCGGCACCTGGGCCGTCGCTCCAGGAATCTGAATGTGGCTTCGCGTGCCCTCAATGGCAAACACGCCGACCTGGTCGCACGAAATGGTCAAGTCAATCTTGTCCCATTCGCGCTCAGCCGTGCCGGTCCATGACACCAAAACACCCTTTTCTGACAGTGCCCGCACGCTATACTTGTAGCTTCCAAACTTGGGCACCCGGCCGCTGCGTTCAAGCTCTCGTTGATGGTTATACTGCTTGGTGAAGGGCATCAGGAATCGTTTTCGCCTATCGACCCTGTTAGCTATCACTGCCTTATTCATTGACATGTCCTGAAAGAGAAAACTTACCCCTTCTTGTTCTGAAGCGTCTTCATGGCTTGCTCAATGTAGTCGTCGTAGCTCTTGCGCTGCTGTTCAAGGTACTTGGCCTTCTCATTCAGGTTGGCAAGCGTCAGACGCACGCCGTCCAGCTCTCGCTGTCTCTGGACCCGCCTGCGGCTCTGGGTCCGGATATCGCTAGCAATGGCGTTGAGCACGTCCTGGTACTGGTTCTGCTTGGTAATTCTTCCCATTTGCTCCAGCTGCATGATGTTCTCCAGAGCCGTTCGCTTGAGGTCGTAGTAGGACATGGAGGTGATGTCAGCCATCTTAGCGTCTGAGTACGCCCCTCGTGAGTTCCCTGCCGCAAATTCTTCGCGGAGCAGCGCTTCCCACTTGTCCTCATCCTCGGGGGTGATTGGCTTGACGAGGATCTCCAGAAGATTGGCTCCCGTCTGCACCCTGATGATGTATAAAACACACCGCTTCGTCTCCATGAATAAAGCCTTGATATCGGCCTCGGGATCCTCAAGGTCGTGGAGCCTGGGAGTCAGGAACATCTGAATATCCGCCGCTCCTGCTGCACTCATCTCATTCTCGTTGCTCTTCGCGCTGCCGAGATCCTGCATGATTTCTCGCAGGACGTCGTCACGGGTGGGAGCCATGACCATGAGCTCGGCTGCCACGAGGTTGTGAATGGCAAACACATCTGACATCTTGACGTACAAGGTGGGCTTGTTTTTCGCATACAGGTCGTTGAACTCGTCAATGTCAAACGTTCTCTCGGCATCTGGTACGTTGATGAGGTCGCTGGTGATTTGCTGCAGCCGCTCGATGGACTCGCCGATGAAGGCATTCAGGGGCTGCAGGTAGATGTTTTCGCCGCCAAACGGGCGGCCCAGCGCAATTTGGCCGACCACCTTGGCAACCTCGCCGAGATTTCGCTTCTGGAGGGGGCTGAGCGACTTTTCAATGACGCCCATGTTTTCGGGCATGGTCACGGCTGGCTGGAGGTAAAACTTCCAAAGCCAGTGGGACACCATCTGCAAGAGGTTTTCTTGGGGCTCGCGGGTAAAGTGCTGGCGCAGTGCCTGGAACATCTCGCTGCAGATGAATCGGAGGCCGTAGGGCATTTTATGCACCTGCTCTTCCAGGGCCAGGAACAGCTGGTCGCAAATCTCTCGCAAGTCGCGTAGGTGGTCGATAAAAAGGCGTCGGGTCTCAGGATCGCGGATGGCAACCTCACGAGGCACATCCAGAGGTCGGTGGTCTGGTCTACCTGTTCGCAACTCCTCATTGTTGATGGCAGATCTGTAGATTTGCATCGGGTCACTCTCCAGGTCAAGCGCCGGGTCCTCAATGATGTTGTCGCGGATCAAGGGCCCCAGGAGAGATCGGAGATACTTGCGATCCCGTGGAGACCGCGTATAGTTGGCAAGCAGCTTGGCCCAGAAGTAGTGGCCCCGGGAATACTCCAGGGCGCTCGTGGTGCTCTCGATTTCTTCCCGGATTGAGCGGGCAATGAGCTTCAAGAGGTAGTATTCCTCCCGCCGCTTCTGAGCATAGCCAAAGAGGCTCATCATAAGAAGCTCAATGCGCCTGCTCTCCTTTTCAGCCGTCGCTTGCACGCGGATGTGCTTGAACAAGCGAGCGAGATAGTGAGGCTGTGTCTGGAGTGCGAAGAAGAGCTGCTGGTAAGACTCCAGCTTCTTCCTAGAGCTCTTGTTGAGTGCTTTGAGGTCAAACTGATTGGCCGATGCTATCGCGGAGTTGGCCAATAGACCCATCGATGTCCCGCCAAAAGTGTGCTGGTGCCTCACGACTTCATCAAGCGTAATCTTGTTCTTGACGAGGAGAGCAATTTTGATATCCAGCTGATCAATGTACTGCTCAAGCATCTCATTCTGCCGCACGTGCTGGACCACCGTCTTGCGCATCCGCTCAAACTCGACTTCCTCGTTGAAGTCAAAGTCGCTGTCATTGAGCAGGTGCACAAAGTTCTTGACGGCGCTGACAGGCGGGTTTTTGCCCGTGGTAAGGCTCTTGTATGCCTCGCCCTGCACCTTGGCCCGTACGAAGCTCTGGATCTTGATCACCTTTTTCATATTCTCCTCATAGAACCGCTTCTTCTCTTCGAACCGAAGCCGGATCAGGTAAGCCTTGGCAGCCGCCTGGAAGATGACAATGGAGTCTTCTTCCTCGAGGAGCTCGGTAAGCAAGTCGTCGATCCTTGCACGCTCCATCATGGCCTTGAGGATGGCTTGGAACTCGGCAGTTTCCGCATCGTGGGATGCCAGCTCCTCACACAGGGCGGAGTGATACTGTCGATACAAGAAACCCCGGATCTGGGCTTGCAGATCGATGACGGCGGGTTCTTCACGGTCAAGATCGTCCAGGATTGCCGCCACTCTGCGTCTCTCAAACCCGGCCCTGGTGAGTGCTTGGAGTTCAATAATGGCAGGCTCGTTCTCCTTGAGGCCGTCGAGACGAGTGGATATCTCTCTTCTGACGGCAGCGGCTCGCATTGCAGCTTGGAGCTGTCCCACCATGGGCACATGCTCCGCCAGTTCAGCCTTGAGCACCTCCTGCTCCTTTCGAGCAGCGCGGCCGCGAATCGCACTCTGAAGAGAGGTCCACGTGTCTGTGAAGGACTGGAGATCCTGCTGTTGCTGCTCAACCTTTGCTCGCAAAAGCGTAGCCCTGACGGCGGCTTGAAGGCTGGCAACCATTGGCGTATGTTCCTCGAGCTCGCGCAACTCTTTGCTGACTTGATACCGCAGCATCATTCCTCGGGCGAGTGCCTGGAGATCCTCCACCTTCTTCGTAGTCTTGTCGAGTTGGTGCAGTTCCTTGCTGACTCTTTTGCGCATCAGCATTCCTCTGGCGAGAGCCTGCAGATTCTCCACTTCATGTGTTGCCTGCTTCGTCTCCTGCTGCTGGATGGTTTGAGCTTTGCGCAGCAGGAAGCCCTTGGACATGGCTTGAATGGCCCTGATCGGGCCTTCGCAGCGACCCATCATAGCCTTGAGGCCCTGCATCTCGTTTCGCACTTTCTGAGCTCGAAGCATGCTCTGGAAGGCCAAGATGGCAGGCTCGGCGGCTTTCCTGTCCTGGTCACTCTTCTTAAGTCCTCTCCGAACGAGGAATCCGCGGACGAGGCTCTGAACGAGGATGGTCGATCTTCTTGTCTGCATTCGGTAGTCCATAATCTGGCGGGCAAAGTTGCCCCGTATTCTGGCCTGTAAGTCAATCAACCACGCTTCCTCGTCCCAAAACCCTTGCATCATCTCTCCAAGCTTCAACCGGAGCAGTGCGCCACGGAGCTGGGCCTGGAAGTCGATAATCATATCCTCGTTTTCCGCCAGTTCGCGCTCGATCCTCTCTTCTTCAGTCTCTTCGGGCTCCGGTTCCGGCTCGGGCTCGGGAACGCCAAAGTCAGCCCCCATGTTGCCAAAGCTGGGCATGTTGGTGCCCAGCATATCCAGTCCCTTTTGCATCGCCTCCAGTTCATGGTGTTCGAATTCCAGCTGGCCGATGAGGTTGCCAATGCGGAAATCAACGATGCCCTTGCGAAAGAGGAGCCAACTCAGGGCATGGATACAGTAGATGACTTTGGGGATGTTCTTCTTCTCGTAGAGATCGATGAGTTCAAAACGAAAGAGGTCGGGCAGCTCAACTTCGTCCAGATACCGAAAGAAGATGGCGATGTTGTCAGAATGTCGGAATTGCAACTTTGGATGCCTGAATATTCGGTACCGTCTCTCGGGATTAAGCGATTCGACCACCTCTGCCAGCGTGACACCGTCGCGCAATGCCTCTTCCAGCTCAACAATGGGCGGCAGCGTCTGCTGGATGACATCTTCGATCCACTCCTTGGCCTCACCAATGTGGCAGAGGTATTCGTATGCCTGGAGAAACCTGCGCTGCTTGTCCATCCAATTGCGTCCCTCCCAGCCGTAGTTGGTCCTCGGGCCGCGGCCGCCAGCTGTCTTGTCGGTGCGCTGCAGCTTTCGCCGGCCTCGGAGACCAACCACTTCCTGCGCGGGCGAGATGATGCTGAAGTCTTCCGCCTCCTCAGATTTGGCAAGCTGAGAAAGAGTCCGAAGCTGGCTGGTGGACGATCTGCCCAGCCGCTCAAGATCGGGGCGAGCTATATGAGCGCTGTGGGAGTGGCCATGACGTGAGGACGGCACGACCGCGTCTTCTGGGATCGAAGGTTCGCCTCGGGACATGAACATGGAAGTTGGGCGCGGCGGCAAAGGTCGCGAAGTCGTCGTCGGCGAGGCAGAGCCAGGGCCATCGTTCTGGGACAGCGACAGTCGGCCAATATCGATGCTCTGACCTCTCTCGCGCGGCGGCGGCCTGGATGCATGCGGTGGCGTCGCCGGGGCCTCGATGGAAGAAGCCGTTGGGGTTCGCGGCAATGGGCGGAGCGACTGTCGGATTGAGCCGTAGATATTGTCGGAGCCCTTGCCGGAGCCGGAGCTGCTCGCCTCTCCAGTCTCGAAGAATCGTGCTCGGGCGATGACATCGCTCTGGCCGCGCTTATGGCTCGCGGATCCGTAAACGCTAGTTGCAGACGTCGACTGGCTGTTGATGCTGTGGTCAGAGGAGTAAGAGTATCCCGATGAGGCTGACGATGTCGTTGACGGGTTGCGATTGATGCTGGAGCTGGCGGCACTCAGATCGACGGCCTGGGACTGCCGTCGAGGGCTATTCCGATACGACGACGACATTGTGCTGGAGGCTGTCTCGCCCGGTCCGGGCTGAGGTTCGGTGCAAGCGCACTGTATCTGCGTCTCTGCTGGTGTTCTGGCGGGGGGGTATATTAGATGGAAAACTCTTGTGCGGCGCTATCAAGACATCCTTCCTGCGTCGGTGGAGGATCGAGAAAGGAATGCAGAGTGCCGGCGCGAGGCGAGAATGAATGAATCAGCTTCTAAGACATGCGCGTGGGGAGACCCGATGTCAACAAAGTAGGTAGTAGTAGTAGTAGAGGTAACAGTAGTGCGAAGTTGGAGCAGAGAGCAGACAACAACAACAAAAGGAGACGAGCGCTGGTGAGAGAGCGATGGTGGGTGCAAACCGAACCGCGCGAGAGATGCAGCGCGAATGCCGTCACAGCTGGGCCAATATTTTCTCTGTCCAGGTCTGTTTCTTTTCTCCAGCCTCCAGTCTGGTGGCTTCCGGTGACTGCAGCTGCTGGAAGCGCCGGCAGAGCAGAGCAGAACAGGGCACGCCAGGGCAGGGGATCAACCACAGCGCGGGGTGTCGCGGGCTGCAGTCAAGCTCCATGTGCTGCATTTGCCAGTTGGCAGCGAGCGTAAACAAACCGCCGGGACAACCGCCTAGCAACCCGGCCTTTTCGGCACCGTGATTGGCTGCAGATGTCGGACGGCTCCAGTTTTCCGCCCGCTGAGTGGTGCTCTCGGGGCCGCTGTAAGCCATGCTTGCGTGCATTACACGCTTCTGCAGGGCCATGGCACGAGGGAAATCAATCTAAAACTATGGAGCGGCGGAGGGATCAGCTACAAGTACTCGTACAAGTATGGCCGTGGAAAGGCAGCTGAGTCCAGGCATTTGGCCCTGATGCTGGAAAGGGGTGGAGAAGACGAGTTCCTCGGTTATGCTTGGCGCTGTGATACTCCTGAATTCTGCCAGGGTGGAAAAGCAGACAGATTGTACGCCGAGAACAGAGAAATACGAGAAAAGCGGCCTTGTCTTCAAGTGCCGTATTATGAGAGGTGTCCCGGCTTGAAGCTTCCCGTCTCGAGAGTGCTTCGTGATGCTCCAAAAGTCTTGCATGCTGCGGTTTGACGACGTCATTGCGCTCCCGTGTGAAGAATTACAGTAGGCAATCAAACTACGGCCACTAGCGGCATATCCTCTGACCAGAGTTACGGTGTGTTTCATGTGCCATTGGTCACCAAAAGAGACACCGACCAGGTGCAGCAGGACAAGCGCCGAGTAAAGTGGGAAAACGGCGTTCATCCACTCTGCGCATATCCCCCGTAGACCCAGCCAACCAGCTCAGCTGCTGGTGAAATAACCAAGGGAAAAGTTGCGAAAGGAGAGATCAGATCTGCTGCCGATAACTGAAAGCTTTTTACAATCATTGATCATCTTGAAGATGTTTGGCATCGCAAAAGCAGTAAACTGAGAACATGCCTGCCAGCTCTAGGGTAGGCTGCTCTCCTGTTAGCGTGCAAGGAGGAAATGCGAAGCGGTGGGGCTGGATGAGGTCACTACCTTGTCGCCGTTAGCAGCTACAGCTGGAGAGATTCTCGTCTTCAGACTTCAACCGGCTTGTGCATCGCCCATCGCAATCATCGCCGACTCCGGAAAATCTCTCGCAAATTGCTAAACCGCTCGCTCGTGTCATTCTCAACATAGAATAGCCCGTGCCGCTTTTACTTTCTCATCCGCCGGAGCCGCGCCTGTGCTCACCATGTCGGCGAAGCAACAGAGACCTTCCGTCCTGGTACGTTGGATACCCCCAGAGCCCTCAAGGCGGCCAATTGCTGCAATGAACCGTGTTCGACTGACAATGGCCGGAACAGGTCACGGACGCGCGAGAGAGGGCCGACCAGCGGCGAGCACCACGGCGCCCTGGCACGTCATCCGGCGCCCCTGGACGGACACCGATGCGGTTCATGACGGTCGACAACATCCTCCAGCACGATTCCCAGATCCCCTCGGGCCAGCCTCGCGGTCCGCCTGCTCCAGCACAAAGGCCGCATACTTCCGGTGGGCTTCCTCCAGGCGCTCGGCGCGTATCAGCTGGCGGCCTGCCGAATCTTCCATCTCGCACCGGCAAACCGATGCCTTCGCGAACCACCAAGATCAGCGAGAAACTTGTTCTACTCCCCGTAGCCGAAAACGAGGACGTAGAGGAACTCGAGGGCGAGGTAGCAACAAACCTGCACTTGCAGGACGAAGGCGGCCGGCCGCTAAGGGACGAGGAGCTGGATGTGCTTCGGAAAAGGGGCGGTATCCGCGGCAAGAGTTATGCGGAACGACTGCCCAAGGCTCAGCGGACGGACAAGGTCAGCCGATTAACTGCATACTGCACGGCACAGGCGTTTAAGACGAAGGAGGCGGCGGAATTTCTGAGGAAGAAGCACGAGGCCAAGACCAAGCTCTACGACGATTGTCTTTACGCCATCTATGCTCTGCCGCTAATGAACGGGATCGAGGGCTACCGAGTACGTAGTCGACCGATACTGAAGACGCCCGGGACGGGGAAAACCGTGCTGGACCTGGAAATCGAACGTAGCGAGCAGCGAGATCACCACTTGGGCTACTTTGATCACAACTCGTTCAGCTCGGGCAATGAGGACTCTGGAGAGAGCCAGAGAAGGGCGTCTGCCTTTGCAGATCCTTCTTCACTGCCCGAAGACGGCCTGTTGTCTCCAAGGGATTCTGATCCTGCCGCCGACGACGGCCTTTCCTCCCAGATGAACCGTCTTGCGCCGGACGCCAAACACTTTGCAGAAATGTTCGTCTTTTCGTACGGAGTTGTTGTCTTTTGGAACTTTACGGAGCACCAGGAAAAGGATATCCTCGCAGACTTTACATTTGCCGACGCCGAAGACGGCGTCAGTCTGCTCTCCGGGCCTCTGGATCAGGGCGACTACGAGACGGAGGAGTTCCACTTTGAATACAGCCGCGATGTGCAGCGCCCGCGAATCTTCAACGACATGATCACGCTGCTGCCTCGGTCCGACCACATGATCAAGCTAGCCATTAGCCACGCAATTGCGCAGAGCACCAAGCTGTGCTTTTTCGAGGAGAGAATGAGCGAGACGATGCTGGATGCGCAGCATGTCCCCAAGACGCTGGCCTTGACGGGGGAGCTGGGCATGACACGACCTGAGATTGTCAAGATCATGGGCCGACTATTTAAGAACCGCGTGGATATAAATCTATGTATGTCTGCCCCGTTGCAATGCTCACGCCCATAAACGGATTTCATAACACAGGAACTTCAGCTAACTTGCCATGATAGCATCGAATATCCTCGACGTGCCCAACTTCTTCTGGGACTCTGAGCCTACACTGCATCCATTATACGAAGCGATCCGCGAGTACCTCGAGATTGACCTCCGCATCAAAGTCCTCAACGAGCGCTGCCGCGTGTTCCTGGACCTCGCCGAGATTCTCTCCGACTCGGACGCCGATGCCAAGATGAGCTACATAACATGGATTATCATCGCGCTCATCGTCCTCAGCATCCTCGTCACTGTCACGGAGGTGGGCCTCCGCTTTGGCATGCTCCAGAAGAACAAGCAAAACGACGTAGGCGGGAACAATGGCACCAGCTGTTCTGAAAGCGACGTGGCCCGGAGCAGCACACTGCCAGAAGTCATGCTCGAGTCACCGCTGACGCAATCTGCGAGCGGGTCGATGACGCACCCTGCCCTGGCCTCGAGCGATCTCGAGATGCTTGCCCGCGCTCTGGGCTTGGAGGAGACTGCTTCAGTCGAGGACGTCAGGCGCGGCATATGGCATCTGAGACAGGCAAGCATCTCAGGATTGCGGTATGACGGGCAAATGGAAGAGGTGGATTGATTTTTTGCTCATGAACGAAAAGGGATTGTCTCATCATTTTCAGGCTACTGTCACTGAGCTGTTTGGATTCTGTTTTGACTTCTTGTTCGTTTGGCGTTTGCTCTTTTCGTACAATTGCAACACAAGAACGGGTGTACAGCGACGGGTAATCTCATTGAATCGGCGTCTTGGTCACGAAGTTCAGGCGTTCCACAGCTCTAATACCTAATTAGTACCATTTCCTCTATTTCCTCTATTAATACATGATGATGATGATGATGATCATGATGCAAACTGAGTAAAAGCACACAGCACAGCACAGCCCACGCAACGCAACACAAAACGACCGCAGCGAATCAAGTCTGTATACAGCAGACGTACGGACACAACTGCCTCATCAACCACCATTCCAAGATAAGGTAAATGTAGCAAAAAGCAAAAAAAGTGCCCGGGGAAAAAAAGAACATTACAATACTATATAGCTCATCAGCCCTATCAACTTCACACATATCGAAACCTGCTTTTCTTCCTCGTAAGCTATAGTATCACAGAGTCATACTACGTAATCGTAACGTTTGCAAAGTTCCCTTCCACATCGCACCGGGTTTAATCTCCGTCTTTCCGAAGTCCCCGACACTCTTTCTCGGCACCACAACTCCGGAGTCTTACGCAAGCTGCGCCCCCATACATAGCACTTACACAATCGTCTCGAACTCCCCCTTTCCCCTTTGTGTTTTTTCTACGGAGATTTTTTTTTTTTTTCGGTGATTGATAGCGAGGGCAAACTATCGAAGCTAGCAGCTATAGGTTCCGTCAATAGTTCGACTCCTCATAAACAAGGGTAATCTACTCTTTCGGCTAGTAGTAGTAATAGAAACGTGGCAAAGTCTTTCAGATCTCATCTAGTTCATATAGTATACCGCGTAAAAAAAGCGTGTAAAAAGCTGCCATGGAAACAGGAAAAAAAAGAGAGCAAGGGGAAATATTCAACATGAAGAAAATTAGAGCCATGCCCCCCCAAAACTATCCTAAAGTCAAAGCTTTCTTCTCTCTTGTCACACAACACCCGCTGATACACAAAGTCTTTTCTGTTGCGTTGCCAGTTTCACACTTCCCTAACGCCGATTCCCGTCTGATTTGTGTCAACCTCTCGCAACACCCCAAGAATTTCCTCCTGCAGCTGCCAGTAGCCGACAGCGGGCAGTAGTCCAAAAGTGTATATTAAAACATGGGGCCCTTCCCGGGCGTCAGAAGCATCTCTGTGTGGCGGGCAAGGCCGAGCTGGATCCAAGTGTCTCGGTCCAATCCGTCCCTTGTCCTGCCTTTTTCTCAAGTATCCATCTTCGTAGTATATCATCAATTAAAGGGGCAAAAAAGAAGGGGGGGATATATCAAAATGCTCTCAGCTTCTTCGCTGCCAAATGGTCGTTACCTCTGCTCGGTGGGCTTGAAGGCCGCCTCCTGCTTCTTCTTTCGGTTCTTGTTGTCCAGCTCGGCCTTGCTGTAGATGGCAGCACCCACCATGGTGACGGCCATGCCGGCGCCGTTGAGAAAATCAACCGTGACATTGAACAAGAAGATACCAAGCATGACAGTCAAGCACTGCTTGAGGTTACCGCAGACAGTCATGGTCAGGGCACCGGCCAGCTTGTTGGTGTTGAACGACGAGATGTTGAGAAGCAGGGCCAGGAAACCGTTGCCGGCCAGAGAGAGAGAAGAGGAGATGGGGTTGAAGTTGCCGGCCCTGATTTGTTCTCGGAAGCCAGCCACCTCGCCAGTGGCCGTGGCGCAGGCCAGAGCTTGAAGCGCAGCGAGGGGAGACATGCGCATGAGGAACTCGACGGGCGGGAGGGCCAGTGATCCGGTCATGAATCGGTTGGTGACGACAGTCTGAATCGCAACTGGTTAGCCTTTCGAGGCAGATAGCGATGCCATATTCAAACGTACCTTGAGAGCGGCGAGGATGACGCCCAGAATGGTCAAGAGGAAGCCGGCATCCGAGAAGCTCATTTCACCGGCGGTGGTCATAGTAGCACCGATGATCAACGGGATGAGAGACAGGTACGTCATGGTGCTGTAAGTCCGGCCGTACCACACACGGAAGATGAGGATGGTGAAGATGGGGCACAGCATGCGCATCGTCTGGTAGAAGGGAACGGAGACCATGGCGAGAGAAAGGTTCGAGACGGCAATGTTGGCAGTGAACAGGGCGCTGAATGCGACGAGGGCAAGGTTTTCGCGACGGCCGAGGCGTGACAGCTTGAAGTAGCCCATCTGCAACATGGCATAGGTGCCCAGACTGGCGAACAGGGTGTGGAGGAACGTCAGAAGCCATGGGAAGTGGAACTAAATTGCGATTCAGCATCAGCAGCCAGTCGACGGAAAAGAAGACGGCATCGATCCGAGCGAGAAACGGCGGCTGCGGGAACTATGGACGTACCTTGCCGAGTACCAGCTTGTTGTAGAGTGTCAGGATGAGGGAGAAGAAGAAATAGGTGCCCAGCCAGGTGAACTTGACGGCGCTGGGTATTGAGTACTCATGGTCGAGGTTCTGGTCCTTGGAGTCGCCGAGGCTCTTTCCAGCCTCGAGATCGTCGATCTTGAGATCCCGCTCTTCGGGAGACAGGAGGGCGACGTCTTGCGAGTTTCTAGACATGATGGGCGAGGTGGTATGTCGATGCAGCCGGGTATGCCAGGTAGGAGGTTACGTATAATAGCGCTCGAGCACCTTAGAGCAGCCCTGCCAGCATGCTTTGGAGGACTGAGACGGGGGAGAGATGCGCTCGGTAGGTAGAGGATTGCCGACCGGATTCAGGAAGGGCGACGGAGCCGAAAAGCAACAAGATGGAGTACGAAGGTGTCGCGTGTGGATCGGGTCGCGTAAGGTCCAATTCGTAGGGCCGAGGTATGCGGAAGCAAGAGAGAAAAAAAGAAATGTCGAAATCGAAATCGAGGCGAGTGGCTGCTGCTGGACACGGAGGCCGCTGGACTCTCCAAGACAGAACCGAAGGACGCAGGCGGTGCGAAAAGAGCGACTGGCAATAGAAAGATCCAAAAGACAGAGCGGACGAGCGCGGCTCCTGCAATGGGGAGGCTTTTCGATTGGCGTCTCTCCTGAAGCTGGATCGAGGTGGAGGGGATGAGGGGAGAGAAGTCGGGAAGCCAGGAAGCAGAAGCAGAAGCAGAGGCAGAAGCAGAGCGGCTTACTGAAGGAAAAAAGTGGCGTGGCCCGTGAGATTGAACGCCCAGGCTGGAGGCGCGGATGCGCTAATCGCTGTGCGGAAAGACTCGTGTCGGGTACCTCTTGGGGTCTGGTGGGAATTAAGGAGCCCAGCTGTTAGCACTGGGTCGGCTAGGGCCTGGCTCTGCACTAACGCCGCCTGTGAGTCCGCCAAGCCCGCTGAGGCCGCTTGCGTTTGCGCGTGCGGGGAGGCTGCTGCTGGCACTGTGCGAGCCCACATGCTTGGCGCTGCGGTAAAATTGCATCAATCCGCTGTACAACGAGGAGGCCGTATGCTGGAGGTGAGGCTTCTATCTAGTAATACTCTCTTCTAGAGGAATTGGAAGTCCAAATGGCCCTGAATAGACGCACAGGTACCCGTACGGAGCAGAGAATTACACTGTTCGAGTCAAGCTGGGCGGACAGTCCAAGATACCTGAGGGCATCGTACATAAGGTAATTAGGGGGGGCACTTGCACGGTGCCGGGAGGAAGAGGATGCGCCATGTGCAGCCAATCAAGGGCAAACCTGACGAGAGGAATGGTTGATTCTGAGTGCCGTATTTCCAGCAGCAGAGCACAGTATCTTCCCATGGTCACTGTGATTGATAATAATAACCGGCACTCCGTACTCCATCCAGGCACTTCGACGTCAAAACAGCAGCGAATGGCGAGCCGCAACAGATGGAGCTGAGCCTGCCGGACAGGGGGGCCTGTCTTGGGGGACGTCAGCGCTGCAGCTCTTGGCAAACAGCGGCGCGGGAATGGAAAGAATTGGGCTTTGTTATGTTTGCGGATTGTTTGACTTTTCTTGTGGTAATTTGGTCGTTGCTGCGTGGCGTTGGTTGGTCTGATGGACGTCTCATTTTAAGAAGCCCAACTATTCCCATCCATATTCCCGTGCCTTCACACATTGATGTACCGGTTGTCTGAACCTCTGATCCTTCTGATACTGCTGACGCGGGAATGCTTCGTATGTACAAGTGCATGCAAGAGCAAGCACCAACTTGAATACGAGGCTCCAGAGACCATGAATGCGGACATTTCATCAACCTCCGACCTTGATGTCTTGCTCCGGAGGATTATTAGTCAAGGCCAAGACTTGCTTGCCCGGCTCCGTGTATTTGCTCTCGCTCGCGCACGGTCTGCACTTCGTACCTTAAAACGTTCTCCTGGTGGCATCAGATCAGGGGACTTGCGGCACAGACGTCATGTCAAGAGAGGACGGAGTCGAAGCATGTGCAAATGCCGACCCTCCAGGTTGCAACGCCACTGGACCATCTTGTTATAGTTGGCAGAAGCTTGAAGCTTAAGAGGACGACTTCTTCCTGTCCCTGACTTACACGCAGGTGCGTACTGTACTGTATATCACGATAGACGCTCGGCACAATCATCTCCCAAAACGACCGCCATCCGTGGACCGAAACGTCAACACAGATGATCACAATTCAAAAAACTCGAATCCGTGCTCAAAAGCGTGCATGATTGCACCTTGACATTTTGTTGTCCATTTGTGGGTGAAGCCTGCAGAAAAGATCGCCGGATTTGCATTGCCATATGGAGCCCACAGAACCCTTTCTTCGGGTATCTGCTTAAGCTTGCGTCCAGACGGGCTAAAGCTGCAGATCGACACTTTTGACAGCTCATGGTAACACTTGCAACCCCCGTATTACTGGTCTGCAATAGGTATGCAGGACTTGATACGCAATGGAATGGCATGAGAACAACTTCTGGTTCTCTCGAAGCATCGCTGTGGTTCACGCGGCGAAGGCTGGATGCAATCCGCAGCCAAGGGGCTCAGGCGTAGGTACGCCAAAGAGCCGAACCACTTGACGACCTCAGCACGGAATGATCCCTTGACAGCTAATGGGAGTCGTATGGTTCCGCCAAATGACTTGATAGTAAAGGCACGATAGGTCAGGTAAGGTACCTACTAAAATGGTGCTCTCTTCCTGCACAATGTAGGTATACACACACACACTTATAATCGTGTAGAACAAGCTCATCTTGGACCTCCTCCTCGGAGAGCACAAGTGCTCCCTCGGTGCTCGTCCTCTCCGATCATGTTACTCATTTTAAGGCTCCCAAAGGTCAAAGGACTGGTGCGAGTGCTGCCTTCTCTGTTTGTCTCTGTCTTACCGAAACCTGCATCTTGGTCCTTCCAACCACCGGGTTGCCCCCTTTTTACTCATATACCTCGCACCACACAACATCTTTTTTTGGCATGTTGTTCTGTATCCTATAATATCTTTGCTTGGTTCCTCTTCTTGCTCATCTTCTTCTCCTAAAACTCCCTTGGTCCATCACGACTCATCGCTCGATCATTGGTGGTCCGACATGTGCACTACGATCAGGAAGCAGCGGAGGACTTGTGCCGCCCTATTAATCGCCTTTCTCGTCGGAACACTCCTCTACTACCATTCGTACATCGATTCTGTATGGGTTTGGTTCTTTTCACTTTACCTCCTGTGCTGATCGTCTGTGTGGTCTCTATCTGTACCATCTGTTGGAGCTGACTTCTCCTGCCTCTTATTCAGGAGAGCCTCATTGCTATGATTCGACATGGTACGATACTCCAAGGCTCAATATATGTTCATACCTGATAGTCATATTCAACTCAGATTTTGATCCACCCGAAAAGACGTCAAGGCTACACTACCTGATTCCCGCCAGCCAGCCCAACCTCCAGCTCTGCTTCAACCTGGTTTCCTCGGCCGTCAACCGCTATCCTGTCCCCATCCTGCTTGGCTGGCACGGCGTCGATGAGTTCGATGCCGCCAGAACTCACCTCGCCAAGCTTCGAGCCATGCAGCGGTACCTCGATTCCCTTCCACCCGAAGAAGACGATGACTTGGCCATCATCGTCGACGGCTACGACGTCCTCATTCAGCTCCCCCCTGAGATCATGGTCGAGCGGTATTTCCAGCTTGTCGAACGCGCTGATGCTCATCTGGCGCAGAGACTCCGGGTCAGCGTCAGGGAGCTTCATCAGAGCGGTCTTCGCCAGACCATATTCATGGGGCCCGACAAGATTTGCTGGCCGACCGATTATCGTGCGCCCCGTTGTTGGGCGGCCCCAGAGTCACCCTTTCCACCAGCAGCATGGGGAGTGGACAAGGGATATGGGGAGGTGTTCCATTCCGACCCTCGATGGCTGAATTCAGGGTCCATCATGGGGCCGATTGGTGACCTAAGGAAATATATCGCCGCCACCATGGACGAAATCCAAACGACGTATGATCCCATATACGAATTCAGAGAGTCGGACCAGTATTACCTCTCCAATGTGTGGGGCAGACAGGAATATTGGCGCTCGAAGATGATGAATATCAGAGTTCCCGCTCCACCTAATGGGTTTGTGCCACTGAAGAACACACCCTTTCAACAGACGGAATACCACGTCGCCATCGAGTACGAGTCTGCCCTCTTTCAAACCAAGGCCTGGTACGAGCCTTACTTTGGATATCTGCAGTTCAACGAACCCAACCTAACAGCCAAGCTGGCGGCTGATATTCGCGGCGAGGGATCCGCGTTTGAACCTCCTACCATCCAGATGCCTGACAACGTTGCCACTTCGCTACGCAAGCTATACGACGACATCCCAGAGGCTCATCCAGGATCTACCTCTGCAGACTGGCTCGGTGCTGTCCGGCTGGGCGTCAATTTCGTCACGCACCATATCTACGGCGTGTGGCACTGCACGGGGTCCAAGCAGTTCATCCAGCTCGAGTATCCCACAATGTGGTTCTACCCTTTTGCCAAGTCCCTGCTCAGGGCGGCCGTCAGGGCCTCTCGAGCCGGTGAGCCTCTGGCGCGGAACCTCGTCGACGGCCGCAGATGGGTTCCGAAGAAGGGCTATCCCGCTGCTGCCGAGGACGTTGTGGATGCCGGGTATGGCGGTGTGTGGACGGACTTGGATGACGAGTTTGTCCCATGGGAAGACGTGTGTCAGACGTACAACGGGGTGCTTTTCCGGGGAGAGATGGAAGGGGGAGGGGCATGAGCGGATGGGAAGTAGGCCTTTGGCGTTGATTGGATAGTTAGTCATGATATAAATAGGGCAATGATATGGCTTCTTTTTAGCTCTGGAGCTTGGCCATGGTGTTTAGCTGTAGCCAGTGGTTTCGTAAAGGCCTGAAAGTCGTAACGATACATTGGGGAGAAGTCAAATCCCAACTCGCCACCCCGGCTACTTACGAAATACGCAGTCTCAACGGTGCTGGTAGATAGGTACTTAGTGTATTCGTCTTCCAACAAATGTATTGATCTCCCAACAAGTCCTCATGACAAAAACAAACGAGACTGATATCGGACCCTGAACTCCGAACATAATGATCCAACACGCGTGCTATGCTTCATGGCCCGGCCATAGCGAGCCCCCCATAAAATCAAAAGCTCCTTTCCCCCATGCCCCTGGAACATATATATATATATATATATATATATAAATAAAAGACCATCATCAAGCCTCTAAATTCTCCAACGCCACGTAACCCTCCTCGCGCTTCCCTCCCCTGACGCGTCCAAACGTCTCCCTGGCCCAGCCAACGATGCCCGTGCCGCTCATCCAGCGCAGGCCACCTGCCGGCTCGGCGGAGGCTTCGTCCATCCACTGCGGTCGTTGCCACCATCGGAGTACCAGGCTGCTAACTACTACACTAATGCTACTGCAGGCCATGGCAAACCCAGCGAACATGGGGTGCATGTGAATGCCAAACGGCAGGAAGAAACCCATGGCGATGGGCAGACCGATAATGTTGTAGATACACGCCCACGCCAGATTCATCTTGATGCGGCGGAAGATGGTTCGGGTGAGGTGGATGGCGGACGGGATGCTCAGCAGGTCGTCGGGACGCATGAGCACGACGTCTGCGGCCTCCATGGCCACGTCCGTCCCGCTCGACATGGCAATGCCGACGTCGGCTGTGGCGAGGGCGGGCGAGTCGTTGATGCCGTCTCCCACCATGGCGACCACCTCTCCCTGGCTCTGAAACTGCTGTACTATAACTTGCTTCTGGTCAGGGCTCACACCGGCATACACGTCCTCGGGAGAGATGCCCACAAGGGCGGCAACGGCCAGAGCGGTGGCCCGTTGGTCTCCGGTCACCATGGCCGTCTTGATGCCCATGCGGTGCAGCACAGATATGGTCCCGGCCGCCCCGTCCTTGACAGTGTCGGAAAGGCAAAGGTGACCGCTATACTTTCCATCAATGGCGACGAAGATGTTGGTTGTGCCCGCAGTTACAGCCTTGGCCCGTGAGCTCTTAACAGACGAGTTGATTCGCTCGGCTGCCTCAACGGCATCCCTGGGGACCTCAACGCCGCTCTCTTCAAGGTAAGTGACATTTCCAGCAAGAACCCTATAGCGTGTCCGATCACCAGACACTGCAGGCTCAACAACCGCATTGATGCCCTTGCCAACGGTCAGCTTGAAATCATTGACGCTTCCTGGGATGGCAGCGTCGGGTTCAAGGATTCCGACTTCCGCCTTGGCCGCTGCCAGAATAGCTCTTCCGATGGGATGTTCGCTGCCCATTTCTGCAAGACCAACAGCTGCCCACCAGAGTTTGGTCCGCGACACGTTGTCATTCCAGGGGAAAACCAGGCCGCTCTTCGCGACGTCCATTTTGCCTCGAGTGATTGTGCCTGTCTTATCCAAAACGACCTTTGTAAGCTGGGTCGTTCGCTCCAGCGCGGCTCCACCTTTGATGAGGATGCCGTTCTCAGCTCCCACGCCCGTTCCTACCATGACAGCAGTCGGCGTGGCCAAGCCAAGGGCACAGGGGCATGCGAATACAATAACGGAAATGCATAGCTTGACGCATACCATGATTCTGCCACCACTAGTGTTCTCTAAGAAGATCATAGGGGGGTGCGACAAGGCGTGGCTAAGAATCAACCATCCGAGGAAGGTGAGGACGCCGAGTAACAAGATCGTAGGCACAAAGTAGCCAGCCAAAGTGTCGGCCACCTTCTGGATTGGTGCCCTTGTTGTCTGGGCATCCTGAACGAGCTTGACGATCTGGCTGAGCTGGGTATCACGCCCGGCTCGAGTGACGCGGAAGTCCACCCTGCCGTTGCCGTTGACCGTGCCTCCAATCATGTTGTGGCCAATGCTTTTCTGCACTGGCATCGCCTCTCCAGTGACCATGCTCTCGTCGACGTAGGTTTCTCCTCGCATAACGACACCGTCCGCCGGAATCTTATCACCGGGTCGGATGACGACGATATCTCCCACCTGAAGCAGTTCAGTAGGGATGCTCTTCTCCTCGTATGCAGAGCCGTTTGCATCTCCAGAAGATTGGGCCTTTGGGTCTGCGGGTGCATCGGTCGATTTGGCCCATGATTCTGCTGCCTTCTCCGCGGCAATGGGATCCGTGTAGATGGTTGCCATGGATGGGGCCAGGGACATGAGGCGGGACAGAGCCTTTGATGTTTGACCCTTGGCGCGGTTCTCCAAATAGCGGCCCATGGTCACAAAGGTGATGAGCATGGTGCTGGTGTCGAAAATCGTGCCCGGTGGGGAATGAGGCTCGAAGAGAACGGATATAATCATGGAGAAGACGCTGAAAAAGTAAGCGCAGGAGGTGCCAAGCATGACGAGCACATCCATGGTCGGCGAACGGTGCTTGAGCGATTTGAAGGCCGAGACGTAAAATCGCTTCCCGACACCAAACTGAACGGGTGTGGTAAGTATCAAGTTGACGACATCGCCCAGATAGAGACCGTGGCCAAGGTGGATCAGACTCAAGTTAAGACTGTCCGAGACCATGGGCAACACCATGGAAAGAATGAATACCGGGATGGCGAATGCGGCGGACGTCTTGAACGCCGTCCTCCACTCTGTGATTTCCCGGGTTTTGGCCAGCGACTCGAGTTGCGCGTTGTTATCCTGGCTGTCCGCAACCAAAGCATTGAGGCCTTGCGCCTCAACCGCCTCGACGATCCCTCGAAGCCCAATGACGGCAGGCTGGTGCGTGACGGACAGGCGATCCGTGGATAGGCTGAGCGAAGCAGATTTGATACCCGCAAGTGCCAGCAGCTTTTCCTCCAATTCCTTTGCGGCGGTGGCGTCTGGGCTGCCAAAGATCTTGAATTGCGAGGTCGTGCTGCCGAGGTCGTTGGCCTCGGAGACGGTGGACAAAATCGTGGCACCAAAGCCTCGGTCTTCGATGATTTCGGAAATTTGTTCGACGGAGATCTTGGTGACATCGTGAGTAATGACCGCGCGCTCGGCCAGAAGACTGATGTTGAATTTCAAGATGCCGTCGACTCCCTGGAAGCCTCCCTCAACAGCAGACGTACAGGCCCCGCAAGTCATTCCCTCGATGGCCACCGTCGTGGTGACGACATGATTTGTTGGATTCTCAGCCTCGGGACTGCTATCGGGCTGCGCCTTGACGGAATCGACGATTTCGGCGCCAAATCCCCGGTCTTCGATGATTTCCGTAATCTTATCGGCGGGCAGGAGCTCCGGATCGTGTTCGATGACGGCTCGCTCAGAAAGAAGCGAGATGCTGAAGTTCTTGACACCTGGAATATCCTTAAAGCCACCCTCAACAGCAGAAGTGCAGGCACCGCAGGTCATGCCCTCGATGGCCACCGTGGTCGTCATGAGGCCGCTATCGATGTCCTCGTCCCCCTTGGCGTCCGAAAATCGAGGAACAAGCGGACTCAAGAGGTCCGTCGACAGCAGTTCGGCGTCGAACCCGCAATCCTCGATGATCTCTCGGACCTGCTCAGCGCTGATGATCCGCGGATCGTGCATAACGACAGCCCTCTCCATAACAAGGCTGACGGAGACAGTACCAACGCCCTTTACGCCCTTGAAGCCGCCCTCGACGGCTGCTGTGCACGATCCACACCTGCAAGATGGTTAGAGAGAATTCCAGTGATGCTTGCGCTGCAGATGTTGCCCAGGAACACGGCCGGAAACAGCGAAAACCTACGTCATGCCACCAACGCGCAGTGTGGTCGTCGCCATGTGCGCGCTCTTTGGTGTAAGGCTTGCATTCGCATGTTCATTGTTGTCCCGCCCGGGGACTTTGATGTATGTCGGAGCCATGATTCCCGTCGCCAAGATGTGCGATGGCGACCTCAAATCCTCTCGCAGATAAACAGAATTCCAAAGGCCTGCGCGGAAGACGCCAGGTCGCCTCTATATCCGGGTATATCCTTAGCTTGAAGCCGCAAGCATTGCACAGTCGAGGAACGAGAGAGGAAAACAGAGATGATGAACTGGGCGCTGCCACAAGACGCTCACTCTACCAGATGGCTTCTGGCAAAATGTCGTAACTGTTCCAGAGACCGGCCCTGGAGGAAACGAAAAAGCGCAGTGCCGGCTGTGAGGATTTAATAATTCGGCCGAATCGGATTTCGTCAGCAGAAGTGTCTCGCCGAAGAAGCCGCGCTACTGGCACGAGGTATCGTCAGAACGGATCCCAGTCAAGGCTCTCCACCAGGAACAGAAGCTGGCAGTTGTTTCTATGCTTCAACCGCGGGAAACGTACGATGCAAGGGTGGGAACCCCGGCGATTATAAATTCGCGAGGAAGAGGAAGGATAGAAAAGAGGCAGATCGAAAAGGACAAGTGCCAGTGCCAAGTAGCGCCACGGCGCAAAGGGCAACCAGGGAGCCTCGAGATGGTGTGTGTGACTCTGGTCGGGGTTGGTCGCTCGATGCAGAACGGACAAAGTAGCGTGGCACGAAAGAAGGGCAAAATAGAACGTGAATAAGCTGTCGGGTGGCTCAGGCTCGGGAGCTGCAGGTGCCGACGGGGCCAAGGCTAGCGGGTGCCTTTGCAGCGGGATATGCACGCTGACCAGCTAGCTGTCAGATTGCAGGAAGAAGAGTTGAGATGAAAAGAAGAGAACAGAGAAGGGAAAAGCAAGGACAAGATAAAGAAGGAAAGTGAGTGAAGAAAGCGGAGAGGTGCGGCCGTGAGTGAAAACGGACGGAAACGGCAACAAGGGGGAAGAGAAGGAAACCCGGAACCCGCCAGGGGACGATGACAATAACAATGAGGGAAATGAGAAGAAAATGAGAAGAGGAAGAGGAAGAGGAAGAAGAGAAAGAAGAGAAAGAAGAGAAAGAGAAAGGGCAGAATGGAAAGGGAATCCAGACCAAGGCCTCGCTGCCTTTTGTCAAAACACTCACCTCGCAGTTGATACCAAACGAAACTCGGCCTGGAATACGGAGTAGGAGGGAGGAGATCAAACAAATCAAGTTCAATCGGGATGCCGTCCGGCGCCTCTGCACTTGTCGCACTATGGCCGATGGCGCCTAATTACGCGGTATCGCAGAGCCCCTCGGAGTGCCAGAGATGTTTGCGCCTGTGTTTCAGCGCCGTTCCCAATCCCGGGCAATGAATCGCGCTGGATCAAATGCTTGCAGAGGCGAGAGGGTGGAGAGCGCAGGCGGGAGAGCCCCGGCCTGTCAAGCGGCGCTGAAGAAGGGCAATTGAAGGACCGGCGCCATTTCGTTTGCGGCGGCTTGATTGGGCCTTTTCGGGCAGATCTAAAACACTTCCAGGTTTGCTTACAAAGATGTTCAAGGGAAGACTTGACGTAAAGTCTCCGAGCAGCAAGACATTGGACGTTCCCCCATCATTGAGTGTGCTCATTTCCCGCTTCATCAGACGTATTTCAACAGCTTCTTCCCCAGAGTCAGCATTTCTATGTACAAACAAAGGGTGACCGCCAAGCTTATTTCCCCCGAGTGACACTCCTCCTGCTTGATTGGGCTTCGGCGTTGCAGCGAATGCGGACGTTCCTCGGCACCTCCAGGTACTGCTCGTGATGCAGCTGTTTAACCGATATATCAATATTCGGTCCAGCTAGTATTTATGTACTACGCTTCCCGATTAGCGCACCATTATTGATGGAGGCTCATCAATAGCATGCTGTGCTTCGTCTTGTACGACCTGGAAGCTCGGTAGGTAGGCCGTAAAGTATTGAATTAGTACATCTCAGACATAGACTAGATGCTGGCTCTGTGCAATCGATAACCCAGCGCGATCCACCTTAACCTGGCCAGAGTCTGACGCAGCCTTCACCTCAGCTGCTCGCCTCACACAGATGAGGTACAACTTGAATACTATTGCAGATGAACAAATCCTTCCGGGCGACCAGAACATAGAAGATATCGACTGCCATCATCCTCCACCATCTCCAATTGCCACTCTCCGGGCCAAGCACCCGAGTCCCCTGTTGATGCTGTTTCACCCCACCAAACCGTTGCCCCGCGGCCACTACTGTGCCTCTACCTCTTAGTCCAGGTTAGCGACCGCCCAGAAGATGCACCTTCTGCTCAACACCACACCTCCCAACGTCCATCCCATCTTTGACGCACGCAAACCGCCAGCAGCGCGGATTCTCGGCAGTAACCCAGCAGCTACCGTCCAACACAATTTCCTGCAAATCGTCACATTGACACTCTTCTACCAGCACCGCTACTCCGTAAATCGTCGTGGCCGCCTCGCCTATCAGATCGAGACCCAACCCCACTCCCGCCTGCGCATGCCGCAGCTTCGCCAACCGTGGTCCATAGGTAACCTGACATCACGATTCTAAGAAACAAGAAACGCGATACACAAGACATTTGAAACCTCTCTCTTCCTCTCCTACTCGCCATGGAGCAGACCAAGGCGCTGAACGCTCTAGAGGTACGACACCCATCATCCGCACCCTCCTCAACCCCCCACAACGTCACATATACTAACATCGAAACCAACTCTCTAGCCATTCCTCGCGCTCTCAAAATCAGCAACCTCACACCGCGCCGCCGCCGACCTCGTCACTCGCGCAACCTCCGCCCCAAACACCTTCCTCTTCACCGAGCTCCTCCAGACGCCCCAGATTCAGGCCCTCGCCTCCGACCCCGAATTCACACCCTACCTCACCCTCCTCCAGATCTTCTCCTACGGCTCCTACGGGACGTACAACGCCGCCGCCAACCTCCCCGCCCTCAACGACACGCAGGCACTCAAGCTCAGGCAGCTCTCGCTCATATCCCTCGCCAGCGACCGGTCGAGCCTGTCGTACGATGCCCTCCAGAGAGCGCTGGGCCTCGGCTCCGCTCGAGAGGTGGAGGAGCTCGTCATCACAGCTATATACGCCGGCCTGCTGCACGCCACCCTCGATCCCGCCCGCCAGGCCGTCCAGGTGACGAGCGTTGCGCCCCTCCGCGATCTCGCCCCCGGCACCATCCCAGACATGATCAGCGCCCTGCAGAACTGGGCCGGCCGCTGCCAGTCTACGCTCGGGGACCTCGAGGAGCAGATGAACAGTATCCGCGCTGCGGCCATCGCGCGGGAGACGGAGAAGCGGACATCGGAAAGCATGTTCCAAGGCGTGATTGACAGCTTGGGAGACTCGGATAAGGGTGGTGTCAGCGGCATGCTCTCGGCTTACTCGCGGGATAATCTAGCTCGCAGAGCGCTCAGCAAGCGCGCCGTGGCGGAAGGCCTGGGAGCAGGTACGCTCGCCGAGTCGATGGAGCTTGATGATGCGTCTGCGGCGGATGATCTGGCCAAGAGAGCCGGCAAAAGGAAGTTGTAGCAAGGGCAGCGGCACAGCAATGACACAAGACGCAAGATGGAGCCTTTAGATGCATTATGAACTTTGATAGCCACGATGAGATATGATATAATACACAAGGGAACAGATAACAGACCATCCGGTGATCTGTGATAGATGAAGAAAAGATAGCTGAGCCCGCAACTTCCAGGCCGTGGTTGTAAATACAATTGCCAATAATGCATAAAAGGAGAAAAAAATTCTAAAAGCTCGCGCCTGAAGCCCATATCGGCCTCTTTCCCTGTTGAATCTTGATATCGACGGAAATTATCCCTTTGCCCAACGGATTCCTATAAAATAAACATCTGTTCGTTACGGTCGTAATCTGGATTAATTAGTCTTGCTCAGCGGTCCGCACACGTAGTTAAGCTGTGTCAATACGCCGCATTGAGGACAAGCCGGCATGATGCCCCATCCCGGCTAGGAAAGAAAGACAGTGGAAGATGACGATATATATCTCAAAGCCTCTTGCCCGGAACAAGAATGAACAGGACACACAGTCCCGCGTCAATGAGGAGGGTCACAGCCAACACCATAACTGCTCGCTTCGCCAGGAGGCGACGGACGTAGGGTTCTCGAATGCGAGAGAAGTTGAACGGTGTGTACTCGCTGAATCCAATGAGCGCCAAGATGGGGTCAAGGGAATATTGGTATGAGGCAAGGAAGTAAACGCCAATGGTGAAAGGTAGGATCAGCTGGAAGAAGACCTTGTTAGCTCAATCAAGTAGCAGGTTGATTGTGAGACCAGAAGAAAGCCTTACCCAGCATCGAGTTGCTCTAGACTTGTCAAGGAAGATGAGGATGAAAGAGGCCCAGAAAGCTCCAAACATGGAAACAAGTCCAACAATGAGACGCATCACAAGCGTCGGTGGAATAAGGTTACCCAGGGCCTTCATGCGCAAGAAGCCTGGGAATGCGTCTCGCTCCATCGCCTGGAATACGTAGTCCTTAGCCACATCGAAGACCTCGGGGTCATCTCGACCATATTCTTCGATAGAAGCCGTGACGTCCTGGGTGATGGATCCAGGCAGCGTGATTTCTCTCTCAGCTCCAGGCATCAGGAAAGTGTAGAGAATCTTCTCTGCAGACGCCCTGATATCAGCCCGGGCAACCGTATGCGCTGGGGAGTTTGAGTCCGTTGGGTCACGAGATAGGCTAAATGGAGGGCTCGGCTTGGTTTGATTCGAGGCGCTTTGCGTCTGAGGCGAATCATGGCTTACGTCTTCACGCAAGAAGGCCGACATCTGCGCGTCCTGGTCCCTCTCCTTCTCTGTCGCATACATCGATGGTCCAGCCGCACGTGAGTCCATGTCGCCAAGCTCCAGTATCTGAGATGATCGCTTAGATCCCTTTTCCAGGTCCGGTGTCGCTATGAGAACAGATCGTCGAAGCTCGCGCACATAATGGCGACAAAGGGACATGTGTTGCGCCACATCCAACCTGATCAGCAAGTCAGTATGTTTGTCAATTATGCAACTTATGTTGCGCCCAACAGAATTGAGATGGAAGAGCTTGCGGAAATCTCTTACCAAAAGTCAAGATAGTCAACAGATCGCTGCTGGTCTCGCATATAGATGTAGAACGAAAACAAATCGACCGGCGGCAGCGTGCGACGGCTCAGCACCTCGAACAGGGTCGGCAATCGATTGCGCGTCATATCGGGCTGAGGCGTGGTTGACGCCGTGGTATCTCGAGGGTCGTCCATGGCGCACTGAGATGTGGTGGATGAGATGAAATGAGGGGGGTTTTCGGGGTCGGTCGGTATGATAAATGGATGAGCTATTGGCTTTCAGCTCTCGTCGCAAGCTGAGGTGGTTCGTGTAACGGGCAACAAAGGGCTTCGCGAGGAGAGAACGAAATCTCCCTGCCAGGGGAGGGATTGCGAGTCTTGAGGCGACCAAAGCGACGGGCAATGATGCGATAGGGCGAGCGAGCGAGAGAGAAAGAGAAGCTGTCGCACAGATGGAGCTTGTAGCTGCCCGTTGCCGGTGGTGATGGATGGAATGATGGCGTTGAGGCTGAATGGAGAAAACGGGTCATTAGATTGGCGCCGGTTTCCATTTCCACTTGGCGCAGGTTTGGCGTGGGAAAATGGATGCCTCAGGAGACGACGCAGCTGCGCAATGACTGATCACGTGAAGGTCGACGGGGCCGGATCTGGCTGCTGCATGATTGGCTCGCTACTCCCCACCACCAGAATTTCCAGCCTGCCCTACGCACAAAGATTTTGTGGAATTTAGCATTTCCGACTTCAACCACCCTCTCTAAACGTCCAGAACCGTGAAGAGTCGATCCGCAGGTACGAAGCGCTCCAGCCCTCACTCTCTCCTCAACGGAATCTCTGCCAAATCTCCCGTTCGCAAGAGAGTTTCCAACACTTGTCGCCCATACGAAAAGCCTCCATCCGAGCCGAAAGAAGCTGACCGTCAAACCTCACCAATTCCAGAAATGTCGTCAAAGAAGCCTGCCCAGCGCTCCGCCATTGCGGACGTGGTTGCCCGCGAGTACACCATCCACATGCACAAGAGAGTACGTCGTCTCGACCGCCCGGCCGTCATTGACCGGGAGAAGAAGAAAGCTGGAAGGGTTCTGGGAAGAGGAATGCTAACATGCGTTTGAAGCTGCATGGTGTTACTTTCAAGAAGAGGGCTCCCCGTGCCATCAAGGAGATCAAGTCTTTCGCCACCAAGGCCATGGTACGAATCCCCATCAACAATGACAACAATATCCCGCTGGGCGCCGCTTGACGCGATCATCGAAACGATTTCGAAGTTCTTCGTCAATAGACCAGGGATTAGGGGAGAAAGCCATGACTAACTCTTTCGTTCTACAACAGGGCACCACCGACGTCCGGATCGACCCGGCGCTCAACAAGAAGGTCTGGGAGCAGGGTGTCAAGGGTGTTGCCTACAGAATCCGAGTACGAATCTCCCGACGACGAAACGACGAGGAGGGCGCCAAGGAGAAGTTGTACAGCTACGTTCAGGCAGTCAATGTTAAGAACCCCAAGGGCCTTGCGACCGAGGTCGTTGAGGAGTAAAGAAAATTTGTTTCTCTTTGGGAATGGTTCTGGGGTGGCATGGCATTACGGAGTTGCAACCGGCTCTTCTAGCTCTTCACGCTGAAAATAAAAAGACGGCAATGTGATCAAAGGATTTTTATTTTTTTTTTATTCCACGGCAACATTTCCCCCCCTGCGACAACGAATTGCCGGCGGCGGAATCCCTGAGTGCTATGGAAAGTGGAAAAGTGACGGAGAGAGGAAGCCTGGTGAGGCGATGATTGGTCATGATATATTCGACAGGTTCAATTATCGGTTGTAACCTGTCATGCGCTTGCGGAAGGGATAGGAAGCCCTCCTTTTTCCCAGCCCCTGGCTGCGGAGATGCAAAATACACCCAAATACCCTTTCAAATGATTGAATCGTGCTCCAAGGACTCCGAGTACCCAATACCGTAAAATCATGAAGCCGCACGCTATGAATTGCTTTACTCCTCCTCGATGTCACGATGTCGTCCCAGCACCTTCTTCTTGAACTCGACCATGTCCTTGTCCCAAAGCTCCGCAGCTTCGCCGTTCAAAGGAGAGGCGCTGTAGGAATGGCAGTTAGTGTCACCATCTTCCCATCCATGCCGGTAGAGGGGGATGAACATACTTGTTGGGCTCGCCGAGCAAGCTCTGCAGACTCAGAAGAACAGTCTGGATGTTGTAGGCGGCGGTCCACTTGTCCTTGAGGATGTCGAGGCAGATGCGGCCCGAGAAGTCGACGTTGGGGTGGTAGATGGGCGTCTTGAAGAGGACCGTAGGGGGCGCGTAAGGATAGTTTGAGGGAAACGCGAAGCTCAGCTTGAACGTGAGTCCGGAGTACGGCGTGTCGTCGGGGCCCTCGATGGTCGCGGTCCACGACATGAGGTTACCGTCGGCCGAGGGAAACGCGGAGATGCCGGGGGCCGGCGATGTCATGAGGGTCATCAGTTCGGTTTGGAGCCTGTCGGGTAAAACGCGTTAGCATCCCAGCTGAGGTTGGTGTTCCTCCGTCGTGGAAGCGGCTACCGTTTGGTGACGCTCTGGGAATCGGGGCCCTTGCGAGCGGCATTGAGCTTGGTTGCTTGGACACTGCCGGGAGCAGAGTTCTGGTCGTCTCCGGAGTAGTCCATCGTGATCAAGCTAACGGCGTCCTCGGGCCTAATAAAGAGACGGACGAAGGAGTGATTCTGAAAAGGAAGTAATGATTCTCCCAAAAGTACACCAATCGAACAAAAGCCTCCCGCAAGAGATTATGAGACGAAGAAGGCAGACAGAGGTGGGTATGCAAACAAGCGGCAGCGGTCCGCGTTGGGCAATAATGGGACGCCTCCGAAGTACTCCCAAAAAAAGAAGAAGTGCAGAATGCAGTTGTAGGTCGTCAAGTACCTAACGAAGTAGGAAGGCGGCGAGGGTCGAAAAGAAAGGGTCCGTAAGGGAAAGCTGCCTGAAGAAAAAAGAGTAGAAGTACACGGCAAGCAGGGGTCGAGGGCAACGAATAAAAGACGAGATGAGGTCGAGAACAAGGAATGGATGGAGAGGTCAAGATCGACTGAGACCGTGAAGAAAAAGACGGCGGGTTGTGTTTGTTTGAGACACGCTTCCAGTTGAGGGCGGGAAAAAAACAAAAACCGCCTACGCTTACAGGTGCTTTTAGTGACCGGCGACCACTGAAAGGGCGCCCTGTTTGCCGCAGCAACGCCAGAGCGATGGAGCTGGGCAGCCAATAGATGGAGGCGGGGCGGGACGAAAACATTTGAGGTTCCATTCTCAAAGCTGGACCTCTTTACACGGCTGAGGCGCGACCTGGTCTAGACACGCGATTGTTAACAATCCAGAAGTACTGCTGCCTGATGCTGCTTCAGCCATGATGTCCGGATAACGCTCGAATCTGCATTGCGTCCTTTTGCTTAGTTCACTATTTTATTCTTCCATTGTATTCCCCCTTGCCATCTTGTCTCCTCTTTTGCTTGCTTCTGTTGTTTATATTTGGTGGGATAAAAGAGGCTACAACGCAGATTCACTACTAATAAACCGCAATAATGGTGAGTAAAATCCAGTAGGATACAGCAAAAACTCCCATATAGAATCAATCTGTTGATTCAGTGTCATGTGCATTGACTCACTCCCTCGCAGTCTCAGCTTGATCCACTACCTAAGGAGCTGCCCTTTCGTATCATATCCAAGACCGTCGGCCGCGGTGCCTATGCTTCGTATGAATCCCCCCATTTACCCCTAATAAAAGTCTCTCACCCTTATCAAGGCATGAGCTGACAGCAACAGGATAAAAAAGGCAATCCCATTAGACTCTCAAAGTCCGGTATTCGCCGTCAAGCTCATACACAAGGGGTACGCCACTAAGCATGGCCGCATCTCCGCGAAGCAGCTTGCCATGGAAGTCTCCCTTCACTCCCACATCGGCCAGCATCCCAACATCATCGAGTGGTTTGCCTCGGGAGAGGATGCTGTGTGGCGATGGATAGCCATGGAGTATGCCGAAGGCGGTGACCTGTTCGACAAGATTGAGGCAGACGTCGGCGTGAGAGAGGACATTGCCCAGCTCTACTTCCTGCAGCTGGTGGGTGGCGTGAGCTTCATGCACTCCAAGGGCGTGGCACATCGGGATCTCAAGCCGGAAAACATCCTCCTGTCGCAAGACGGGAGCTTGAAGTTGGCCGACTTCGGAATGGCCACCATGTTTGAGTACAAGGGCCAGCGCAAGGCCAGCTCAACGCTCTGTGGCAGCCCACCATATATTGCTCCAGAGATTCTCGCCTGTGGCAAGGTGGACAAGAGGGCCCCTAGTACTGCCAAGTATGACCCAGACCTCGTCGACATCTGGTCCTGCGGAGTCATCCTGTTTGTTTTGCTCGTCGGCAACACGCCGTGGGATGAGCCGTCCTCGACAAGCTGGGAGTATGGCGAGTACGTCAAGACGTCGGGGAAGAGCTCAGATCCCCTGTGGGGGAGAATACCCCCGGAAGCACTCTCCCTTCTCCGGGGCATGATGTCCGTCGATCCGCAAAAACGCTTCACATTTGCTCAGATCCGGCAGCATCCTTGGTACACGCGCCACAACCCTCTGCTCACTGCCGATGGCAGGATATCTGATCCGATAGTCCTTGCCACCCAGATGCTAGAAAACCTGCGTGTCGACCTCGGCAAGATACCTCAGACCACATTGGCCTACCCGCCAGCTTCTCACGATCCCACAGTGGACTCCGGACTCAACGCCGGCCGGTTCTCGTCCACCCAGCCCGAAGCCCCCGTAACTCCCATCACCGACATCGACTGGGACTGGGAAGCACCCGTCCTCCGCTCCAGGGCTCAGCCGTCGTCTCTTCCCCCCGGGACTTCCGGCCATCGTCGGATGCTCTTCGACACCCTTGCTGATGAGCCAACAATGTCACAGTTCTCGCAGATGCCGGGCCCGTCCATGACGCTCACGCAGCAAGCTCGGCGGTTCCGCGACATTTGCCCTCCCGAATCGCTCACCCGCTTCTTCTCGCACGTTCCCGCCACGCACATCGTCCAGATGCTCAGCGACGCGCTGCATCAGCTCAACGTGCCCCTGGCGCCCGTCACGCCGAACCCATACGGCAGCCCTATAGTGACCCTCAAAGTCCGCGCCATCGACGGCCGCCGGCAGAGCCTGCACGGGGAAATCTGCGTGGACAAGCAGCCGCTCCCAGATGGCTTCGAGGTGCTGGACATTCGGTTCGTCAAGGTCAAGGGGGATCCGCTCGAGTGGCGGCGGTTCTTCAAAAAGGTTGTGGTGCTCTGCAAGGATGGCGTCTATGTCCCGGAAGCTTAGGGGAGGACGGGGCAGCTGTTTTCTCAGGACGTAAATGTGGTGAGGTCGCCTGAACTGGCTGTGATGCTTTCTGGATAGGATGATTGTATTATGTATGTATGTACGAGCATGAGCATGAGCACAAAGCAAGATAGATGAACCAATGAATTCAGTTTAATGATATTAGTGCCTGGGTACTAGGTCTCTCTATAGGTTCATAAGTGCTCAATGTATTATGACTAGTACTTCCTTCGTGTCCTTGTCCCAAATCACTATCTCATTCCGTTTGTGTAGGAGCCTCGTTAGGTCCATCCGGCTCATTGGCTTGATCTTGCCACTCAAATGCTAAGCAACCCGTTAGTATCCTGATACACGCATTCTCGTCAGTCTCCAAAAGAATTCAAGGTAAGCACATACGTTGTCGACACATTGGGCATTGTCCCTTTGCCGACTCTTGTTTAATCCATTCCATGATGCAATGCTGCAGCCCAGTCAGTATACACCATCTCTCTCTAAAACCACCAGCAGAAAGGGCGCCGACCATGTGAAAATTATGGCCACATTTTCCGGACACTGTCAGAGCATGTTAGCGCGCCTCTTCATATTCTTAAGTATGTCAAGATGGGATCCTTGGCTCACAGAGGCTGCAGTCGTCGCCGGGGTATTTGCACGTCGGACACGTCCCGTCAAAATGCACCTGGCAGATGCCGCAGACGTCGTCCTCGGGTATGTCCCACTGCCATGTGGCGACTGAATTCCACTCTTTGATGGTGACTTTCATGGTTGGATAGTAAGGCCCTCATGAAGAGGGAAAGCGATGTCTCAGAGCATCGATTGCTTTGCGATGAGAAAATGCTGTGTTGATGTTGAGGCTGTGATGAAGTCGGTGTTGCCTGGGAGAACCACAGCGCCCAGTTTGTACTTTGTTGACTCTAGGGTAGTAGTCTCGTGACCCGGCTCAGACTAAGGGAACTTTGGAGCTCTCTGCTTAAATTGAAGCACTCGCCATTTGATCTCTATCGCAAGTACTCATTCATATAGACCTGCAAGCTTCTAACTGGTCTTTGTGTGCTCAGCCGATGCCATCATCTCCTCTCTTGTGATCCACCCAACCATGACCAAGACTCCCGGGCCGCCGAGGCACCCAATAACGGCGGAGGAAACCAGGATTCTAGCCCAAGACAACTGGCATATGCCGGCGCTCTTCAACTCTGCAAAGTGGTATGCCAGCCAAAGCAATAATGTCGTATAAGAGACGATGTAATCCCACTGGAAAAAGTTACGAAGCGCTGCCAGCGGGCTTTCGGGGTTTTCAATGAGATATCTCGGGACAAGCACTTCTGAGACAGCCAAAGGGGAGAAGAGAATCATAGACCAATAGCACGTCACGCTGAGGGCTATCAAGAAGCCGCCAATTGCGCGGATGGCCGTCTTGTTACGCCGCTGAACTGCTTCGCTGCGGTCGTCGAGAAACGGCCGGATTGCGCTTGAGATTGCAAAAAGGAGCATGGAGCCCGAGACCGGGTAGAACTGCCATATCCAATTCGCAAAGTGTCTAACCCCGAAATCAGGGTGGACGAGAGAGATAGCATGAGGGACGAAGAACGCCACAAGTAATGCTGGGAGGACAGCAAGCACACCAGCGCCGTCAATCTGTCGGGCACTGGCTGTTGAGTACTTGTGTAAGGGAGACGAGACGTAGAAGAAGTAAAAGTAGGACGGCGTGGTCATTCCCAGGCTTATGACTTGGGCGAGGAACAAAGGCACGGCAGACCTGTAGCGTGTAAGCGACCCATTATGGTGAGCACTGGACTGGGCATCCCCTTACGTCTGGAAAACGGTCCCCTTATTGGCGTTTCTCAGAGACTCAAGCATCCATATGGCACAGAAACCAGTCAAATCGGCGAAGAAGACGAGACACTGCCACCATATCCTGGCGTCTTCACCGAAGACTAGCGGGCTAAAGGTGATGGTAATCCGAGCAAAGGCATCGTCGAGAACTGGCACCCCAAAGAAAGTCCTCCGGATAGGCACATGAGTCCCGTTTCGGAGGGTATATCGTCCCTCAGTGTAAGCGCCTTCCACAACAGGCGCAAGTGGACCGGTCATTGTCATGGCTCGGATCATGAAGGCCATTGGCAGCAGCATCGGCAGCGCATGCAGCGCCCGACCTGGGAGCGCCATCATTGGAGCTCGAAACGCAGTCACTGGCTGTCGGTCAATGCAATTCAATGTTTGAACCAATCAAGCAATTCGCTTCGTCCAGCGAACAGACGCCACCAACGGCTCTAGAAAGGCAACGAACAGAGCAGCAAACGCAGCCGAGGTTTGGCGCATGATGATGCCAGCCAGCGAGGGGATTTGCCGGGGCCCAATTTGGCGTGCATGCGGTCGAGCTTATCGGGAAGCGCAGCAGTCACGAAATGTCATGCATGGTCCAAGCTCCTCCCCCACCACAAGCGCCAGTCGCAACTTTCGGGTCCATGATCGAATCCGAACCTCATCCTCCAAAAAACCCGCCGCTGCTCGATTCGCATTGCAATGGCTGCGCTGCCAGTCGCTTGAGGTCAGGCCATCGAGATACAGCTGGACGAGGCGTGCACAAGGCAGACTCTCACCAGCGGCAGCTCTCAAGTGAAGCACAGGTACAGCGGCTCGACCACCGGCGATAATCCTCCACCTCGCGCGGCCACATACGCCATAGCGCAACCTCACGCTCGCCCTCGATGGCCTCAGTTGTTGCTGGCCAGTCTGCTCGGATTGGCCTTCCAAGGCTGGGCAACCGGTTTCTGCGGACCAACATGTCGACCAGACGCAACCTCTCCTCGTACCTGGTCACTCCCAAGGAGCTCCACGAGGCGCTGAAGAAGAACCCTCCTTCTCCGATCAGCCCCGATCCCCGAGTGATCCCTCTGTGCGCTGCGTGGTTCCTCCCCAACGATGAACGAACTGGTATCCAGGTCTTCCGCGAGCAGCGCATCCCCAAGGCGCGATTCTTTGACCTCGACAAGGCCATTGACAAGCGCAGTCCATACCCTCATATGCTGCCGGACGCCAAAGGTTTCGCCGCGGCCATGAGCGAGCTGGGCATCCGACGAGACGATGTCGTCGTCGTTTACGATACGAAGGAGCTGGGCATCTTCAGTGCTCCTCGTGTGGCGTGGACATTCCGGGCCTTTGGCCACCCCAAGGTGCACATTCTGAACAACTTCAGGCAGTGGGTTGCCGAGGGACTGCCCACCGAGTCTGGAGAGCTGTACAGCGTCGAATGCAACCCGTACCCCATTCCCGAGCTTGCGTCGGACAGAGTTGCCACGTTTGAGCAGGTCAAGGAGGCGGTGCTGGATTTCAACAAGGAGGGCGCAGAAGGGATTCAAATCTTGGACGCCAGACCGAATGGCCGGTTTACAGGCCAGGACCCCGAACCCCGCGAGGGTCTGTCATCTGGCCACATGCCAGGATCAATCAGTATTCCCTTCAGCTCTGTTCTGGATCCCGAGACCAAGACTTTCCTCCCAGCGGACAAGTTGAGAAAGTTGTTTGAGGAGAAGGGAGTTGACCCGAGCAAGCCCATCATCTCGACCTGCGGAACGGGTGTCACGGCATGCGCCATTGATACCGCTCTGGAAGTCGCAGGATACCCTAACAACAGGAAGGTCTACGACGGTAGTTGGACGTAAGTGGCCTCTTTTCCCCAAGATTTGGGACTTTTTCAACTGACAAGAAACAGGGAATGGGCTCAACGGGTTCATCCATCTGAGAACTTGATCATCAAGTCGGAGTAGGGAGACTTTAGCACAGCTTGCTGTCGATTTATTTGAGCCACGATACCCTCCCCTTTCTTTGCCATGTTTACTACGCCTCTCATGCCGTGTACAAATATTGAATTACGGAGTATGTCCAGCTCGTGCGTGTGTTTTGCTTTGTGCGATAATCGTGGCTCAGCCTTGTCGACTTTGATGCGAACCTGAACATATGGTGATACTTGGTTTCCTTTTGCGCAGCCAAAACGAACGATTTGTCAAAAAATTGAAATGTATCTTCCTCCGGCCTCTTCTCCCCTCAATCTTGGTGACTATGAAACTGATCGACCCTTTCCTACGCTCCTTTGCCTTCCAATCCCATCGAACAACTCTGGCACTCACTCACCTCGGTGAATTCTTACTCAGCATCTCGGTCTATCGGTGAAGCACACACCGACCCGCCGTTCTCGCCTAACAATTGAGGCAGCGACCCACAAGTCCTGTTAGGGCTCGCCTAACCCGACCACACCCGCAAAATTCCCAAGCGGGACTAGACCCCCGCCAGCGAAAAAAGTTCCCCCCCAGTACGAAGGGCCACAACTCGCAAGCAAATACAACATCTCCAGGGCCGATCCTGCGCAACCGTCTCATCGCGAGTCCCCCCAAAGCCTTCGACCCTTCGCCCACCCTCAAAATCCAACAAAAAATCAACAACAATGGCTGATCGCGGCGGTGCTCGTGGCGGTGGTTTCGCTTCTCGGGGCGGTGCCCGCGGTGGTGATCGTGGTGGTCGTGGCCGTGGCCGTGGCCGTGGTCGCCGTGGCGGCAAGAGCGAGGAGAAGGAGTGGCAGCCCGTCACCAAGCTGGGCCGTCTCGTCAAGGCCGGCAAGATCAACAGCATGGAGGAGATTTACCTGCACTCCCTGCCCATCAAGGAGTACCAGATTGTCGACCAGTTCCTGCCTAAGCTCAAGGACGAGGTCATGAAGGTGCGGACTGCCTCTGTGTATTTGTCTTGGTGATGCTCTGCCATTTTCTGCCCTTGGGGTCTCCATTTACGGATTGGAAACAACAAATTGGGCTGAATAAGGCGGAGATTTCGAGCATGAAAAGCTTCAAACGGGGACAAAGCGAGACAGTTTGCGCTAACAGGCCTTTTTTGCTTTTCGCGAAATACAGATCAAGCCCGTCCAGAAGCAGACCCGTGCCGGTCAGCGCACCCGATTCAAGGCCATTGTCATCATCGGTGACTCTGAGGGCCACGTCGGTCTCGGAATCAAGACCTCCAAGGAAGTCGCCACTGCCATCCGTGCCGCCATCATCATCGCCAAGCTGAGCGTCATCCCCGTCCGAAGAGGCTACTGGGGCTCCAACCTCGGTCTCCCTCACTCCCTGCCCTGCAAGGAGTCTGGCAAGTGCGGTTCCGTCACCGTCCGAGTAAGCTTCGCCCCCAAACCTGCATTATTCTATTCGAACGGAAGGATTGAGTTTCTAACGCAAAAAACACCCTATAGCTGATCCCTGCCCCCCGTGGTACCGGCATTGTCGCCTCCCCCGCCGTCAAGCGATTCCTCCAGCTCGCCGGTGTCGAGGACGCCTACTCCTCATCCGCCGGTTCCACCAAGACCCTCGAGAACACCCTCAAGGCCACCTTCTCCGCCGTGTCCAACACCTACGGCTTCCTGACCCCCAACCTGTGGAAGGAGACGAAGCTGATCCGAAGCCCTCTGGAGGAGTTCTCCGATACCCTGCGCGAAGGCAAGCGATACTAAGCGGGAGAGAGCTCGCGAGATGGGGGGGAGGTGGTGCAGAGGAGGGACTGGAAACGGTGCGCGGAGTCACGAAGACAAACTTGTGTTTCATTGCATGGTTTTTGGCCGGTTAGGAACTTTTCGGACATGAGCGTCATGAGGATATAAAATGGGCCCATGATCTGGAATGAGAGAAAAGAGAAAAATTTTCAACTGGCGTTTCTTCTTTCAAATTGCCGCCTACGAGTGTTCTTGGTGACTTGGTGTGAACAATTATCTCATCATTGCTAAACTGGCAGCCGTCTAGATCTTCTCATCTACCTCAAGTCCCGAACTCCATACTAAAACAGAACCACAGTACATCCAACTCAGCAACAGCAAGAAGAATCAACCCCTCTTCACCGGAATCAGATACTCAACCACGGCCCCCTGACCATTCATCAAGCTCCCCCCGCCCCCCTTCCGCTGAGCCTTCGCATCAGGAACACGATACGTTATCTGCCCGGCCTTGGAGTACGTGCCCCGATACTCCACCGGAACGACGGGCTTCGGCGGCACTCCCGTCTCGCCCCTGGCTATGGCGAACAAGTCAGGCTTCTGCTCCTCGCCCAGCAGCAGCAGCTTCTTGTGCAGGGGGGAACCCTCGGCGCGCTGCCTCTTCGCCGGCCGACTCTCGGGGATCAAGTGCTCAGGCACAGCCGGCAGTGCAAAGCGATGTGAAACACCACCGCCGCTGGCAGCAGCGGGCTCGTTGTTGTTGGACGACGAAGAGCCAAAGGCGGCTGCTTTGAGGACATCTCCCCAGGTGCGTTTCCTAGCCGGCGGCGCAAGTCCTGTATTTTCATTGTCAATCATCAGTCAATCTCCATTCTTTCAACGGAGCAACAGATCAAGGGCGGGATGGGAAAGGTAGGTAGGTAGGTAATGAACTCACGCATCTTCATCCTCTCCTCAAACACCCTCCTCTGCAACGGCGTATCCCCCATCCAAAACCCCTCCCGCCCGGGCACAAACCTGCGCTTCCTCTCCGCAACCTTCCAGTACGGCATCTCGGCATCCTGCTCCAGCTCCTCCGCAAAGGTAGCAAACAAGTCGTTGCTGTTGTTGTTGTTGTTGTTGCTGTTGTTGTCGGCGGCAGCAGCGCTCGTCCTCTTCTCCGGGCCCCTCGACGCAATGGCCCGCTGCCTGCTCTCGGACTGCAGGTGCACCGGCCAGTTGTTGATGTCCCAGAACAGGTGGACCGCCTTCTTCCTCGACGGGTGGGCAAACGTCCAGACGGGCTCGCGGCGCATGGTCGTGAGGTTCTGCGCCTCCGCGGCGAGGGCGTCCTGCTTCTTCTCGTCCTCTGCCTGTTCCTCGCGGAGGCGGACCCGCAGCGCCTCGATGCGAGCTCCTCTGGCGTCCCAATTGGCCGCGTCGCGCCATATCTCGTCGCTCTCCTCCCGGAACCTGTCCCGCCAGGGCGTCGGATCCGCGACCCTGTACCGCGTGACGTAGCTGTTGTACGGCAGATGCAGCGGCCACAGCATCGTCTTGTTCTCGGCGGCCTCGCGCACGAGGTTCCTCCTCACCAGGTCGTAGGCAACGCCGTCGCTGGGATACTCCTTGTCCGCCCACTCCTCCCTGTGCCGCTCGTACGCTTCCGGGTCGGCCATCTTGACGACGTCGGCCCAGGTCATGGTGATGCGCCAGTCCCTCGTCTTGGCCTTGTTCTTGTCCCGGTCGTTGGGCCGCTTCTTGGTGTCGTCTTCCCAGTACTGGAGGATGGCGTCGAGGAAGCTGCTGTTGTGCTCTCGCACCCCGGCATCTTGCTGCTGCTGCAGCTTCCTCTCGTCCTCCGCGTGCTGCTTCTGCAGGGCCGTGAGGGTCTTGCCGAGACGGTATCCCAGGCAGAAGAAGAAGTTGGCCGTCTTGTCGCGCCACTCGGGGCTTCTTCTTCTTCTTCGCAGCATCGTCGCGGGGCCGCCCTCCTCCTCCTCCTTGATGAACTCGTGGAGGGAGAGGACGTCTTTCCGCTGGGGCATGTCCGGGGGGTATACGTGAAAGTCCTCGGAGGAGGCGGGCACGGAGACTTTGGTCGAGATTGTGTCGATCGAGGCCACGCTTGCGTCGTCGTCGTCGATGTCGTCTCGCATCTTCTCCTTGCCCTTGCTTTCAGGCCTTGTCCGCGAAGTATAGGAGGTAAACTGCTGCTTCGTCACCAGAGACGACGTCTGAGGCTCAGCTTCCGGCCACTTGACCAAGTCTTCGGGGTGAAACTCCGTCTCTGGCCGTCCAAACATCAACTCCCCATTTGTCAGATTCCTATAAAGCCTGCTCCTCGTTAGCTTCCTCTCTTCTCACAGAAACATCGAGCAGCAGCAAAGGTTGGGGGGGAAAACCACCCACTTCAAGACCTTCAAATGGTGCAGCTTCGGCGCCAGCACTCTCACCTCCCTCTCCGTAAACTCGTGCCTCTTCACCGGTCCACGACATCCCACATTCAACTCCTTGAGGAAGTGCTCCATCGTCCTGGGCTTCATGTCGCTGAAGAGCGAAACGGGGCTCATGTCGCGCATCATCTGCGTCACCCTGGAAAGCAGAAGCTCTCCTCTCTTCCCAAGCGGCGCTTCCCCTTCCTTGAGCGCGTGTGGGCGGTTCCGCGAGGGCTGGCAGATGTACTCCAACCACGCCGCCTCCGTCGGCCGCACGTTGGCAAGGGTCATCACTCCGTCGTCGTCGGCGTCGTCAAACTCGTGCTCGCCAAACCTCAAACTCGTCTTGTCGATCGAGGATCCCGCCACGCCCTTGCTCACGGCCGTCAGGAGATCGACGATGAAGCCCCGAGGAGCCCGCTTCGCCGCCCGCTTCAGACCCTGGTGGATCTTTTGGCAGCGTCGCAGGAGCTCGTACGTCTTCTTCATCTCGAGGTTCATCAGGTCGGGCTGCACGGGGCCCTTGTAGTTCTTGGGGAGCTCCATGACGGGCTCGTCGCTGCCCATCCAGAGCTTGTGACCGTACGACTCCTTGATGGCGTGCTCCCTCGTCCACTGCGCCCAGCGCAGCTCCTCGTGCTTGTAGAACTGGTAGGCTCTGGTGTAAGCCCACGGGTCTCGCGACTCCTTTTCGGGCGGGTGTGCCAGCCTCTTCATGGCGTAGATGATGCCCGCGTCGGGTTTCTTACTGCTAGCAGAAGGATGAGGATGAGCAAGGGAAGACGAAGAAGAAGAAGCACGCCCCGAGACGTCGTGACTGGAAGCGTCCTCAGCACTACCCTCCATCACCGGTCCAGTCACTCTATCCCGGGGCCGCAGTTCAATCTCAGGCCCGGGAAGCTGCGGCAGCCGGGTGCTCCTCTTGGGCCAGAAGCCCGTCGGAAAGTCGACGACCAGCTGCGGCGCCCCGTAGTGGTAAGTTTCAAAGATCCAGTGCGCGCGCAGCATGTCGAGGGCCTCTCGGAGGTCGCGGGTCCAGTCCTCCTCGCCCTGGTGCTTGGACCGCAGGTAGGCACAGTACTCGGCCAGCTCGGCAAACTTGCGCTCCCAGCCCGGCGTGCGGTCGATGTCGCCGTCGGCGAGGAAGTTCTTTGCCCGGGCGAGCTGGACCCTGGGGTCGGCGATGAGCCAGCCCTTGTAGTAGTTCTGGAGGCGCAGGTCGTTGGAGGCGACAACAGCAGCAGCACCTGGCCGTTTGTCTGTGTCGCTCATGGGCTCGGGCGCGATGCTCGAGCTCTCAGGTTTGCCCTCGTCCGCGTCCGTGGACTCGTCTGGCCCAATGGTCATCTCCAGCTCGATCCCCGTCCTGACCGGCATCTCCGCGAATACCTTGTTCTGAAACGCGCCTTGACATCTTTGCGACATGTCCGATAGATGGGCGAAGCGTCGAGCAAAGGCCTCCTTGAGCTGCGGCGCCATGTTGGGCATCTCGTGGAGGAGACTGCCGATGGACTCCTCGCCGAGGAGCGTGTCCATGTATCGGTACAATTTCTCTATAAACTCGAGCTCCGGGAGAGAAAGTGACCATGCTGGTGCCCAAAAACGGGCTGAGTCGCTGTAGAGGGGATCAAACCCGTCAAAGGCGTCTATGGCTTCGGAGAGTGCGTCTTTTGATGTCGGGTTTGGCGAGCTCGCTCCTCTCTCCAATGTCACGGTATGCTCAACATCACCGTCTTCTGTTATTCCTCCGTGTCAGCCATTGCAACCTTGCATCAGGAGCGTATTGAAAATGAAAAAAAAAAAAAAAAAAAAAAAACAAGCGGAACTGGGAGTTCTCGACTTCACCTTTGACCACGGGCTGCCAGCTCACTCCTCCAATCGTCGAGAACCTGCTCTGCAGCCTCTCGTCAAGCGCAGCCTGCAATCCTTCGACGGGCACCGAAGAAGATGCTGCCGCCTCTCGATGAATCGCTCCGCCGATGGCCTCCTCTGACTCTGTCTCTCTGAGATGCGGATATCGACAGCCAAACAGCTGTGAAAAGTGTCGCCGGCAAACAGCGTGCTCCTCGAAAAAGCCGTCCAAAACACGGTCCTCCACAAGTGTGTTCAAGCGCTGCAACAGGTCGCCGGGCCTTCCAGGGGCGCCGAGCTGCTGTGCCTGCGCGGGAAGCTTGTCAAAGTTGCAAGACAAGGCTTTTCCTATTCTCTCTAATACACCAAATCAAACCATTACACATTTGGTCTCTTTCCAAGTCTAGAGGGGAAAAGGTGCTTACCGAGAATGCCTTCAACGCGATCCAGGAGCTCGAGCTGCAAAGTCGTCCCCGCGGTCGAATCTCTTGTCGTCCCGCTGTCCGCCGTAGGTCCTCGCAGGCGAATCATCAGACCCGGCGAGTCGTCGAGATCCATTGCCACCTCTGTGGCCGGCGGGAGAGTCGACATGGCCGGTTTGATGCCTCCAGTGGTATATAGGCCGAAGTGGCTCGGGTATTCTTCTTCTGCTGCTGCTGCTGCTGCTTTCCTGCTTCCTCGTGTTTTCAGCCAAGTTGCTTCAACACTTTCTTTTTTTTTGCAAAACCACAGATTGCCGACTTTCACAAAACTCGTCCAAATGGAAATGGGGGAAAGGGGAAGAGGAGCAATCGATGTTTTATCGGGCTTTTCGTTTCCCTCGCCTTTGATGATATTCACCGTCTGCAAGAAACTATTTTTGGCAACAAAGTCGTGCCTTTGTGTGCCCCTATTCCGGACCATTTTGAGAAAGCACAAAGGTGTTCCAGAATTGGGGCCACCCGCGTCAAAGGCAGCTGCTCTTTGTTAAATCTCGCTCTAGATGAAACAAGTGTATAAGTATCTCGAGAAATGGGATGTGGATATCAATGACTCTCTTCTAAACCCAAGCATGGGTGCTGGGAATCGCGAGCGATACTCATCTATCATTTGCAAGTTGTGGCTGCGGTTGCTTTCAACGCAAATTGAATAGATGCAGCCATCGGCAGATGAAGCATCACTTATACAGTTCCCCTTGATGAAGTGGTAGTGTCATTCATTCATTCTCGAGTGAGCTCGAGTTTTACGTCTTCTCATACGGATGTACATCCAATTCTCAGCTACTATAGTTCTTCCAGAACATGTCTCCCCATGAGGGATGCTGCCTTCTTCGCACCACGTCGAGACTCACGCAACATTGCTGCACAACTTGAAAGGATCTGAGATGGTCCAGCCTCCAATTCATACATATACCACCTACCTCGCGTTCATCTCCAGGGTGATCCAAACCTCGAAAAGAACAAAGCAGGCAACACCACGGCAGCCAGCAATCAAACCCCCATCCCAAAGCCAATCATCCCTCAACCAGCCGCTCGAACCCAAATCCAACCCCGTGAATACGCACAGCCAAAGACCCCCCCTGTCACACAAAGAAACTCACCATCCGCCACTCAACCCTTTCTCTCGTCAAACCACAACAAAGGAAAGAATCAAAAAAGGCACGGATCCCATTACTCAACCCACCAGAGCAAACATACATCCCCCCCCCCCTTTGCCTACAATCCCCCACATAGTCACATATCTCGCCCCTTTATCATCGCAAACATCAAAGCATGTTTTTCCAAATCGAAAGAATTACATAGTACCCTCTCCACCTCTTAAATCTCCCCCCGCCTTACAGCTGCTCCCCCAGAAACCAAAACCTCGTTTCGTTCCGTTTCGTTCCGTCTCGTTTCACGTCAAATCACATGATGCCCCCTTTTTTCAAAGTCAAACCACCTGCTTTTCTGTTCTTCCTCCTCCATCATCACAGTAGCACTACAAAACTCTTTGGCAAAAGTGTACGTCCATCTCTTTGACTGTTTCCATCAATCTTATCGTACCGGCTTTTGGTGGTTGGTCTGTGTTCCCCTCCCCCCCTTCGTCGTCCAACGCCCCCCCAACCTCTCGCTCAAGCCCAATCCCAATCCCCCATCCCTCTCCCTTTCTTCCTTTTCCGCGACGTCCCCCCTTTCAACAAAAGACCAGACATACCAACCTCGCCAAAACCTCACCACATGCTTCATACAGTTTCTTTGTTTCCCCCCCCCCCCCATCCCCAAACTTACAATCATGCAGGGTCCCCCCCATCCTCCATGGCATCAGGTCCCCCCGCCGTCTGTGCACCAACAGATCAAATCATTCTCAACCCTCACTCCCAACATCCCACCCTTCAACTTCCTTCCTTTCCCACTACATACATCCCCCCCTCCTGCTTATAGCCTACCGTAGCTCAGTCATAACCAACATCTCCAGCATGAAAAGGGTCCAGAAAGAAGAAAGCCTCATTAAACTTGTTCCCACGAAAAAACAAGCTCCAACAGTCAAAAGATGCCCCCAAAATCGCCGAGATTAAAAAGGTCCTTCGTATATACTAGTCACGTCGTATGCAATACCACTCACACTACCTCTGTAGTTACCTCTAGAGTAAAATCTCACCTGTAGTAACCAAGCCAGTAGGTAATTACACTAAAAAGGACATACGTAGGCAAAATCAAAGAGATGGAGCAACAGCAAACCATCGCCAAGGGCCTCACGTATACTCAAGTTCATCACCAGCGTCATCCAACAGTTACAAGGAACAAGGCCAAGTTCTTGCCGTCATCGCTCGCCAGCTGCAGGCGCGAAACATTCCCATACAACTAGCTGTTATTACCACGTTACATACAAGATGGAACACGACAGGGCCTCGTTCTACCAAACCCGTCCAGAGCCACTTCAAAGCACACGCACTTGCTTCTTGTTCAATGAACCTTTACTTCTTTTTTTTTGTTCTTTCTTTCTTTCTCTTTTGTGCCCTGCTCGCACTACCTTTATATGTACAGGCCGAGGAGGAGGCTGATAACCGGGCGGCAGCCCATGCATGCATGCATCACCATGCGCGCATCCAATGCCGCTCCTTCGACCGACCAACAGGCGGCAACAGCACCTTTTGTCCAAATCCCTTCATTCCGGAAGAGAGCGATGGGTATCAAATCCGTCCGCCGCCTTTCCAATCTGCTTTTTTCGGGAATTATACCCCAACGGCCTTGCCATGCAACAAAGCCCATGTTCTTCCTCCCGTGTGCCGAGTAGAGATTAGCTTCGAAAGTCGAGAAAAAAAAGATGGTTGAAAAAAAGAAAAGAAAAAAGGAGAAAAAAAGAACTTCCGGCTGCTTCTTGCACCTGCTTTCCACCGCGCCGCTCCGTGGTATCCTTGAGACGTTTTTTTCTTCTTCTTCCTTCTCCTGGGGGCCACTGTGCATTCTGAAGAGTCCCCGTTCTTCCCCGTTCTCAAAGCTGGACGATTCCCCCCTTCAACTCCTCTATCCCCCCTCAAATACTATATCCACCGCAACGTAGAGCTCCCTTTTGATCGGGGGCCGCGCAACTCCTGGATAACATGTAGGCGTGCTCCATACCCGTGGAAACCACGCAAAGTGCCCAGAAGCGCAGAAGCTGAAAAATAACAAAAAAACATGTTAAATAAAAAACGATTCGAGGAAAATTGGGTATGATCCGCGTTCCATTTTTTTGGTGCCATAAGAGACTTGCTGAAAGATTTGACTGCGAAGACGAAAATTTGAACGAAGAAGAATTGGAGAAAAAAATTGGAATTAAAAATCAATCGCTAAATGCCATGACGTAGATATGAGACAGATCATTCTGAGAGTGACCATCAGGTTTGAATGTGGTTGCTTGGAAGACTGAGAGTCCAAAGCCATGACCTCGAAGTTTGAAACATGAATGTCCCTTTCATCCGCAAGTGAATGCGGACAAAAGGGAGAAGAAGCGTGTACTGAATTAATCGACCTATGCCAAACGTATGTGCCACCAAGTCTCCTATTGTTGGTGGATTCCGTGCTGGTTCACAAAGGCAGCGTACTGCTGCACGTGTTGGGGATATGAAGAAGGATGGCTCTGGGGAGTTGGCGTGACTGGACATCGGGGCGGCAGCTGGTGGTACGAGTCCACCTTTGCCGTGTTTCCGTAGGCGTTGTCGGGGGTGATGGGAGGCGTGAGGTAGCCGTCGAACCCGGTGGCAGCGCCGTGGCCCTTCTGGGGGGTGCTATAGATGTCGGAGTGTCTTGACACAGGCTCGGCAGGGGGCGACTGGGGGTTGGCCTGGAGCCTTGCCATCGCGGCCTGCTCGGCCATGAAGTCGGCCAGCTTCTGGGACACCTTGGACAGTGACGATGACGAGTACTTGCGGGCCAGGGTCGGCGAGGGCTGGTTGAGGTGCTGAGAAAGGGTCAAGAGCGTCAGGTTCTCGGTGTGGTCCCAGTCGCCGTCATTGATCTCGGGCCTTCCCAGAATGGCTCTGGCCAAGGCTAATGAGGAGCGAGCCATGATGGAGGACTTGGTGGAAACAAAATCGCGGTGGTACAGGGCAATCTCGCAGAGGTAGGCGGCCATGTGCTCCACCTCCTTGTCGTCCTGCTCCTCGGCAGCCATGAGCTGGGTGAAGAAGTCGACAGTCGGGTGGCCAATGGTCCATTCCAGGGTGTTGAGGACGTGCATCTCCATCTGAGTGAACATGCCGGCGTCGTACAGGCCGCAGCACATGTTGTTGAGTTCATGAATTTGGGGCACACGGTCCTTCTTGTCGCCGTACTTGGCCGCGATGAGAAGAGCGGCACAGCCGACGAGCTGGTAGTGCTGCTTGTACACCACACGGCGTGAGCAGTACCGGTCCAGCAGGTTGACGGTGAGGAACAGCGTCTCGGGCAGCAGGGCGAAGGCGGCGTGGGCCTCGATGAGGAAGTCGATGAGGTACGGGCGCATAAACCATTGGATCTCACGTTGCATATCGATGAGGTTGGCATCAGGAAGAGTCTCGTCCTACTCGGAGGTTAGCACAGTTGGACAACGAAAAAAAGGAGGGACAATCCAATGCCAGGTCATCCTGAGCCGTGGAGGTCAACATGCCTCCATGTGTCGCATATGCTTCATGATGTCTCCCAGATACTCCTCGCCGGCAAGACGAGAGAGCTCGCAGGCAATGGTCTCTTGTCGGCTGCGCGCGAGCATCTTGGCGGTCTCCCGGGCTCGAGTACTGGACTGGGGCTCATCGGTCTCGATGAAGAAGTGTTCGTCAGGCTGAGCGTAGGCCATGATGTCGGACGAAGTTGGCGAAACAGGTGTTGTTGAATAATTAGTTTTTTCGGCGGTGTTATATGTCTAAAAAGAGTGACGGCAAGTTCTCCAGGAAGCTTTCGGTGGGAGAGACTATTGAAAAAAAGAGCGAGCCTTGGGTGTATCAAGGAGTGAATACCACCCTAGGAATTAAAGTATTAAGATATTAAGGAGCGTGGTGAAAAAACTAATGGAAAAGAGTGACTGTGGCTGGGAAGAAAACCGGGAGCATGTAGACTGAATATTCAATCGAAAATGCGAAAGGGACCGCGGGAAAAGGGGGGCCGTTCAAGGAAGACCAAGGGGACCGAATCGACTGCTTCTAATAGGAAAAAATCAAAGGCGTTAGTCTCATGTGTGCCAATAGAAAGAGGAAGAAAGAAAAGCCCGATATGGAAATGCGATCTGGGGAGAGAGAGAGGGCCAAGACATGGAGGCGGAAAATGATGCGTCGCAAGAGAGCTTTCCCCTGAGCTGGGCTTTGGCAGAGCCCACCCGATTCGCTCCCTTTACTCAATGGAGGGGGTTGGCTGGCATGGAAGCGCACGGTGGATTGGCACGAGGGTGCGATGGACCGAGCAGGGGGGAGAGAAAAGGTCTCTTACCGCCACGTACGAGGACACAAGGGACAGGATGGTCAATGAGACACCTCGGGCAATTGGCGGGATCAACGAGTTAACGTCTCCCGCAGAGCAATGCACCGAATGAGAGGCAGGTGGTCGAGCGCAGCTGTGGAGATCTGCTGAGAATGCGGAGAGCGGGCTCGGGTATGCAGCTGTCAAGGGAGCGCACATCAAAAGATTAGATTATGCTGCCGACACTGGCGAATCTCGAGAGCCTGGTGGGAGGAGAATGAAGGGGGGAAGATGGCAGGGAAAGGAGATGGAGATGGAGAAATGGAGATGGATAAGCAGGAGATAGGAAAAAGAGCTTGGTCCTACCTGTTGTCACACTTGAACACCTTGAACCTGGAGGGCACCGAAAGGCGGTGGGAAGAAGCGATTAAATCATACGAGGTGAGCGGAAAGGTCAAGAGGCTGACTCTTTAAGCGGGAAGCTGGCGAGAAAAAAAAAGGTGAGGAGGAACTGAAGGTCAGGTCCACACAAGCACCTCAAAATCCTGCCGATTTGGAGACGAAACTGGAGCCTTTTGGTGAATTGGATCGAGACAAAGCGATTGAAGCCTGTCTACGATTGGCAGTCTCGGAAAGATGAAATTTTTTTCTCCTTCTTTTTCCTTTCTTCGTCGTCTATCCTTCTCGGTCTATCGTCTCGTGGGTGGCCGGAGAACGAAAAAGGGCGAGAAAAGAAGCGGTTGGCGAGCCAAAGTGCTGGAGGAAATTCCTTGTCGCTAGAGGTAAGGAATTCTGGCTACTCGAAGGGGGCCGGGCGAAGAAAGAAGATCGAGGGGAAAAAAAGAGAAGACAACGAGGAGGGCAAGAAAGAATAAAAGAATACCAGTGAATAAAACAGAGAAATACCAGTCCTTGATTCACTTTTATTCCTCTCCTCTCTCTTTTATCCGTCTCGGAGCTTCTCCTTGGTCGCTTTATAAGAGGGCCGTAGAAGAAGGGGGAGCGCTGGTTCTTCAAGCGGCAGCCGGTCGGGGGGGGATTCGATTCTCCTCGGTCCAAGGCCAAAACTCCAATTGCGACCGTGTCTAGGGGTCGGCAGAGGAAGCGGTGGAATGGATGAGGGAATGAGTGGATGGGGGAGAGAGAGGGGAGGAAGAGGAAGAGGAAGAGAGGTGGGATAAGAGGTAGGAGAGGATGGAAGGAGAGGGCGAGGACAGGCCGGGCGGTAGTTTTAACTGGACAGGGCGCTCTCTCGGGGCTCTGGGCGGGCTCTGGCACAGCGCCGCTCAGCACAGCTCAGCACAGCTCTACCTTAGCACAGCACTGGAGCGAGTGCAGCGCAGCGGGTGAGGGTACGAGCTGAGCGGTACTGTGTACACGAGCCGGTGCAGGTACCTGCCCCGTGCGACAGGTACCGCGCTGCTAGCACTGCAGCCCCCCCTGTCGGTCGCGGTACTTTGAGAGGTGCGTGTTCCTCCGGTCCCCAGCCAAGGTATCCTTTACCAGCTGTGCCGTCTGCCGCTGCGCCTGAGCTCCGTACCGGGTACGGCAGGGTCGTACGTAAGGTACCAGCAGCCCGCAGCGTGGAGCAGCCTGTGGGAGCAGGCCTGGGAGTCGGAAAGAGCATGGAGCAGCAAAAGATGGAACCCGGACATGGGACATGGAACAAGGGACATGGCATGGGAGCATCAAGCCATCCATGGAGCCTGGTCCTGGCCTTCAATCTTCTCAGTGGTTCAGCGGTTCCAGAGCCCCAGCCGGCGGCCCCCAGCGCAGTCTCTTTTTTACTTTTGGCGGCCTTTTCCTGCTTTTCCTCTGGGCTTCCCTGCGCACCGCGAAGTGTGTGGGCTGGGACGGCTACAGGGGGGAGTGAGCAACAGGGCCGCCGAGGGCCAGAAGGGGGGCGTGCGAGCTGGCTGAGAGGGCGAAGAGGCGCTCAATCAAATCTCGAGATGGGCAGGCTCCCCCGTGCATGGCGGAAAGTATCAGCACGGCAATATGGCGAGGTGGTCAGTGGTGGTTTGAAGGGAAGGGAGGGGGTGGCCGTTTGTTTGTCAACGACGGCGGAGGAGGAGGCTTTTCCCACAGGATCTGGTCTCGTACAACTACCTACTGTACAGTGCTGTAGGGCAATTGTTTACATAACAACTTAACTTACTTGAAGTCGCTAGACCGCGGCCTAGATGCGCTGCCATGCGCTGCGCGGCGATGCGATGCGTGTTGTATCCGTATCCCGTGGATGCGGTACGGGGGACGTGTGCGTGGCGTGTGTGCGTCAAGGTCGTGTTTGCGAGGCCGGGCGAGGCGAGGAGACAAAATAGACGCGCACAAACTCACAATAAAACTCCGGAATCCGCACAAAATAGTACCGCATCTACATAGCGAGCTGTGCATCTCTACGTCGAGGGATCAGGCCGAAAAGAAGGCGTCGGCGAGGCAAGGCAAGGCGACTCCAACACAACGCCAAACGAGACAGGGTCTCCTCCTACCTACCGACACACTCACTACTCCCTACATCGGGCTTCACTCAAGGCACTTCAAGATCATCATTCGCTCGTGCGGCAGCAGATAGTATGTACAACTACATGCTCCCCCCTTCGCTGCGCCGCTTTCTCAATTTCTTCTGCAGTCGTTTGGTTTGATTTGATGGCCCTCCCATCAAACGTGCGTGCGTGTGTGCGTGGAGGTGCTTCCTGACAAAGGCGGTGTCGCTGCTGACGAGGGCTGTGGTATTACACTGGAGTTTGCTGCAGGTTGGAAGATTGAAGGTAATAATACCTGGACCGACCACCAAGCCCTTCTCATTCGCACGCTGAGATTTGCCCGGAACAGCCCCCTTTTCTCCCCACGGCTCCCTCTCTAGGTGGCATTTTGGAGTTCCCACGCAAGGCAGGGATTCGGCCTGGATTTCGGCGACGGAGCGGGCTGGCGTTGGTGATGGCGATTGTTGCTTTTTCCGATTCTTGAATCCCGTTTTGCAGAGTCACATACTCCATCCGTGCCTGGCCTCCTATCCGCCGACACATGACGAGATCAACGAAATTGCAACAAACACCACCAGTAGGTACGATACTAATAGCTTCAACGTTAAAAAGCATCTCAAGTTGGCCATCAATCTGTACCTCTGGACATGTACAAGTACAACAACTCCTCGGATAAGCAGTCCCCCCCCCCCCCTGTCTGCTTCTAATGCGGAGTAGTGCCTCATGCATATGCATACATTAATTACTGCCTATCAACCTATCCAGGCATATTCCAGCAGATATTGGCTCCAACTGTGGCTTGAGCACCGCCCAAAAGCAGATGCAATCGGCACCCACGCCAATGTACGATATCGTCATGACTTTTTTGAGCTTCTTTCAATCGTTTTTTTCAGACGGTGAAGCGGCCGCCGAAGGGGCCTCGCTGCGGATTACTGCCACCATCAAGACTTCAGCTGAAAGCGTGGGTCGGTGATGTTGATGCCAGGGAGCTTGCTGTCTTGTTGATGTTATTTGCAACAAAAGTGTTCAGGCCCATCGCTTTGTTTGTTTGTTTTTTCCGGGTCCCGAATCGGGCCTCTCTGTTCGCCGGGCAGATAATACGACTACCCCCGTGCCGGTTTCTCTCATCATTGCGCGTGCGTTGCGTGACAAGCCAGAGCTTGTGCCAGCCGCTGCTCCATCCTCTGAGCCGACCGGCCTCTCAAACGGTAAACACCATCTACTACAAGTACTAGTCCAGGCACCTGCAGGAGAAGATATCGGAAAGCTTATTATTGACGATTATCTTGTGACGAGAATTTGACTTTTGCTGGATCGAGGTGGAGGATGCATCTACTACTTTTCGAGGAGTGGATCGGCACTCTCCTCTTTCAGTTCGAGATGCCTAAATTCTGACATTGAAAGACAGCGATGATTCTTCGTTCAATACCCAGGTATAAAGTTGCCAAGTATAAGTAGAACAACCTCTGCACGTGTCCAAAATCAAAGCTCCCAACACCAAGCAAACGCAAAAAAGATCAACCCTTTGGCACACCGACCAAACGTGCCCAGAAACAGTCATATCACCAACAGCCGTCGCTTATGCTGGAACGTCCACTGGAAACGACGCTCCCCCATACGAAAAGAAGAACCGCCCTTGTCAATCCCGCCGCGCCGAGCGGGAAACCCTGATGCGTCAACACCAAAAGAAATGGGAACGAGACGCGCGCCGCGCTGCTCGCACCGAACCAATGGTTTACCGACGTTCGTTTCGCGCAATGTTTGGCGGCAGAAAAGATGGGCGGTTTGTGCCTGGATCTCTCTGCGTGGCACGAGGGCGCATCGCATCTTGGATAAGGTAAGGTAAGACGGGTTATGTACATAGTTGGAAGAAGAAAGGCATGTGTTCACAGAAGAGGCAACGAGCTGCAGCAGACGTGCAGTCGGCGGATGCCACTTTGAGAACAGATTGCGGAGATGCTGCCTGGACGTTCGGCATGGGGTTTTTTTTCAATGTCTCTTGACCGCGCTTTTCGCCTCGACGTCTCTGCATGCAGGTCTGAGGATTATCATCCTCTCCGCGTCTTACAGATGACCTCCAAAATCATCCCCCAAGCTGCGATACTACAGTACATGTAATACTCCCAGGCAGCGTGTGTCGCCTTGACATCTCAAGCTGTCTGCCCATATTTCTCAGTTTGATGCTACTGGAAATAGCGTCAACCGCTATTATCGCGACATTTCGGCTTATATGCCCCGTATCCTCACCCATAGCGCCAAACCCCCCATCTCCAACTCGGCATGCCCACAGTATCAGCACAAGCCCATCCGCTGCCTCGAAATCAATCCCCCTCATCAATCAGTAGAAAAGGCCACGACGGCGCAATCTGTAGTTGAGCAGTGGCTGCAGCCCGGCGCTGAGAACGAACTGAACGCCTTGACGGAAGGGCCCCGCCACACTTTCAAGGAGGGCCCGCCGCTCTTTTCCCTCTCTCTCTCTCGTGTCTCCAGCCAATCAACCCGTCCAGACGCGCTTCTCTTCTGCACGACTTTTTTTGGGCGGGAAAATCCATCTTGATGCATGCATGTCATGAGCACGAAGTGTTGGTTCTCCTCACACCAGTCCAATCAATCCGGCCTGCCGGGCTGCTTGTGGCTTGTTGTGTGTGTGTGCGTGTGTGTGGGAAAAGGGCTGCCTCTTGGGGGCCGTGCTGTTGCATTTTGAGCTGGTCACTTTGCATCCCGCGCCTCTGGTTGGTGCTTGGGGTTTTTGTCAGACAATATCGAAAAGGGAGGACGACTCTCCTGCTTGTTTTGGTGTGATAGGATCTCATCAGCTTGTATGCGGTCCTACATGCTGCGTTCGGGTCATCTGCTGAGTATATATATATATAGTACATAGGTAGTATATGTGTAAAACTGAGGCTGAACAAGACCTCCAATCGACACATTTGAGCCAACAGTCGTCGATGATAGACTCTCTCGGCATGCCACCAATCATACCGAGTATACATACAGTACATATCACTTCCGAGTCGGTCTTGATTGCTTTCTTTTCCAGAAGAGTTGCCAACAACGGCGCTACTACTGGCAAGGGACACATGGCACCTACAAGTTTTTCCGCCCCTCGCCATCACAGTTGAAGCGGTCGAAATATCTCACGTTCCAAGGCAGAGGCACTAACATTAGAGTTTTGCTACAGAGCATGTTTGTCAAAGCCAAGATACCCCAGGTTCCTGACGCTTGTTTGCTTCCCCCCCATTATATGTGCGCGCTTGTGGGAGTGTGGAGCGCTACCAACGCCCGCAGACCTGTAAGGTACTGGTACCTGTATCTGTAGCTTCATGAAGAGAATCCGTTCTTTACCAACAACTTGCAGTGAATCTAAAGCTGTATGGCAGGAGAGTTTGCTGGACCGTGAACGGCATTGCATGGGATTTGGGTCCAGGGTCCTTGGCTCACACCAAGGAACAGATACATACTGACAGGAGTTGGTGATTTGTTTGCATCTTGACCTAGTCGGTGGCAAGTACATACAAACACCGCTCTCACAACGTTAGGGGTTCATTTGCGCCCGAATGAAATCGTCCCATGCTGTAGTTGGTCAGAAACGTCTTGATACCAGTCGAGACTGGGTGGCCCAGGTTCTTGAAGTTTGATCTCCTGCTAGAACACCACCCCGCACCCAGCCAACGAGCATGCCAGAGCCCAAGAATGATGGCCTTCCATCTCCCCCGCGGATGCAAACACCGTGCATGAACGGTTTGCCTTACTCGGGCCAAGTACGGAGAAAGCAGGAGTGATGATAGCAATACATACTACAGGATACAAGAATTGTCTGCTGTATTGAGATGCGAGCAAACGCCCCTCAGCTTATTCGCATGTGTCAACGGGGGACAAAGTGATGCCAATCAGGCCGAATTAGAACATGCATCGCCAGATCATCCAATATTGGGATTATTACTACTTCGACATACAGTACAGTCATTGTACGACCAGTTTCCTTACGAGGGCTATTCCCCGTACAGGTACAAAGCATAGAGGATTGTGGTTGAAACTCGCGGAAACTTGTGGGACAGGGCGCCTCGTCTGAGCTTCTGAAGTTAAAAGAGACGGGATACCCATGCTTGCTGGGCCTTTTTCTGACGAAGCTTGGATGGTCTGAGACCTTTGGGAGGAGAAGTGATCCTGAAGAATCACGGTCCAGTGCCACGGCAAGCATCTGACACAAAAGGGTTGTCTCGAAAGCGAATGAGGAAATCCAAGGGTTACTGCGACTACGGGGTAATATAGGCATCCCTCAATCTCAAAAGTTTGTTCAGGCACGGGAGTGATTTTTCGACTTTGGGGACTGTCTGCTTGCCATTCCAAGCACAAGCCATATTACTAGTCTATCTACGACAGGAATCGTACTCTGTAAATACTTGTAGTACTACTCGTACCGCGCGTCATCCCTGCAGAGAGGCAAAAGGCAATACTCGATGCAGTGCAGCCGACCAAAACGTTTCTCACTGGAGGGATTGAAGGGAGCAAACATGAAGCAAGATGACAATTTGCGCTGGCTAAGATGAGATCCATTGCGCCCAGCTGCATAGACGTAGTACATC